GTGCTCGAACCCAGGACCTACGGGCTTCGCGCGCGAGCACTTAACCACTAGACAACTGAGATCCGAACCCAGGACCTATTAGTCTCAATTTCAATAGCTGAAATCATGAGTCTATTGAAGCTTCCAGGTTTTCAATGGTGGTCTAGCTTCAACTGACTCATGATTTCAATCTGTGATATTATTTAATTGTTTTCTTCAGATGTAAAGCTTCTTACCAATTAAAGTACATGAATTTATTCGATAATACACCTAAAACATTCCATTATGATTGTAAACACTAAGTCAGTTAATCAGCTATTTGAATTATTACTTTATGAATATTAAAAATCTTTTACATATAAGAAATAATTTTAGCTGTAGATATGGTTATGATCTATAAGATTTAGTATTACGTAGACGATTCTCAGAAATGATATTGAATTCCTTGAGGTTTCGTATAGATTTCGTTGTATAATACAAATAGGATTTTAAATTGTACAAACAACTAGTGAGTAGCCGTGACCAGTGGAGTCCAATCCGTGTCAGCTGTGAGACAGTTATCTACCTCAGACAATCGATGAAGAGTTTTGCAAGATCATGGATCGATTGAAGTTAGACGTTAACACCGTTGGATGTCAGCTCAGTGGTCTATAGGTTAAACATTCAAGAGTGAGACCGAAGGTCCTGGGTCCAAATATCGTGCACGGGATTGTGGACGTGCACTATTGAAGAGGCTTATACTAAGACGAAACAGCTTTTCAGTGCTTCCAGGTTTTTACTAGCGGTCTAACTTAGATCGGCTCGTGAATTCAACTATGAAAATATTGCAATCTCTACAAATCCCCATACTGGCAAATGTAAATAAGTAAGAGTTAATGCTACAGCGTCATACACTAACATTCAGTAGATTAACTCAGATATCACTCAATGTCGTATATGTGGAGAAGAGTATATACAAATAGATTCTTTTCAACTAGTTCGTTTCTCAAGTTATACAATCATATATTTACGTTATAAATTATATGTCAATGAATAATTATATTTGATGGAATTTAATTAGTTATTGATAAAATTCTGACTAAACAACTAGTTATCAAAGAAAGAAATTTGAGAAAAACGAGGAATATATAATCGTTTGAGTCAAAAGTGTAATTGTGAACGGTATTAAATTGGAAATGAATTCGTTAAAAAAGATTTTGTCATTGATCAAATTGTCTCATGGTTTAGTGAGTGTACAAGGAAGTAAACCTCTTCGTAACAGTAAACTGTTCATCTATCCCAAAAATTCGACTGAACCTAAGAAAATCAGTAACTGACACCAGTTCGAAATCTAAATGATATGAATATGACTGAGTATGAAATTATGAGGAAAGTCCATAAGTTACTATGACATCAAAACATCATCGTAGAATTAATCAGGTAGAAATAGTGTTAGGAAAGCTAGAGGCGGTCAAACTAAAATGTGTCATGAATCCATAAAGTCAGTGAATGTTGATCTGAGTCGTATTGACTGTATGATTGGTTTCAAATTGATCACCGAGACCAGTTATTGTATATGGCAAATGATCTGGCTTAGAATCGTTCACAGTAGTGCAGACGCGTTCACTTATTATATTTACTTAAACCTTGATCTCAAGTACTCCCTCATACATAATTAGTGTCATGTCCAAGAGAAGATTAAGTTATGACTAACTTCTAAAGGCTATTAATAGAATAATATTGTAAATATATTCTTATTTTATAACCAGATTATGTATACCTATACTCCTCTTATTATAAGCTTCCATTTGACCTATTGACTACTATTTTACGATTTACTGTTCTTAAGTTATACCCAGTTTATTAATTACAGTCTCTCACAATTGCAGCCACTTTTTGGCTTGATCCTGTACAGTTGTTGTTTTTTATTTTATGGTATGATGTCGTCTGACTTGCTTGTATATAAACCAAGTATGTCTAAATTTATTGTATCATGTAGTGGAAGTTGATATTAGTGTTCTGGACTCAACATTCGCAACTAGTCAGGAAAAAGGATCAATGAGGACTCTAGGCTGCTCATACTGGTCAACACGTCAATGGTTTGATATAGTGCTAAGATTGTATAAGTCGTATTCTGATTAGTGAATCAATCACGTGATAATTAACCGAGCAAGAATCACAACACTTAGTCTTTCTCATCACCATTGGTAATACACTATTTTAACTCATCCACTATTCGTCTTGTTAATTTTATTTTGTGGTAATATGATACGGTAAATTGAGCTAATACGCAATTCTGCCATACGCTACATTGATCATAAATATTTTACTTGAGACTTGGAACTTTTCAGTCGCGTACACTAATGACTACATCATCGGTAAAACTCAGTATTTTCTCCCTTTATTCAAACCATTTTATGTACATAAATCATTAGTCAAAATGAAGTTTGATCATTTCAGCTAGCATGTATTTAGACCTTGTTCTAACCTGTCGATGAGTGATTGACCTACTCGAATTTAGTATTTTGCTGTTGTTACTAAGACATAAAAACTTGAATAATAACAATAATATCGTTGGGAACGAGAACACAAATAGAGACAACCAAATGTATTTCAATCCAACATTACAGAATATCTTGGTAAAATAAGTGAACCATACATTTGCAAAATACTCATCAATTGTTTCAGACCTTATTGTTCTTTCATTTCCATACCAATCGCTTTTTGTTCTCGTTCTCTTCTCTTCGATTTTCTAAACCTTCCACTTTCGATTGGTGGTAAATACAAGTTATATCTGTCGACATCAATAATACACACCACAATATTACCTTATGCTTTCAAATGTGTCATGCATTACATAACGCTCATTTAGATTCTATAATAACTGAATGTTAATAGTTGATTAATAAATCAAATAAATTGTTACAGATGTATGGTTTTCCTGTGGGTTTTTTAAAAATATAGTTTCTATGCACAAATTAATGTTGATATGTTTTATGTTATGTCTCTTTGATTTTGATTATAGATTCAGAAACACCGGAAATTGGTTCACCACAAGTGAATATGTCTGTTCAAACTGTTTATTTACAAATTCAAGCATTATTTCTTTTCTCAATTGTATGGAGTTTAGGATCATGTTTACCAACTGAATCAAGAGGAAAATTTGATTTGTTTTTTCGTGATCTAATTTCTGGTACAAATCAACAACATCCTAAACCAAAAACAATTAAATTAACTAAAGCAAATTCATTTCCAGAACGTCAAACTGTTTATGATTTTTGGTTTGATAAAAAATCTCAAGGATCATGGAATGATTGGATTAATTTGAATTGGAATCCAATGAAAGCTGGACAATGTTATAATCCTAATGAATCATTATCTATAACAAATTCTGAAAGTGGTATATTGAATTCATCAAGTTCAATTGGAATTGATAATGATTCACAAAGTGATATGATTGTTAGTACAATTGAAACTGAACGAATGTATTACTTTCTTAATCTGTATATAACACATCGTATTCCATTACTTCTAGTTGGACCAACAGGTATTAACACTTTAATAAAAACGTAGGTGAGATTATAATTGATGGATGGATCAATCAAGTATAAGAAAACAGGTCTCAAATTTTGACGCAAAATTCATTCATCCATTTGGATAAATTGAATTTTGGCATTATAGTTCATAGTTAGTTCATGGTGAAAGCCGTAAATCTGATTTCTAACCTTAACCATCAAATGAAAATTATAATTCTAATCCCCCACAATATTTCATATCCCTTATTTGGTCCTAGTTATTAGATGAACACCCTCAAAGTCAATTCAGCAATGCTCAAAGGTCGTCCATAAATTATAATCTCACCAAAATGTGCTTTTAATTTATTTTAATTTAAATTAAGAGATAATTAATCAAATTAATAGTGTTATAAATTAACATTTTGTTTGTTCTTAATCATACTTGTGGTATATGCTACTTATATCAGTCTGTATAAGTAGTGTATAACACCAATCGGAAATTCAAAGCCTATCAAAAAACGGTTGAATAGATTGAACTGGAAAAAGTCTGAAAATGAAACTTAAAGGGATTGAGAAATGAAAGAATTGTGAAGGTTGTAAATGAAGTATTTAACGTATGGTTTTCACATTTTATCAAAGAACTCTGTAATTTTGTGTTAAACCATAAATTGGTTGTCCCCATTCGAGTGTTCATTTATCACATAGTTATTTAACTGATTCATAGAAAACAAGATATGAGTGAAGTTGAATGTATTTCGGAGTCACCGTCTAACAAATCATGCATTTAACCTTTTCTTTCACATACTTGATAAATATATGTGTACATTTCGTAAGTGATGTCAAGATCAGTGGGATGACAACAAGTTGCTAAAACAAAGTAGTATAACGGCTGTTCTGTTTTATAAAGGGTAAGGGTGAACTATCGGGGCAAAATTAAGTGACTAAACAACCTTAACAATTTTTTGACCTATTCAAGTAATTAGAACAAAAAAGAATATGAATGAAGGATTTCAATTTCTACAATTATAGTTAAGGTTTAAAATTCAGAGTTAAAGTTAAGATTTTCATCATGGAATGACTTCAACTATGATTAAATATTGGTTTGTAGTAGCCACTCAGATGAATGAACTCGGAAATTCCTAATCGTAAAACTAATTATTTTGTTCGTTAAGTTTAGTGTCACGTAACCTTAAACCCTGAGGCTAATTCGCAATACCAGTTCGTACCTTTAGTCTTTGAGAATGCGTTACATCAGAGCTGATATCAATTCGTGATTACAACCTTAACAATAATTTCATTCTATTTCAAAATAAGTAGACAGTATTGTGTTTTTATTTAGGCATCATGTTCTAAAAGCAATGTGAACATTCATTATTAGCTCACACATATATTTCAGATTAACCATTTAGAAATCATTTATGAGTTGGGATCACTATTACTAATTGATTATGATTTATTTATTTGAACACATAAATATTAGTACAAAGGGGAACCGAATACATATGCGCAATACAATTCATTTGATTTGTGTGTGAGCTTTGATACTGCCCGGGTGCCCAGACCGAAGAAGGTGGACACCCGGAGCCTTCTACCTAAGAGTCTGATTCACAAGGCAGTGGATCAAAGTCAGGAGATGCGATCCCATGGTAGCTAGTGACCAACAATTGATTCACACACCATTTGTTCCCTCAGAATCGTGAAGCCCATGTACACCATTGGTTTGGAATCAGGGTTTTCCAACTCCTCTAGGTGGATCCTCCATGTTCACCAATTAGGTTAAAGCGCCAGACATTCGCTTTTTGTCCTCTCAATTCCGTAAACAATATTCTCTCCATGAGAATGCAGTGATTAGGACTTTCCTACTTGTGTCTGTATATTTGTAGTCATATGAGAGCATTTCGAGAAAGGGAGAGAGAGAGAGAGAGAGCTAACTCTCTCCATCCTCGACCGTGCCAACGCATTTAGGGGGATTTGTTTATTTATAAATTATCCTACAATATTCTGTCAATAAAATATTGAATACGTTTTTTCTGTTTTATTGGAATTTGAAAATAGCTAACATTGATTCTGAGGTATCATTCGTAATCTCCAACTTAACTTTCCTATTCTTCATTGATACAACAGAAAAAACTGAATCATTAGTTTGATTAGTAACAAATAAACATTTCATGTTGTATTACAAAAAGATTAATAAACGTTCCTACCAAACGTAGTTTAACGTATTTTAAGTAAAATAAACAGCTGTAGGCTAAGAAATAATGTAATGAACAAAATCCTTTTATGGGGGGAGGTTATATGTTGAAGTATCTAACAATTAATCACTTTCACGGTCATTGCTACAAACAAACAAAATACATACAAGTAAAATTCTCAGGGTCTATTTGTTTCTATGAACAAATTAGTATTAAAGGGAAACAATTCTCCTATGTCCTTCGACTTTCACTGACTGATTAAAACCACAAGTTTATACTTTTCAGTATGATGGTTAAGGAATCTTTAATTTCCCTGTATCTGACTCGAATTAGATCGGATGAATGATTGTTGTCAAAATACACATATCGGTTATCCTCGTATATTTCATCGACTTAAATCTCGTTGGTGAATAATGGAATTAAATAAGTCGAATATGAGAATGGATTTTTGAATACATAGATTTTGTACACTCATTGATCTGGAAAGAAAAGAGAGGGATGTAGAGAACAGAAGAGAGCGAAGCGAATGCGTGTGCGCCAAATCCATTTAGTCAGGTGTTGATCAATACTTATAGCCAGATAAAAATAAGTTACAGACATTTGATGAGTACAATAAGACGTACACACACATAGACTCACATAAAAACAGTTAGGGTTGATAAGTGAATTATTAACGCGTGACTCAAGAAGGGTGGATAAATTGACCTGTCCAGAAGCTAGAATAAGGTATATGGGCATAGCAACAACAGCCAACACTACAAATCATTATTCAAGCTCCTAGAATAAAACACTTCAGACAGAAGCATATATCAGATATGTATAAGCTATTCATAGACTTTTTCTTATCGCACACATGTCCAACTTATAGTGAACACCATGTAAATCTATTACTCTACCCAATTGTGTTACCGTTTCCATAACACTTCATTAAATATTTTGCATTATAAATAGCTATTAATTGACGACATTGTATTATATCATATCATTTATTGATAAGTATCCTATTTACTATTTCCAAATACCCCCCCAAAAAATGTTAATGATTACAAGACCTTAGTACCTTTCTGACCCTCCCAATTGATATTTTATTTTATCTTTCTTTTTTTCTTCTTTCTCTTCTCTTTATCTTTTAAGGAACCGGTAAATCTGTTATTGCTAATAATTATCTTATTCAATTACCTAAAGAAAATTATTTACCAAATATTTTAAATTTTTCTGCACGTACAACTGCTAATCAAACACAAGATATTATTATGTCACGTTTAGATAGACGACGTAAATGTGTATATGGTCCACCTATAGGTAAACAATGTATTGTATTTATTGATGATTTAAATATGCCAATGAAAGAGAAATATGGCGCTCAACCACCTATTGAATTATTACGTATGTGGATTGATCATAATCATTGGTATGATAGAAAAGATAATACAAAACAATATTTAGTTGATGTAGTAAGTACAAATAGATTATCATTATTTCTGTTTTGTTTTTTTTCTTTTCATATGGATTGTATAAAATTGATATTATACAAACCTTAACGGTGTTTGAAATCAGAAAGCAAAGAAAAGTGGCAACTATGGTTTTATTAGCAGATAGCACAGATCACAAAGCTATAAGCACATCGGATGAATTTGAGGCAGAGAGGCGAATAAGTATGTACTTGCAAGTACATTGGCAAATTTATGGTCAAATCGCATAAAAGCATAGCAAGGACTAACAATAGGATTTGAGTACATATATACATGGGGAGGAGGACGATTCATCGGGTGATACTTATGCAATCAATATTTTAGTTAGCCTGTCATGTAATCTAGTGATCATAACGGAATATGCGAATTGTTACTGTTCAAACAACATTGTCTGTTAAGTAAGCTAATAAAAGGGAATAAACAAAATTAACCATAATCGAAATGGGTTGCAGGATATTTGCTATAGATACCATAAACAGAGATAGATGGTGGCTAGCAGTGATTTGTGTTTTGTCTTATTTAAGACTCATCAGCTAAGTGTACCTACCTCTTAGAGTTAGTGTTCCTTCTGAGATTTGAACCCATGAACTCGATGGGATTTGAATCAGAAGGTACTGCGTTCATACAATATATTGAACTCATAAATCCTTCATTCAAGGCTGATTTTTTTAATATTCCAAGCCTTACAAATAGATATCAACCTGTACAATGCCTAACTCTTAGATTTCTTGTAGATTATTTGCAACCATACAACACCGATCTTTACTCCAATGTCAAGTCACTTAGTCTAGTGGTTTTATCACATACGTGGTCGCTGGAGATCGGTCGACAACGAGGACCAAATGAACTGACGGTCATTATCGCTCGTATATGGATAAATATCACAGTTAAAGATGTTAATTTGTTTTAATGTTGTTGACAACATCTTACAGATTCATTTGAAGACTTAGTAGATATTTCCAGCTTGTGTGTTTCATAGCATGACAATATATTAAATTGGTGTTTCTTTCATGTTAATATGTATATTCACATAACTCATAACTAATGTAAAAAGCACCTACTCTAATGAAATTTATTAGATAGACAAGATTGAAATTTCACATCGTTTTACTTCAGTCTTTCGAATAAATAAATGATATCTGTATAGTGTTGTGCAAATTGTTGAATTTCATTAAATTCATGAACCGATCTAAGTTAAACTACCATTGGAAACGTGAAAGCACTGAACAGGGGTTCCGTCCTAGTATTGAACTCTTCAACAGTGTGTATCCACGATCCCTCACAAGGGTTCATGATTTTAATTAAATTGTATTATCCTTGATTTCCAAGTAGGGACCGGAGTCAGACAAGGCTGTCTACTCTCCCCCTTACTCTTTCTTCTGGTCGTCGACTGGATTATGAAGACTTCGACATCTGAGGGAAAACACGGAATACAATGGACGGCTCAGAATCAATTAGACGATTTGGACTTCGCAGATGACCAAACCCTCCTATCACATACACACCAACAAATGCAGATAAAGAAAGCCAGTGTAGCAGCAGTCTCAGCATCAGTAGGCCTCAACATACACAGGAGGAAAACCAAGGTCCTCAAATACAACACGGAGAACACCAATCCAATCACTCATGGTGGCGAAACTCTGGAAGATGTAGAATCCTTCACGTACCTGAGAAGCATCATCAATGAACAGGGAGGATCATATGCAGATGTAAAGGCAAGGATTGGCAAAGCAAGGACCGCATTCCTACAATTGAAGAACATATGGAACTCAAAATAACTTTCAACCAATATCAAAGAATCTTCAATACGAACGTCAAGGTAGTTCTACTGTACGGAGCTGAAACATGGAGAACTACAACAACCATCATCAAGAAGGTAAATGTATTTATAAATAGCTGTCTTCGCAAGTTACTCAACATCCATTGACCGGATACCACTAGCAATGGCGTACTGTGGTAAAGGACAAACCAGCTTCCAGCTGAAGAACAAATTACGAAAAGATGAAAATGGATAGAATATACATTATGCAAATGATCAAACTGCATCACTAGCCATCCTTAACTTGGAATCCTGAAAGGAAGCGGAAAAGAGGAAGGTAAAAAAACACACTAAGTCGGGAAATAAAAGCAAGTATGAAAAGGATGAATAACAACTGGAAAGAGGTGGAAAGGATTGCCCATGATAGGATTGGATGGCGAATGTTTGTGGTTGACCTATGCTCCTTCACGAGGGATAACAGACGTTAGTAATGTTTAAATTATATCTCACCTTTATGATTAATGATTAAATTTGTATTTATTTGTCAATTTTTTATTATTATTATTTTTTTTAATTACATTTAATTAGCAATTTATGGCTGCTATGGGACCACCTGGAGGTGGACGAAACAATATTACATCACGTTTAACTAGACATACAAATGTATTAGGTATCAATGAATTTGATGATCAAACAATGTTGAAAATATTTACTACTATTACTGATGCACACTTTTCAAATGGTTTTGAACCACAATTTATGCGATTAAGTAAAGTATGTTCAATTTTATTTTATATTAATGTTTGTAAACCAGATAATTTCAAGGTTTTCATTTGTAGTTGATCTAATAAAATAAAAATAAATAAATAAATAAATCAACACTCCGATTCTAGTTAGATAAACACTCAAAATTATTGATTTAAAAATGATTAGTGACTAAAATTCGAATCTGGAATTATTGTTTGATCTTGTTTGAAACTCATCAGTTAGATATACTTGTATCCATGTGAATGTTCACTTCGATAATCGAATCCATTACTCCAATAAACTACTTGGTTAATATGTCCATTAAATTGTTTAAATCGAATTAATTATTATTATTATTTATTTGTAAATTATTTTTATATTTATTTATCCTGTTATTGATGTTAAGAGTTAAGTTTTGACCAATCTTTTTGTAGAAGGTAGCCAATGTTCTTCTTTACTTAAGAATTTGTGAATTAATGGTATTATTGAGGTGATCCATTCAGGATGCTGTATGCCATAAAAAGATTAATCAAGATTCAGTCCTTAATATCAATAATGTAAATATTCAAACACTTATATAGATTATCAGAATGTGTTTTGTGGAGATTTTTAGAAATTTTCACAGATTGAAATCATGAGTCAGTTGAAGCTAGACCACCAGGTCTGTTGTGAGATAGGAACTCACTGAAGAAAATGGTGTACGGTAGCGCAATTTCGTGGATTGATTGAAGTTAGACATTAACACCGTTGGATGCCGGCTCAGTGGTCTAATGGTTAAGTGCTCGCGCGCGAAGCCAGTACGTTCTGGGTTCGAGCCCCGCGTGGTGCGGGATCGTGGATGCGCACTGCTGAGGAGTCCCATACTAGGACGAAACGGCCGTCCGGTGCTTCCAGGTTTTCAATGGTGGTCTACCTTCAACTGACTCATGATTTCAATCTGTGAAAACTTATATAGATTATAAATCACAACTTAGTTTTGATATTCTAGTTTATTGATTTCACTTTCTTTATGGGAATCGACAATACAATTCCAAAATAGCACAAAATAGGTGTATGATGTTTAATGTTTTTAAGTGGTTCTTCAACTGCCGTTGTTTAAGTACAAAATAAAGTTATTTGACTACATGTAAAAATGATTCATAACTCTTGCTTACTACAATATCACTATCTTTTTGCCTGAATTTTCTTAAACCACTCAAACTAACAGTAATTCGTATCTAAATGCCCTGGTATGGCCGAGAATGGAAATTGTAAGCTCTCTCTCTCTCTTCAAATGCTCTCATATGGCCATGTGTCTACAGATACTACTAAGGAAGTCCTACTCATTGCATCCTCTCAGCAGAAATGTTGTTTACGAAATTGAAAGGATGAAAAGCGAATGTACGGAACTCTAACCGAGTTAGTGGATATGGAGGATCCACCTAGAGGAGATGGAAAACCTTGACTCCAAACCAATGTGGGACCTAGTCTCCAGGATCCTGAGGAAACAAAATGCGTATGAACCAATCGTTGGTCACTGTTTACCATGTGACTGCATCTTCTGACGTTGCTTCACTGCCTTGTGGATTAGACCTGTAGGTGGAAATTTCCGGATGTGGCCTCCTAAGAAAAGTACCTGCTTCGATTTGGGAACCCGGACAGTATTTCAGCTTTAACACAAACCATTTGATCTGTGTGGCGCATACATATTTGATACCTCCTTGTACCAATGTTTATGTTTGAAAAAAAAATTAAATTAAAAAGAAAACAGTTTGCATGAATTCATTTTATTTCGTTAATTCTCGTCAGCTGCTTACAACCTGTGATGTTTAAAATCATAATTACATAATGGTTTTAAATTACTCACATGAGAGGGTTTGGTTGGAAGTTATATTGAAGATATATTCGTATAGTATAGCAAGGGTGTAAATAAAATTGATAGACTGAATATTGTAAAGATATACCTTATATGAAAGAACATTCTACAACATCGATTGCGACAACAGGCGAAACAGCCAGAAACAAGTGATTACATAATAAGTAAACATTGATAAGAATATAGTGAGTAGAGCTCAGTTGATAAAATACGATTCCACGACCCCGCACCTCATGAGATCCGAACCCAGGACCTATTAGTTTCAATTTCAATAGTTGAAATCATGAATGAATTGAAGCTTCCAGGTTTTCCATGGTGGTCTAGCTTCAATTGACCTATGATTTTAACTATTGAAATTTCTAAAAATCTACACAAAACCTCTCCTGAAAATAAGATTAATAATTTGGAGGATATTTGAATTAAAACTCAATGATGTGATAAATGGGAGAAAGAATTTAAAGAAAAAGAAAAAAATTGAGATGCAGCGAAGGAATATTTGTCTCCAAGGCAAAAAAAGATTAATAACCATCTCCTTTTGAACACATAAAGCAAGTTTTTGACGCCTGATGAAAACAGCTTTAGTAAACTTCAGAAGACTGAGGTTCGGCTGTCTACTAATCACCTTAAAAGATTTCAAGGTAACCACTTGATGTCCTGTATCAAAGCGATGCTTGGTGATTGCACTGTTTAAATTCTTTCTTTCTCTTGTATGAAGACTTCTTAGAACATGTTCAAAAAATCTAAGATATGCCCTCCTTTCTATTCGGTAAATATAGCTGCTTAGACAGGTACACGTAAATTTATAAATACAGTTGGCGGTAATAATGAAAGAGGTGCTTGTCAAGCTTATTATACTATTGTGCTAAAATCTTTGTTCTTGCTCTTTTCAAAAAGGACAGTGATTAAGTTCATGTACTTGTGACATATTAAGGTCTAGTTGCCTACAGAAACAAACTAATGTATAATTCACTTGGTATTGTTATACTTGAATCTTCCCATTGATGTTTTAGGACTAAAATTAATCAGTCTCTTATTGGCATATGTGCATACTGTGCGTATGCCTCGATATTACCTTAATTTACAAGAACTATAAGCAAAGATGGATAGTGGCTAGCAGTGGAATTCAGGCAGTGAAACATGGTAGGTAAGAGTAGAGGATATTCGTAGGTTACTAGTATTTGATCATAGGTGTCTTCGAAATATTGCTCGTATATGCTGGAACCATCGAGTAAGTAATGCAGTTGTTAGGAAACGGGTACTAGGTAAGGATGGCAAATCAATTGATGAAGTGGTGAAACTTCATCAGTTGAGATGGCTGGGACACGTGTTATGTATGCTTAACGACCGACTGCCTCGACGTGCGATGTTCAGTGGTATAGGAGTAGGTTGGAAGAAAGCTAGGGGCGGCCAGATCAAAACATGGAACAAGTCCATGAAGTCACTGACAAGTGGACTGAGTCATGTCGGTAGGTGTAGACTACCTGGTCGGGGACCGCGAGATGATAGCAACCGATGGTTAGAGACCTTGAATGACATGGCTCAAAATCGTTTGCAATGGCGCAGGTAAATCCACTCTTTATGTTCTCCCGAATTTTGATCTCCTGATTCCCCCTTGTCTCTTTCTTTTACTCTTCCTAAGTTTATTTCACTGGATTATACTCTTTAAATAACATCTTCAAACCCTAATCTTTCCGATTACTGCTTATACTCTTACCACCTCTATCACTACGGGATTTGAATCGACCACGGCATCTCTGTGCTAATGTGGTGTGGTAACTCGAACTGATGTACGTACGTACTAAGTTCTACGTTGTTACTGGCTGACTGACTGGAGTAGAATTCAGGACACGCGTTTCGTCCTATTTTGGACTCGTCAGCTGGATATACCTGCATCTCAGGGAGTTGATGTTCACTCTGGGACTCGAACTCAGTACCATTCGCTTTAAACGCCATCGCGTTATCCATTCAGCTACTGAGTCCTGATAGCCACTTGCTTGTGCGATGGGGTGAAGTTTAATTCACTTGGTATTGTTTTACTTGAATCTTCCCATTGATGTTTTCAGGACTGAAATTGATCAGCCACTGCTAGCCACTATCCATCTTTGCTTATAAAGTAATGTATAATTCTAATCAATTATAGTTTCTAAATGTAACCTATTAAAAAAATTACTATTCATTAATCAATTACTCCTTTTGTTTTAATTTATCAAAACACATTTCTATTTATTTCACAGATATTAGTTCAAGCAACTTTACATGTTTACAAATTGTCTATATCAACATTTTTACCAACACCAGCTAAATCCCATTATGTATTTAATTTACGTGACTTTGCTAGAGTTATTAAAGGTATACGTTTAATACCATCAAGTAATATGAAAGAAGAAGATAAATTAATGCGTTTATGGATACATGAGGTAAAATTATTGATATTTATTATTATTACTTCATTGGTAATTTTGTTTTCTTAAAGTTTCGAATAAATAACTTAAACAATATATATGTATTTAGATTGATATCATGAATGGATGAATGTTAGACAATGATTGAAGACCTGGAAGTAGTAAACAGCCTTTCCACCCTACTATAGAATGCCTCAGCAGTGTACATTCATGAAGATACAAGGGGTTGTGGATGCGCACTGTTGAAGAGTTCCATCCTAGGATAAAATGAACGTCAAGGACTTCCAGGTTTTTAGTGGTGGTTGAATATTGATTCATTCATGATATCAATTTAAACGCAGTGAACTCCACAACCCTACACTACTATAATTTGTATTATTATAATATTATATTTCATATATATAATAATTGGGACTTTATTCACATAAAAATGGCATTGGTGAGGGAAAGAAAACATTAGCCATTCAGTGTTATTCACAATATGTTTTCCGATTTAGACAGATATATATTGATAATTCATTGGCCCCCAAATGTCCTGGTACGGCCGAGAGTGGGGAGAGTCCGCTCTCCCTCTCGAAATGCTCCTACATGGCTACGCGTATATAGCCTCTGCCAGGGAAGTCCTACTCACTGCATATTCGTGAAGAGGGTGTTGTTTACGAAGTTGAGAGAACGAAAAGCGAATGTCTGGCGCTTTAACCTAGTTGGTGAACATGGAGGATCCACCTAGAGGAGTTAGAAAACCCTGATTCCAAACCAATGGTGAACATGGGCTTCACGATCCTAAGAAAATAAATGGCGTATGAACCAATTGTTTGTCATCAACTACTATGGGATTGCATTTCCTGACTTTGCTCCACTGCCTTGTGGATCAAACCTTTAGGTAGAAGGCTCCTAATGTGGCTTCCTAAGGAGTCAACCTTCTTTGGTTTGGGTACCCGGACAGTATCCCAGCACCCACACAAATCGAATGATTTATGTGGCGCATATTTGTTTGGTGCCTCCTTGTACCAGTATTTATGTGTTCAAATAAATGAATAAGATGGTTTATTGATAATTGTATAGTAATCAATGTCATATTTCCGTACAATATACAAATAAAGCATGTCAAACCGTTGTAAAAATCCCAGTAATACCTGCTTGAGTTGTGCTTGTTGTTGTCGTTTGTGCTTCTGGCTGCTTGTGGAATACATTTTCCTTCTTCTGAACTTGGACTTCTCTATCAAATTAGGTGGGCTGGGACGCATCGGAATAGTTAACTTATTTGGTCATTGTGTCTTTGAGTTTTCGTTGCATTTACAGACTTAAGTGAATATATAATCTCTTCAAACATAGCAATTAGTATATTTAAACATAATGATTCACATAAACAGTGGATGAAAAGAGACAAGAGTTATTCATGTAATTTCAATCCTAGAAAATCGTTTTGTACATTGAGTGAATTTTCTACTAAACAACTTTTTGACCACCTTTTTAAACGTTTAAAATGATTATGAAAAGTTATATTTTGCCATCATACATTACAAACAATAATGATGAACGCAACAAGCGTTCAATTACATCTTGGTAGATTGTATATAATAGGAAAATTACCACTTTAGCCTGGCTTCACCATATTTTATGGATGAACTAATCGGATACTGCCTTTTGCTTTTCGATATTTAATTCATTTGTCCATATGCCTACAAAGAATTTTTGTACTACAGTTGATATCAACTTGTGAAAACTCTAACCCTAAACCCCTAATCATTACCTCATATACCTCAGTCAGCAACATTGTAGAACGTCGTACGTACGTACATCAGTTCGAGTTGCCATACCACATTAGCACAAAGATACCTAACAATGACATAAAACATTTTAGAGACTGAAAATCTATTTGAGTTCAATTAGATAGATGTAAATTATATAAACTACATCTATTGGGATATTAACCTATAGAAGACTGTAATAAGTTTACCTTTCTAAATAAACTATTTATCTGCAAAATTTGGTTCCTAATTATATCAGAAGGTTTTTTGTGGATATTATACTAATTTCAATGGTTGAAATCATGAATCAATTGAAGATAGACAACCTAGAAGCACCGGAGGGCCGTTTCGTCCTATTATGGGACTTCTCAACAGTGCTTATCCATGATTCCGCTTCGCAAGATTCGAACCCAAGACTAATTACCTAAGAACTAACTAAGAATTCATACTTATACTATACGAATACTGAATAAATGTTTTCTTATTTATATATCATTGAGTTTGTTTGTTTGTTTTTTGTTTTTTTTCATTCTCTAATTAACTTATACAGGTATATCGTGTATTCTATGATCGATTAACAATGACAGAAGATGAAAATCATTTCTTTGATATTATTCGTCAAACATGCTCTGATATATTTCGTACTAATATTGATAAAATATTAAGTCATTTAAGTTTAAGTGGACGTGTTACTGATAATGATATTAGAAATTTATTATTTGGTAATTATATACAAGATAATAGTTGCTATGATGAAGTAACTGATTATAAATTACTTATAAAACGTATGGAAAATTATTTAAATGATTATAATACAATTTCTAAAACACCAATGAATCTTGTTATGTTTAAATATGCTATTGAACATATTAGTCGTGTAGCCCGTGTTTTATTACAAGATAATGGTCATGCATTATTAGTTGGTAAGTAATATGAAAAATGTAATTTCTTTATTCTCAATTGATTGTTATTGTGTGTGTGTGTGTTTTTTTTTTAAGAATAATAAGTATCTACTTCTTACAAAGAATATGTACCAGTATTGAATTATTCTCTTTACTTTCATCATTAACTTACTGATGGAAATAACGCTCTCATCGAGTAAATTTTCGGGCATTGATCTCTGACTAAGAGGTACACTTATCAACTTAGAATACACAGATGATATAGTCTTGTCTGGTGATGATTCTGATATAATACAGAGTCTTTTTGGTAGTACTGAGCAACAATGTCAGGATGTCTGGAATGCAAATTGTTGCTTCGGGACTGGCAGACGTCAGCACTTGAACTATGGATATGGAGTGAAATAGTCGAACACGTTGATAACTTCACTTATCGTGGAGGTCTAACCAGCCCTAATATGTTGATGTCTGACGAAATTTCAGCATGGATTCAAAGAGCTCGTTTGGCTTTTACCAGTTTAAATCACCTATGGCGAAGGCGAGGCGTCCGTCTATCAATTAAAAGACGAGTATATTGCACAGCAGCTAGTTCTGTTTTACTTTACCGCTGTGAAACATGGCCATTAAGAGTAGAAGATACTCGTCAGTTACTAGTATTTAATCACAGATGTCTTAGAAATATTTCTTGCATCTGCTGGGATCACCGGGTAAGTAACAGTGAGGTAAAATGCAGGGTGTAAGGGAATGATGGTTATTCAGTTGATGAGGTTGTAAATCTTCATCGACTGAGATGGTTGGGTCACTTGTTGCGTATGCTTGAACATCAATTACCACGACGCCCAACGCTGAGTAGCGTTGGAGACGGTTGGAAGAAAGTCAAAGTAAAATGTGGCATCAGTGCTTGGAGTCATTAACTTCTATTTTGAGCCATGTAAATAGATGCAGACTACTTGGTTGGGGTTTGCGTGACTATCGTAACCAGTGGTTGAAAACTCTAGATGACATGACTCAGAAACGATCACAATGGTGTAGGTGTATACACTCTCTATCTTCCTTTAAACTATGAGATCAAAATCGCCTCATATCTTTCTTTCTACGAACTAGTTCTTCCTTCCTGTACTATATCTCTATATGCAATCTTTCTCTTATATATTACCACCACTAAATTAACTAATTCTACGAATTCGGTGTTTCTCATGTTGTGCTAATGAGATATGGCAACTTGCACATATGTGCCTGGTCCTATGATGTAGCTTACTAACTGAATTTCCGCATTTAGTTTAAAGCTGCTTTAAGATTATTTCAAGTTAATATTTTGACCGATAAAACTCGATTATTAGCACCATGATTAAGTTTGAACATAAAGTACGATTGGGGTAACATTAAAATCATGAACCAATCAATTACAGATCGCTATTGGAAACCCTTCAGCATTGGAAGACCGCTTCGTTCTAGTATGCAACCCCTTTTCAGTGCACACCCGTGGTCCTACGGGAGAAAGTCTAACACAGGACCTTAAGTTTTGCACACAAGCGCTCAACCTTTAGAACATTCAGTTGGCTCCCAACGGTGTTAATCCGTAACTAAGCCACGACACTTCGTGTCCATCTTCCGCTGCACCACACCTGACATGGTCTGCTTCACTAATCACGAATTCTCATTAGAATCCATATGATTAAAGGATGCATAGACTAAAAATATTGACAGTTAATTAGTATGAATAAAAAATAAACTCCAATAATGTAATTAAATGTAGACATATGAAGTTAATTTTGCATGTACCCAATAACTTTAGCCAGTAAAATCCATGTGTTATAATTAATATGAAAATTGGTCTCTTGTCACATGATCTAACTCCATTGTGTACAAACGATAAATGAGCCAATAGCATAAATTTTCCGTTTCATTTCATAAATTCTACTTTGGCTAACCTCGTTGGTGCGACGGTGGTAATATAAACCAAAAACGAATTAAGTGAGTAGTATATAAATCACTATTTCTAAGTATGAAAGAGATACAAGTAAATATACAAATACGTCTGTACAAGCATACACAGATGTACAAAGCATGCTTAAGGTTACACATGAGTAACTGGGAAAGACAAACATATGAATGATAAAACAAATAAAAAGATTAAAATAATTTATCTATTCAAAGATTAGAATAAATTATGCAGACATCTGATGATAAAGATTTACTATAGGTGTTATGACCTTGGGTATGTCTGGTTTCGCTATCACGCGACCTATCTACCAATCCGGATACGACTTATACGAAGCTTCACACTAGGCCAACCAATGACGTTCAACCGGTGTGGGCAGTCTAGCGTCCTTATTGGTCCTATGTACTACGAGCCCTTCCACTTGAGTCCAGAACACAATACCAGCTTCGAATCAGAGTAGATCAGAGCAGATCGTTTATTTCAGACATACTCGGTTTATATATCAACCAGACAGACCACAACGTACCATAAAATAGAAAATAACATATGTACACAAATAAGCCAAAAAGTGGCTGTGAACGAGGGGGACAGTAATTAATAGACTGAACATAGTTTAAGAACCGTAAATCGTACAATAATAAATTATAGATCAAAATAAAGCTTATAATAAGAGGAATATAAATATACATAATCTAATGATTGAATAGTTTTACAATAAGAATATTTATAGAATATTAGTCCACTAATAGTCCTCGGGAGTTACCTGTAATTTAATCTTCGCTCGGATATAACAATAGGTTCTACTGTTGACTAAATCATCATGTTCAAAATAGCTATTTATTTCTATTTCATTCAAATATTCACATGGTTTGTGTCACAAGAATGATCAAACAAAGCGCTTTTACATTTCATCGAGTAAAATCCAAATTAAATAAAAAGATTTCTATGATCGATAATCCTTGACTTTAACGAATTAATGATACTTCACAACAGTTAGTCAGTAAAGTAAACGAATCTTCATCATCACAATGAATCTAAATGCTTTGATATTTATTATTATAAACATTTTTATAGAAATATACAATTAATTACAAGGTACTTTCCAAATTCCACTTTATTTTCTCTTCAGGTGTAGGAGGTAGTGGTCGTCAAAGTGCTACACGTTTAGCTAGTCATATTGCTGATCATGAATTATTTGTCATTGAACTAACACGTACATATGGTGTAAATGAATGGCGTGATGATATTAAACGTTTATTACTTAAAACTGGTTTAGAAGCTAAATCCACTGTATTCTTAATTACTGATAATCAATTAAAGCATGAATCATTTATGGAAGATATATCAATGTTATTAAATTCAGGTGATGTACCAAATTTATTCCCACCAGATGAAAAAGCTGAATTAATAGATAAAGTACAAAATATTGTACGTTTAGAAGTAAGTCTAATAATAGTGTTTTTGAAAAATGTACACTATTGTTTTGGTTGTACGTTGACATACTACTAGCCAATATAAGTAGTTAGACACTTCACACAAAACTTATATATAACAGTATAACTAGTTTCTGGTAGTTACCATTCGTTAGGATAAGCAAATTCAAATACTCTCAGTTAATCATCTGTTCTGTCGGTTTGTTTGTACTCGGTAAAATCACATTCATTCCTGAGAATTAGAAGCAAATTGATTATATCAATATTCAATACGAATGTGAATAATTTTCGTAACAGTAAATTTTATAAAAACTATCTTTTATTACTAAATTTTAATTATTACAACCCTCTCGAAATGCTCTCATATGACCACAAATATACAGACACATGTAGGGAAGTTCTACTCACTGTATTCTCATGGAGGGAATACTGCTTACGGAATTGAGAGAACGAAAAGCGAATGTCTGGCGCTTTAATCTACTTGGTGAACATGGAGGATCCCCCAGTGGAGTTGGAAAACCCTGATTCCAAACCAATGGTGAACATGGGCTCCAGGATCCTAAAGAAATAAATGGCGTATGAACCAACTGTTTGTCACCAGCTACCATGTGACTGTATCTCCTGACTTTGCTCCACTGCGTTGTGGATCAGACCTTTAAATCAAAGGCTGGAGGTGTGGCCGCCTAAGAAAACCACCTGCTTCGGATTGAACGCCCGGACAGTATCTCAACTCTAACACAAACCATTTGATTTGTGGTGCGCATATTTACTTGTTGCCTGCTTGCACCAATGGTTGTGTGTTCGAATAAAATATATAACAAATTCAAAACTAGTTTAGAATAAAATAAAATTGATATTTGAACATTTAAATACGAACAACTTAAAAAAAGAGAATTACTGATCTGCGTTAGCTGACACACATGACATTGATCACCATCCAGTGATCAATCAATTGTGAATTATTGATCTCGTTTTATTTTTATTTATTTTATAAACATTTAATTATAATTTTTAATACTACTAATCATAGTATACTACTTGCAATTAATTTAGGCAAAAAAAGCCGTAAGTAAATTATTCTTTTATAATTCAATTATAAATTATTTGTTTATATGAATATATATAAGTGTTCAATTTGCACAAGTAAATTTGACTTAGTTTTATGTTATCTTGTCTACAAATGAATAAAGGTGAAAATTCCTCAGGATCATTACTCTCTCTCTCTCTCCCTCTCTACAGTTGTGCTTTCTTTCACCTTTTAAGTTAAAATAAAACTACTTTTTCATAAATTTATTCAAACTTAACAGATAAAGCCAGTTATTCATAAGGGTGTAAGCAAAAGGTTGACTGAAAAAAGGACTAGTTGAAATGAGCGCATATCAATAAAGATGAGAATTGAAAGGGGAAATAAGCTTCTGAAGTATGTAAACCACTATTTAGTGATCTATTAATGTGAAAACTTTTAGCTCTCCAGTGTATAAATTTCTACTCAAAAGCCTAATGGTAGCATTTCTTAAGGAAACGGATTTAAATATCATCAGAACAGTTACTTGCCTATACATCGTAAATATTTACTTACCGAAAAGTGTGAAAAAACAAGAAGCATGTAAGTAGCACTTTTAATCAGAATTAACTCTACCACTAGCATAAAAATATTCAAAGGTCATTCTTATAGCGTTATAGTTGTCATCCTGTTGTCCATATTATTTAATCACAATTCAGATAAATCTTGGGAAAACAGAAATAGTGTGATGCACTGAACCATGTGGATTTAAACTGAATGATAGATGAGAAAGGTTGACAAGGAAACATTATTGATCAAGATTTGATTTGACTCTTTAAGGAAACAGATATACGCTATCGGTTGGAAACCTGACTTGATTTTTTGAAGGAGTACAGTTATACGTTTAAAAATAAGCTGAACAAATATTTCTAATTCAATTAACCAATTAAAGCTTTCTAGTCTATTTTGGTTATCTCACTCCAGTGACTTGTTAAAATAACCATACAGAAAGCGTATATATCATTAACAGATTAAAACAACCAGACAACATGGAATGGCCAAGCAAAATCCTATTTAACTAGATGACGTTAAGGTCCTCGATTGAAAGTCACTAAAACTGATCAGTTATGTGATAGTTTGGACTTGTGCTTACTATATTGCTTTCTTAAAGCCCCATAGGATTTCATCAAAGAAATAACTCGGTTTAAATAGTTGAAAAAAATAGTATTTAGGCGGTGCTGTGTATTTCCTACCATGAATAATTATCTTAAAATGATTATATTTATATCTACAGGTAGGGGTACACTGAAGTCATACTTTTTCTAGCTTTATTACTTATCAGTATGAGGATTTGTGGAGATTGTGGAATTCTCAAAGTTGGAAGCACGAGTAAATCTAAGCAAGACCACCACTGAAAACCTGGAAGCACTGGACGGTCATGGATCGATTAACTTTAAACATTAACATCGTTGAATGAAGACTTAGTGGTCTACAAGTTTAGTGTCCGCGCGCGAGATCGAAGGTCTCAACTTCGAGTACCACGTGGAGGATCGTGGATGTACACCGCTGAAGAGTCCAATACTGGCACGAGACGGATGTTCAGTGCTTTCAGGTTTTTAATGATGGTTTAGATTAGATCAACTTGTGAGTTCAACTATTATTACGTAATTTCCGATGTGAAAGGAAAAAAAACAGAATTACAAATCATCTTACAACACACAAACAAATAGTAATGTTAAATATAAACTGTAAATTACTCAACATGATCAAATCATTTTAAACTCTTTCATCAAAAATAATCCACTAGACGAAAATCCTTCCCACTACAACTCTTTCATGAGAGTTACATATCAGTAACAAATGTAATGCAATATATCATTATCTTTTCGTTTCATTTACCTCAAGTTTTATTCTAACTTACTTTTCATTCATTATTTAAATATTAAAAGAACATCCCTTTCTTACTGAATATTACATCTAATCAGTTTATTGTTGAATCTTTTTATAAAGAAATCACGTAAACACTGCTAACTTCACCTTCACAAGATCCTGTTTTTTCTCATATTAATTTGCTTTTTTTAATTATATAATTGCATGTGTACTGGTTACATGTTCTATTTTAATAGATTTGTTGATATAACATAGTTTGTAAATGATGTATATAGCCCCCAAATGCCCTCATATGGCCACGCATATACCGACACGACCAGGAAAGTCCTACTCACTTCATTCTCACGGAGAAAATATTGTTTACGAAAAGTGAATGTTTGAAACTTTAACCGGGTTGAGCGACACGGATGGTCCATCTAGGGAAGATGGAAAACCCTGATTCCAACCAATGGTGTACATGGTCCCCACGATCCATAGGTAACAAATGGCGTACCATGGGACTGTATCTCTCAACGTTCCTCCACTGCCTTGTGGATTAGACTTTTAGGTCAAGGTTTGGGGAGTGGCTCTATAAGAAAGCCACCTGCTTCGGTTCGGACGCCTTGACAGTATCTGAACCCTGACACAAACCATTTGATTTGTGTTGCGCATATATATTTGGTGCCTCCTTATACCAATTCAGTCAAAGATTTTATTAGCTGCAGGGATTAGTACATATATAAGAAGTGAATTATATATAACAATATAATAAATATATATGTATATAGAGATACTCAATATTTAATTATAAAAATGTAACATAAACCCCATGACTTTTTATCAAATATGGTAGTGTATTTATAAATTGCATGAACAGTTTGTTAGCGTATTCTCTTAGTCATAAACTTACAATATTCTGAGCGTTCTTCAACTGAGACTACATTTGATAAAATTACTTACTTACTTACGTCTATTAACCCTCGTGGAGGAGCATAGGCCGCTCATGAACATTCTCCATCCAACTCTATCCTGGGCAATCCTTTCCCGTCCTTTCCATCTTTTAAATATCTACTTCCAGTTCCCGACATAGCGTGTTCTCTAGCCTCTTTTTCGTTTCCTTTCAGGATTGCAAGTTAGCGCTTGCCTCGTGATACAGCTTGATGATTTCCTCAGTGTTTGTCTTATCCACTTCCGACTTCTTTTTCTAACCTCCTACTCAGATGAAAGTTGACTTGTTTTGTTACACAGTAGGCTGTTGCTGATGGTATCCGGCCAACGGACATTAAGTATCTTACACAAACAATTGTTTATAAATACTTGCATCTCCTAGATGATGGTTGTAGTATTTCTCCAAGTTTCAGGCTCAACAAACACAATGGTGTATGTTAAGGCCTACTGCTGCAGATGCATCTGCTACAGTGTTTGTTTTGACCTGCATTTATTGATGTGTGTGGAATAGAAGTGCCATGTCGTCTGTGAATTCCAAATCGTCTGGTTGCATTCAACCTGTCCATTTTATTCCGTGCTTTCCCTCAAATATGGAGGTCACTATAATCAAGTCAACCACCAGAAGAAAGAGAAAGAAGGAGAGCAGGCAGTCTTGACTGCTGATTGCGAATTTGGACGTCTCCTGAATCTCTCATCCGGTTCAGCAACACTCTATTGAAAACTTATTTTCGTGCCGATAGTAGCTCGATGCCTCTATAGTTCTCACATTCGCTCAGATCTTCTTTCTTTGGTATCTTGATTAGGTATCCTTCTTTCCAGGCCATAGGCGCTTCTTCTTCCTCGCGAGTCTTCATGAACAGAACTTTGAGCATGTTTACAGTTGCTTCTGTGTCTGACATTAGTGCTTCAGTTGGTATATTGTCAGGTCCTGTTTCTTTCCCGCTCTTGATTTGTTTGATGGCCATCTTGATTTCCTCTATCAAAACACCAAACATTATCGTTCAATAACGGTAATATACCGATGAATAACTTCCAATATTCACATTATGCAAAACAAATTCGCCAATTAGTTTATTTGTAAAATTTATCATCTCATCAAATAGTATCACTGCATATTAGATTATATTTAAAATACAACTTAATATCTACTTCCTTATACTATAATAACATAGTTTTAAAATGTTGCCCTTTCAATCAGAATTCACTAGTTAATTTGGCATTTGATTTACAAGCTTTTTCATAATTTAAAGATGATTTTTATTAGAAATTTAATTTCCATACAATGAACAAGGTTTATAGCTCAACAGAGAAGTAGTGAAGATATTTTGTTTTCTTTGAACTGTCTAGCTAAATCGTGATGCTTCCATTGTCTTACTAGTTAATATCATATGTACGTATTTCATAATTTATGTTAACAAAGAAAACTATCAAGGAATCGGAAACACCTTTTTGAAGTAGTTATTATTAATGTCTGAAAAGACGATGAAAGCTTCAAGTTTGGATTATTCATTACTGAAAACACTAAGAAACAATCAAAATCTAGCAGTATTGATTAGTTCTTTTTCAACAAGTTTCCCATTTCTTACTTCTTGATCGATCTTGACGATAAATATTGTGAATGGTCATCAGTTATAAGTTAACAGTCCAGTCAATCGACATCTAAATAATTTACATACTTTTCGCTGCATATTGTCAGCAACCACGATATTTTTGATTGGATCTTTTGTGATTTGTACAACGGAAAGTTGTATACTTTTCAGAAACGCACCTGAATAGGTTATGCGATTAATAGTCATAATGATGTATTAAAACAAACAAAATTAGATAACTTGTTGAAATATCTAGATGGCAGGGACAGATAACTCAGATGTTTAAGCAGGCCGCCATATGTGTTTTGGGAGAGATTTTTAAGTATTATATATTTTTAAACACCAATATACAATTATTCATTAACAACTCTATAATCATCAATGAGAATTTACTCCATATTCGTGATTTCTTATTTTGTTCTGCTTTTTGTTTAATCTTCAAAAAACTAAATTGATTGAATTACTTTTATTTTTTTAAAAGGGTGTTAAAATTGAACCGGATCCATTAGCAATGTATACATATTTTACACAAAGAGTTAAAAAACATTTACATATTGTATTAGTTATGAGTCCAATTGGTGATGCTTTTCGATCACGGCTACGTATGTTTCCATCTCTGATTAATTGTTGTACAATTGACTGGTTTCATGTAAGTTATTATCATAATTTTATTAGTTTATATGTATATATATTTAAGTACAGGATTGTGGTGATTGTTGAGGTTCTAAGTGAGATCATGAATCGATCAATGTTAGACCACTATTAAAAACCTGAAAGCACTAAACGGCCATTTCGTCCTGTTTTGGGACTCCTCAGCAGTGCATATCCACGATCTCGCCCCGCGAGACTAGAACACAGGACCTATAGGTCCTTTCTGATATTAATCAACGTATACTCACTAGCGACTAGCTTCAAGAGGTTTTTCCTGGAAATCTATTGAGAAGCAGTGACCAGTAGAGTTTAAGCGGGTCCGTTGTGAGAGAGTAACTCACTGAAAACCATGGTGAATGTGTCGCTTAATTTCGTGGATTAGTTGAAGTTAGACATTAACACCATCGGATCCTGGTCTAGAGGTTAAGCGTTTGCGCGCGAGACCGATGGCTCCTGGGTTCTCATCCCGTGATGCGCACTGATGAACGGTCTCACACTAGGACGAAACGGCCGTTCACAGCTTCCAGGTTTCCTATGGTAGTCTAGCTTCAATTGACTCATGATCACAATCATTGAAATTACTATATCTACAAAGACCCCTTTTGATAATAATTTATTCATTTTAATCTTATCAATACAATTAAGGTTTGGCCTGAAGATGCATTAGAAATGGTTGCAAATAAATATTTTGAAGGTATTGAATTTGCAGAAAATATACGTGAATCATCTGTTACTTTATGTAAATACTTTCATGAAAGTGTAAGAAAATTAGCTGAAAAGTAAGTGTTTTCTTTAAATTACATTATATATTGATTTAAAGAATAAACCTGATCATTAAGATAATTAAAAAAATACTGAAATAAAAATAAGTTCTGGTTTCCACTGCTAGCCACTATTCATCTTTGCTTACCAAGTTTGTGAATTAAGGCAACAACGAGGCAATACGCACAATATGCACATATGCCAATAATAGACTGATCAATTACAGTCTTAAATAACAATGGGAAGATACAAGCCAAACAATACCAAGTGAATTTTCATTCTACTTAATGTTAGGAGTTTTCATTTTTACTGATTTTACTGACTACTAAAATAATGATTGCATCTATTGTTTGTATGTGTATCTCATTGTCATTTTTAAATGCATAACATAACCCCGTTAGTCAATGATGGTTCATTGTATAACCTTAAGTTTGTACATCTAACCTGATCTCAACATGGATCAGTTTATGCATCCATCTTATCTGATTATAGCGAATCGGTGATAAATTCTGTATGACTTATAAAAGTACTGATAAGTATGGGATCCTGCTCATAAATAAAACAAAGCACTAAAAATACCGAATTGTTCTTGGAAATTTAATATGCAGTGTAATTTAATAGGCTTTTTCTAAATCATTTACATTACAGTTAACAGTTTTCCCTCTAACCCAAAATATTCCTCGATAAAAGCCTAGAGGGGTCCTGAAAACGCTGAGAAACATTTTGTCCAATCATCATTGAATAGACGTTTCTCAGAAACATCTAAAAAGTGAAGTCACATATCACATTTCTGATTGATGATGAATATCTAAACTGATACTATGTCTTGTAGGGCTCCAGAACCTTCTAGAAGCTCAAGGCCACATATAATGCTATAAATACCCTCTTTTTGTGAAGTTTTCTTTCTATATTTCGTGCCTTTCCTCTCATTTTCGAGTTTTCGTGTGGATTTAGCCTGGAGTTATTAGAAGAGCTTAGAAAACCGATCCAAACGTTCAATCAGAAGATTTATTATTATTATATTCAATATAACAAAAAATTATAAAGATATTCCATCAATTAAACATATAACTTATTAAATGTCAGAAATGATACTTGACCATATATTGTAAAGGTTTAAATTTTCCTATCGTTACTAATTATGACTGTAAGTATCCAATCTCTCTAGGAAAATTAGTTTCCTGCATAGACATCTTAACACCCTTAGAATTTGCAAGTAAATTTACAATTTTAATCAGTAACTCCTTCATCCCGACCGAAGCTGCTACCTTGACGTGGTGGTCGGGCTTGCCTATCGTGATGACCCATCCGAGCTATATTGGCTGGAACATATGTTCCTGTAGGTTCTACCATGCCAGGCAGGTCGATTGGTGAACGGTAAGACTAAAAGCAGCAACTCAAAGTCTGAGGGCGAAGTCGTACTGCTGACTGTACAGAGGTGTGACAGCAGTAAGGTGTTTCCTTCGGACAATCAGCATGACAGCGATGCTGCCTTCCCACAAGGAGGGGTGGGGTTAGAAAAGGTCGACCCTAAAAATGTCACACCTCACCTTACCTCACGGATTTCCGTCTCCGGCGGTAAGGCCATCTGAAGAACGGAGCTAACACGTCAAAAACCTTCTACAAAAAGGCCGTGCGCGACCGGCCTCAAGCAGTTGTCCCTTGGGCTCTGCGGTCACGCTCCCAGGTCGTTAAGACCAACACTAATCCAATTTCCTTTTCAGGTTCCTCAAGAAATACCCTTCCACGGTGTGGGCAGCCGGGAAGTGACATCAGCCCTCATACCCGTAACAGCACGCGAGACCAAGTTGGTCACATTCAAATCCTTCCTACACCTTCTAATACCTCTCTTATCTCCATGACTAACCCTCCTCACGTCTCTTTATCACCTCGCACCGCCAGGGCAAACGATTCGAGTACGTGGAACTCTATTCCTGGTCTCCTCAAACCACGCTCTAAACTACACGTAGGAGCTTTTAACGTCCGAACACTGTGCCAAATAGGACAGCAGGATTCCTTAGCTAGGACTTTAGAATCTCGCGCCATCGATGTGTGTTGCGTCTCCGAAAAGCGCATACAGGATCCAAGTAGCATCATTCATTTGACCTCACCATGCCAAAATAAAGAACCGACTCGATTTACGCTTCGTGTATCTGGAAGCCCTGATTCTGCTTCCCGTGGCCTCGCCGGCGTAGGTATAGCATTGAGTCCTAGGGCAGAACTAGCTCTCTTAGAGTGGATCCCAGTAGACAGTCGTTTGTGCGCTGTCCGACTGAACGGAACAGTAAGAATCCGGAAAGATAGGGACACTCATCGTTGCCTCTTCGTCGTCTCTGCCTATTCTCCCACTGACTGCAGCTCAGATTATGTAAAAGATGAGTTTTACAGAAAGCTTTCGGACCTTCTCCGAAAAGCTAGGCGCTCTGATGTAGTAATAGTGGCCGGTGACTTTAATGCTCAAGTAGGTAAACTAAGCGATAGGGAAAGACACCTGGGTGGATCTTATAGTATAGTGGCTCAAAGAACAGATAATGGCGACCGTCTGTTGCAGCTATGCTCAGATAATCGCCTGTTCCTTGCAAATACTAACTTTAAGCATAAGGAAAAACATCTTTTAACATGGCGACCCCCTAATTCGTCCCAACGTTGGACCCAAATAGATCACATCGCTATCAGCCACCGATGGAGGGGCTCGATAGAAGACTGTCGCTCATTCTGGAGCACATGCCTAGATTCAGATCATGCTCTAGTACGAGCGCGTATTTGCCTGCGTCTTACTGGACGTAGGAAAACCGCTGCAAGGAAACCTCTTAGGGGCCTACTTAATGATAGTCAAGCTAAGAGTATATTTCAGGAACAACTAGGAAAACAGTAAGGCAGCCATGTATGTGATGCCCACCCCGAGGCAGCATGGAATGATATCCGAAAAGCTGTGGAAACAGCAGTGATATCTGTTAGTAAGGTAAACCAGAAGGTTAGGGAGCAACACTGGATCTCAGCAGCATCTATCGCACTGATAGATGCTCGGAAACTCATTCCACCTGGCTCTGAACATAGTGAAGAGCGGAGTCAGCTTAAGCGCAAGCTGACAAGAAGTCTGCGAAATGATCGCGAACAGTGGTGGGTAGCGAAAGCAAGAGAGATGGAAAAGGCAACGGCAATAGGTAATAGCAGACAATTGTTTAGACTCGTTAAGGAAACCGGAATTAGGAACCCGACTGTTAGCGAAACAATCTCAGAGAAAGATGGACATATTATTCATTCTCAATCCAGGAGATTGGATCAATGGGCAGAACACTTTAGGGATCAGTTCAACTGGCCTTCAGCCACACTTCGGTTTCCCACGATCTCCAGTCAACCTGAATGGCAAGTTAATGTAGGTCCTCCGTCTCTTTATGAAGTTGAAAAAGCCATAGGAAATCTGAAACGAGGGAGAGCAGCAGGCCCTGACAGGTTCACTCCTGAGATTTTTAAGGATGGTGGTCCAGTATTAGCAATGAGATTAACCGAGGTCTTAGGTAGAATTTGGGAACTGGACGTAATCCCATCTGACTGGTCTCAATCACTGATTGTGCCAGTCTATAAGAAAGGACAAAAGTCCTCTTGTGACAATCACAGAGGAATCAGTTTGACTAATATAGTGTCTAAAATATTAGCTTCAATAATACTTCGACGCCTAATCAAAGCTCGTGAAGAGCAGACTCGAGAAAATCAGGCTGGTTTTCGACCTGGACGTGGTTGTATAGATCAGATATTCACACTACGTCAGGTTCTAGAACACAGACACACGTTTAGACGCCCCACAATGGTAGTATTTCTCGACCTTAAGGCGGCATTCGACTCTGTTGATCGTAAGGTTCTATGGCAGTGTTTGTCACTGAAAGGAGTACCAAAGAAGTACATTAACCTTATTCAGGCTCTCTACTCGAACACAACTGGTAGAGTGAGAGCTTGTGGCGAACTGTCATCAGAATTGATTACCTCAAGTGGTGTTCGTCAGGGCTGTCCACTCTTTCCATTCTTGTTCAACTTTGTGGTCGACGTACTTTTAGAGATAACACTCTCCTCATCTAAATTTCCGGGGGTTGAACTTCTACCGGCAGGTTCACTTGTTGACTTAGAATATGCAGATGACATAGTTTTATTTGGTGAAGACGCTGACAAAATGCAGAGTCTTCTGACCACTCTAAGCAACAATACAAGCATGTTCGGGATGCGATTCTCTCCCTCGAAATGCAAAATGTTGCTTCAGGATTGGGTTACATCGACACCCGAACTAGTGATAGGGAGTGAAGTAGTTGAGTGTGTCGACCGCTTCACTTATCTTGGAAGTCTCATCAGCCCTTGTGGTCTGGTGTGTGACGAAATCTCAGCACGGATACATAAGGCTCGACTAGCTTTTGCCAACTTGCGTCATTTATGGCGTAGTCGAGATATCCGTCTACCAACCAAAGGACGTGTTTACTGCGCAGCAGTTCGTTCCGTCCTACTTTATGGCTGTGAAACATGGCCGGTAAGAGTAGAGGATATTCGTAGGTTACTAGTATTTGATCATAGGTGTCTTCGAAGTATTGCTCGTATATCCTGGGACCACCGAGTAAGTAACGCAACTGTTAGGAAACGGGTACTAGGTAAGGATGGCAAATCAATTGATGAAGTAGTGAAACTTCATCAGTTGAGATGGCTGGGACACGTGTTACGTATGCCCAACCACCGACTACCTCGACGTGCTATATTCAGTGGTATAGGAGTAGGTTGGAAGAAAGCTAGGGGCGGCCAGACCAAAACATGGCACAAATCCATGAAGTCACTGACAAGTGGACTGAGTCATGTTGGTAGGTGTAGACTACCTGGTTGGGGACCGCGAGATGATAGCAACCGATGGTTAGAGACCCTGAATGACATGGCTCAAAATCGTTTGCAATGGCGCAGGTGCATCCACTCTCTATGTTCTCCCAAATTCTAATTATCTGAATTCTTCATGCCCCTTTTTTTCCTCTTTCCAAATTTATTTCACTGGATTATACTCGGTAAATAACATCTTCAAACCCTAATCTTCCCGATTACTGCTTATACTCTTGCTACCTCTGCCACTACGGGATTTGAATCGACCACTGCATCTCTGTGCTAATGTGGTATGGCAACTCGAACTGATGTACGTACGTACTAAGTTCTACGTTGTTACTGACTGAACTCCTTCATAGTCAACATAAGATTCGTAAAGAATTTCAAATCTGTTATACACAAATTAGTTCCATTTGGGATAAGTCGCAAAATGACTAAAGTTACTAAGTGGATTTCGCTGTTAGCCTCCTGTCGAAAATGTTATCAGAAATAATATTTGTCCATGAATGGATTGAAATTTTACATTAAAACCGTACGATCCCGGATAAGTAGGCTAGATGTTGAGCGTACTGTTGAGGAGTCGTACACTAGGACGAGACATCCGTCCAGTACTTCCAGGTTCTCAATGGCGGTCTAACTTAGATTGACTCATGAATTCAACTTTGAAAATACTTGTTCATTCATTTTTCTTTTTTCTATTATTTCTAAAATAGATTTTTAGAGGTATTACGTCGACATAGTTATGTAACACCGACATCATATTTAGAAATGATACTTACATTTAAAAAATTATTACATCAGAAACGAACTGAATTAACTACAATGCGTAATCGATATTTAACTGGTTTAGAAAAATTAGAATTTGCTTCAAATGAAGTTGGTAAAATGCAAATTGAATTACGTAATTTACAACCATTACTTATTGAGACAAGTATAGAAACTGATAAATTATTACATAAAATTGCACAAGAATCTGTTGAAGTTGAAGCACAACGTGAAATTGTTGCATCCGATGAAATGATTGCTAATCAATCTGCATCTATATCAAAAGCAATTAAAGATGAATGTGAATCAGATTTAGCTGAAGCTATGCCAATATTAAACGATGCATTATCATCTTTAGATACATTAAAACAAAGTGTAAGCTTATTATATCATTTTTATAGGCAGAGTTTGTATCTATACTTTATAATTAGAAACTATTTAACAGTTTTCCTTAACGGTAAATCTCATTTCACCATTAATGTATTTTTTTTCTCTAGTAACTAACCTTAGTTTTAAGAGCATTCAGTGACAAGAAGTATAAGATGGATTGATGACGTATGCGATGAAGGAACAGTTTCAGCCTTTTTTTTACCTACCAAAATCAATCTTATTTTAGCTGAGTTAATAGTACATCCATTGATAATCACTAAAAGAGAGAGATTTTAGATTCTTTATACATAATATTGAACAGAGATTTGCTATGAAAACTTTAACGCGACAGATAAGTTATTAATTAAGTTCAAGAATTCTGTAGAGGTAAAATGACTTAGGCAGTAATTGCATTTAATGTTTATAAAACTAGAAATATCGAAAAGTAAAGTGTGCAGTCATCTGTTATTCGTTAAAAGTCACAATCATTTGAATAGGATCCAAGAATCTATAGAAATAAGTTCCACATAATCTAATAATCATCAGTACAGAACTTGTATATTGTAGTGAAAACTGAGATTTTTGTGTGAAATTCAGAGCTACATCATTATATTTGACGATTGGAAAGGTCAAGCTGAGACTAATCTCCAGTATAATGGAGATCTTGACAGTAATTAGTGACTGAACAATATTTTGCTTAATTCCTAGTACTAATCAATTTTTTTCGAATGACGAACCGATTTAAGTTAGACAATCACTGATGCTCTTCACAAGTGCGTATGCACGACCCCTCCACAAAGAATCAAACCCAGGACTTTTGGTCTCGCGAGTGAAGCCTTAAACTCTAGATCACTGAGTTGGCATTTAATGATCAATAATTCTAACTGTACTCAATCCATGATCAGTTAGAGCTAAGATGAGGATAAACAGTCTGTCAGCAATCAATGAAATTATTCAAGCGTACTAAAACCAAATTCGTAGAGGAATGTCAACAAACACAATTACTAGTAAGTGAAAATACATAACTACAATCAAATGAGAGTACAGTTAGAATAATGTTTGCATGAAAAAATTAGGATAAAGAATTCATGAAAAGATTAATGTTTTTTTAAATGGATGGCAGATAATCAATCAAGAGCAGTATGGGATCTGGTACAAATCGTCATGGATTCAGGTTACCACAACCCATGTCGGCACGGAGAGATGGAATTATCGAGACAAACTCCGGATTAGTAGAAGCGGTAACAGCATCAGCAGTACTAAATGACATTAGATGTATGGACTGAAATACATAAGTATTTTATGACATATATTACTGGCATCTAGGTCAATGTCACCGATTCTAAGTGATACCACTCTTCATCTCCAACATTTGATTATGATAATTGCGGGACCCCAATCAAGTCTGCATCTATCTATTGAGCTGAATTAAAAAATCAGTGACTATACAATGATGTCAACTAGTGGTTCCACCACTCTTTTCTTTTGATCTACTCCATCACTAATCATCATATCCTGTTGAATGTGGGGGTGGTTGAGCAAACTAATATATATCCTAATCACCTCAGTCAAGAAAGACTAACTATTTTATCAGTCGATTCATCATCGTTATGTACATTATCCTTAGCCTCAACATTTACCAAGCATACTCAAATAATTCTACAAATATGCTTCAATCCATAAATATCCACTATTTTTACTAATCACTTTCCATAGCCATAGAATTGAATTAAACTCACTGTTATACAATATTCTTTTTCTTTGTTTGTCAACTACAGGATATTACATTAGTTAAATCAATGAAAAATCCACCAAATGTTGTAAAATTAGTTATGGAAGCTGTTTGTATAATGTTAAATGAAAAAGCTGATCGTAAACCAGATGGTACTGGTCGAATGATTGAAGATTATTGGAGTTCATCATTAAAATTATTAAATGATTTAAAATTTTTAGATCGTTTAAAAAATTATCCAATTGATAATATTTCTATAAATATTATGAAAAAAATTCGTGACAATTATATACCAAATATAGATTTTGATCCAAAAATTGTAAAAAATGCAAGTACAGCATGTGAAGGTTTATGTAAATGGATTATTGCATTAGATAAATATGATAAAGTTGTTAAAATTGTTGCACCAAAAAAAGAAAAATTAACTATTGCTGAATCTGAATTAAAAGTTCAAGTAAGTTATATCATAATAATAATAATAATAATAATAATAATAATAATAATAATAATAATAATAATAATAATAATGGTGATGATAATAATAATAATGATAATAGTGCGCATCCGCGATCCCGCTCGCGGGTAGAGACAGTTATCTACCTCATTACAATGGAAGTTGATCGCGCAATTTCGTGGATTGGTTGATGTTAGAAACTATCACCATTAGATGCCGGCTCAGTGGTCCAGTTGGTTAAGCGTTCGCGCGCGAGACCGAAGGCCCTGGGTTCGAATCCTGCTCGCGGGATCGTGGATGCGCACTGCTGACGAGTCCCACAATAGGACGAAACGACCGTCCAGTGCTTCCAGGTTTTTCAATTGTGTTGGTCTAACATCAATTGGTTCATGATCTTAATCAAAAACTTAATAATCTCCACAACTCCTATACTAGTAATGATAATAGTGATAATAATAATAATGATAATAATAATAATAGTGATAATAATAACAGCGATAATAATAATTATTATTATAGTAATAGTGATAATAATAATAATGATAATAATTGTTGTGACTTTAGGTTGTGGTTGCTTTTTACCCTGTGCTAATTGTTGTGTCCTTGACTGAAAAAAACTAGAGAGCAGCGTATTTATCGACCGATTCAATGACACGTAAACACGTACGAACGTAAAGGACGACGTAGAGTTACGATTGGTCTCGATTCCCTGTCTATCCCAGACAGTTGAGTTCAGAACACAAATCTCAGCCTCTGAGTTATGAATCATTGTATTTCAGACATACTCTATTTATATACTAACCAAACATATCACATCGTACCATAAAAATAGAAAACAACATTTTGTACCATATTCAACAAGTGGACAGATATCGGCCAGTAGGAAATGCCCATTTAAAGTCCACCATTAAAGGACACCATTGAACGTAACATGATAATTATTGGTCTATCCTTCCGCATCCACAACAAAAATAATAATAATGATAATAATAATGATAATAGTGATAATAATAATTATTATTATAATAGTCATAGTGATAATAATTATAATAATAATGATAATGATAATAATGATAATAATATTAATGATAATGATAATGATAATAATAAGGATGATAATAAAGCTTGTTTTACACAATTTCTTGTGTTACGTTACATTATTATACTTTCCAATACTAAATATCTTATATTTCAACAAAATGTCTGTCTTATGCTGATTTAGCTTGTTGATACTCAAAGATATAGATATATATTCTCGTCAAAGGTTATAAGATGCTACTTATATTTCTCTTTGAAGTTTTCTCTATCATTCCTATCATTTTGCCATCATTTTTTCCAAAGGAAATTACCCAACTTGCTTTTATTTATTTATGTAAACACATAAACATTGATACAAGGAGGCATCAAATAGATATGTGCCACATAAAGCATCCTATTTGTGTGAGGGCTGAGATACTGCCCGGGTGCCAAAACCGAAGCAGGTGATTTACTTAGGGAGTCACACCCCTAGCCTTCGACCTGAAGGTCTGATCCACAAGGCAGTAGAGCAACGTAAGGAGATGCAGTCCCATGGTGGCCGGTGACCAACAACTGGTTTATACGCCATTTATTTCCTTAGGATCCTGGAGCTCTTGTGCACGATTGGTTTGTAATCAAGGTTTCATAACTCCCCTAGGTGGACTCTTTGTGTCCACCAACCCTGTTAAAACGCCGGACGTTCGCTTTTCTTCTGGATTTCGTAAACAACACCCCCACCACGAGAACGCAATGAGTAGGACTTCCCTGGCAAAGGCTATATACGCGTGGCCATGTGAGAGCATTTCGAGAGGGAGAGCGAACTCTCCTCACTCTTGGCCATACCAGGGCCATTACGGTACTCAATTTGGTAGAAAAAAATGATTTGGCGTCTTTATCTGAACCTAGAATGAAGTTTTTAGTAGAATTTGTTTAAAAGTTAAACTATATTGGTCATATTTTCACCAAAGCCGCGATTTCACTTTTCTCACCATATTTTGAATTGCATAAATTAGTGTACCTCAATCTACAAGATCCAGTAAGTCATCTGTTACCAAATCCTAATAAAAAATAAACGATCCAGATAGAAAAATAACCATTGCTTTCATTTTTTTCAAAAGAGAAACTACTCCATACTAATAATAAACAGTAATTATAAAGACTAAAATATCAAGTGTAAAAATATCTTAGTTCAAAAATAAAATAACAGATAATGATCACTAGAACAATCTAAAATATCATCATTTTAGTACTCGAATAGTTTGAAAACTCAACCTTGATAAGGTGATGGATACGCATTGATGAGGAGTTTCATATTAGGACAAAACAGTTGTTTAATACTTTCTAGTTTTCATTGGTTGTTTAACTTTGTTCGATTCATAATCTCAATAACATTTGATAATATTCATAAAACCACTGTAATAAAACTTCAGAATTGTTTCACTTATTAATATTTTCATATTAATATATATATAGCTGGCTAAATTAGCTGAAAAGAAAGCTGCATTAGATGAAATTCAAGAGAAATTTCAAGGTTTACAAGATCAATTAGAAGAAATGCAAAAGAAGAAACAAGATTTAGAAGATAATATTGATTTGTGTAGTAAAAAGTTGGATCGTGCAGAAAAACTGATTAGTGGATTAGGTGGGGAGAAGACACGATGGACTGAAGCTGCTGCAACATTAAAAGTAAGAATTAATAATGAGATTATATTCATACAAAAATGTGTTTTTTTTTAAATTTTAGTCTTTTAGTTTTAATAAAACATTCATATAATTAAGGTAACTGAATTGATCTTGAATTTACCGAATTCATTTTTGATATCTCGATTGATTCCGAGAGATAAGACTACTGGAAAACTGATCAAATATGTTTGCCTCTCTTCGCTTTCAACCATAATACCAAGTGAATTAGACAAACTCGAATTAATCAGTTAATTGTATGCTTAAATGTAGGACTGACACGGAATAGTAAGTATGTAATGTCACAATACTTAATTGTCTTGCATTCTACCCTTTTACTTCTATTTAAATCAGTCATCTTAATTCAAATATGTCGCGATCTCTCTAATGTCTACATGTCTACATGAGGAGTTTCATACTAGGACGAGAAGTCTATCCAATACTTCCAGGTTTTCTGTGGTGTTATAAAATGGATCCATTAATGACATCAATATAAACTCAACAATCTCCACAACCCTATACAGATGTTGTTTTCTCTTGTTTCTAAAGTTAATTCGAATTGAATTCGATCGTAAATTTAAGCCATTTTCAGCTGGCAAGAAACCTTGAAATACATTCAATTCATTTTATTCTACCAATATCGTTCTTCACACTTTATTCACATGTTATTGTCTGAATAATTTGGTTGGACTTGCGTTATTTAGGGTACTACTATTGTTAGGTCCCGATAAGCATAATGAAAGGTAACTATGGGATCCTTTAATGGACGAATATTAAACGTATATTTTTATCGTATATTTGTTAAATAACTAGACTATTCATAATATTCATGTCCCTCTTATTATAAACCTCATTTTGACTTATGAACTATTATTATAGGTTTTACCATTCTTGAATTATGCCCTGTCTATTAGTCACTGCCTCCCAAATTCACAGCCACATATGGCCAAATTTTGTACAAATGTTATTTTCTATTTTATGCTACGTTTTGGTCTGTTTGATTGATAATATAAACTCAATATGTTTTTGAAATATAAGGACTTATATTGCAGAGGCTGAGACTGATGTTCTGTACTTAACTGGCTGGGTTAGGCGGAAAGCAGGACCGATCAGGACTCTAGGCTGCTCGCACGTGTTTTACGCGTCCTTGGTCCGATCGATAATTCGCTGTTTCTCATTGATTTTGATGATCAGAATTGGGTTGTGGAGATTGTTGAGTTTTAACTGAGATCATAAATAGATATGCTTTACTGGGGAGTCCTATACGGCCGTCCATCACTTCCAGATTTTCAACGGATTTCACGAAATTAGAAGTCAGGAATCAATTTTTAACATTCCGTTTACTGTGAACTGATAAATCATTTCAAAGAAAAAGATTATGTTCAAAATTGGTTTTTAATATTACTATTGAAACATATTTAGCATCAATGGATCATTCATAAGATTATATGTTGATAAATTTTAAAACCATACATTCATCTTCACATTGATTTATTCTTCTAGGAACGATATGAAAATATAATTGGAGATGTTCTATTAAGTGCTGGTGTTGTTGCCTATCTTGGACCATATACTGTTGAGTTTCGTTCTCGAATACAAAATGAATGGCATGAATTATGTCAAAAATTAGAAATTCCTTGTTCTGAAGTGTTTCGTATCTCTGATACATTAGGTGATCCTGTAAAAATTCGTTCATGGAATATTGCTGGACTACCAGTGGATAGTTTTTCTACTGATAACGGTATAATTGTTACAAATTCTAACAGATGGGCATTATGCATAGATCCACAAGGTATATTATCAGTCTATATGAGATTTTTTGGGGGTTTTTTTGCATAAATAATGTTTCATAAAAGAAAGATCAAATTTAATGTGTAACTATAAGCCTGATTCCAACAATTCGCTGAGCATGGAATATTGATATGTGTTAAAATCGATGACTTCAATATGATTGATCGTTTTATTAGCTATAGAGCAACTATGTTGATTGTTTTCATGTTTAGATTATTACTTCAGATGTAATTTTTGGAACGTATCTGACAAACTATATCGATAGGTGCTAATTAACATAATTCATTACTTCATAACTTTCTACTGATAACCATCTGCTATCTAACGAGCTATATTTCAGTAGTGTAATATTAGTAAATGATAAACTAGAAGTAGTAATAACATCAGGGATACCCTTTTGTTCATATGAAAATAAGACTGAATAATTGTTTTCATTAATGAAACTTTACAACTTCATTCATCGAGTTAATATTTGATCCTTAGTACTTTGTGAATAACATCAGTATTGTGATGTGTGCTACTAATATCGACAGCTATAAGTACTATGTATTAGTAATTGAGAGCGAAATGCCTAGTGGTAGAATGTTAAGAAGATCGAAGAGAACGCGAATAGAAAGTGATTGATGTGGAAACGAAGGAACAATAAAGTCTGAGACAATTGATTGACATTTTGCAAATGAAGTATTTACTTCATGGTTGTCTGATTTTACTAAAAGATTTTGTAATTTTGTATTAAGATACATTTGGCTGTCCCAGCCTGTGTTCTTTATCACAACAATATTATTTATCATTTAATGATTGACTCATGAACACACTTCTGACTTGTTTGGATAATTTCCAACAATTAATTTCATTCAATGTTTAACTTATTGTAAGTTTCCAACCGGAAGTTCTATAGAGTTTAGTTTGTCTTTTGCTGTCACAGATCCATACCGATTGGAAAGTTATGAATGAACTATTAAGTTGTTATTTCCTATCACGGTAGGCTTTCAAATATATCATAAAATGAGTCACTTACCCATCAATGATACCAGATTATTTTATGTTACATTATAAATTGATTAATTGGAAATGATAATGTAGAACAGTGAGTTTCAAATCACCAATATAAAGTTAGTTCAATCACCATGAAATCTAAAAGATAGTTATTTGGTTGGAGAATAGAGATTATTAAGATATATTACGCTTACTCAAAATGCCTGTCTATCAATGGTTTTCCAAATGTTATTGAACTTCAACATTAAGTTGATAGAACATTTGTCATCTATAAAAGATACCAAAAGGAAGTTTTATGAAGATTGTAGTAATTTCAATAGTTCAGATCATGAGTTAATTGAAGCTGGACAACCATAGAAAATCTGGACGACTGTTTCGTTTTCTTGCGGGACTCCTCATTAGTGCGCATCCATGACCCCACCTCCTGGGAATCGAACCTAGAATCTATCAGTTTCACTGAGTGAGCGCTTAACCAATAAATGATGTTTTATTATTATTTCATTTCTTCTAACGTTCTCTCTTTTCATTTTGTTTTTCTTCCAAATTCAAAAAAACAAAAACATGATGAATAAAGGTCAAGCTAATAAATGGATTAAAAATATGGAAAAAGATAATAAATTACAAATTATTAAATTAACTGATACACATTATTTACGTATATTAGAAAATGCTATAGAATTTGGTTTGCCTGTATTAATGGAAAATATTAATGAAGAATTAGATCCAATATTAGAACCAATATTACAACGTTTATTATTTAAAACACATGGTAATTGGTGTATACGCCTTGGTGATAATATAATTGAATATAATTCAAATTTTCGTTTTTATATAACTACACGATTACGTAATCCAAATTATTTACCTGAAATTGCTATAAAAGTATGTTTAATTAATTTTATGATTACACCAATTGGTTTACAAGATCAATTATTAAGTATTGTTACAACAAAAGAGAAACCAAAATTAGAAATTATTAAAAATCAATTAATTATTGATACAGCTAATAATAAACGTCAATTAAAAGAATTAGAAGATCAAATATTAGAAGTATTAAATACATCAAAAGGGAATATATTAGAAAATGAAAATGCTATACATATATTAAGTTCATCAAAACAATTAAGTATAGAAATTATTGAAAAACAATCTATATCTGATAGAACACAATTAGAAATTGATTCAACACGTAATGTATATCGTCCTGTATCTGAACATGGTTCATTATTATTTTTTTGTATATCAGATTTATCAAATATTGATCCGATGTATCAATATTCATTAACATGGTTTATTAATTTATTTATATCAGTAAGTTGTCTTGTTTTTTTTTTGTTGTTTTTCGTCTTCTTCTTTTCTTTTTTTTTTATTTATAACATTGTATTGTATTGTATTGAAACAATTAGATTAAATAAGAAGTTTCGTCTAAATTTAATTGAATACTTACTTACTTTACTTACGCCTGTTACTCCTCGTGAAGGAGCATAGGCCGCTCACCAGCATTCTCCATCCAACCCTGTCCTGGGCAATCCTTTCCAGTTCCTTCCAGTTCCTATTCATCCTTTTCATATCTGCTTCTATTATCCGACGCAATGTGTTCTTTGGCCTTCCTCTTTTTCGCTTCCCTTCAGGATTCCAAGTTAGGGCTTGTCTCGTGATGCAGTTTGAAGATTTGCGTAATGTATGTCCTATCCATTTCCATCGTCTTTTCCTAATTTCTTCTTCAGCTGGAAGTTGGTTTGTTCTCTCCCACAGAAGGCTATTGCTGTTGAGTATCTTGCGTAGACAACTATTTATAAATACTTGTACCTTCTTGATGGTTGTTGTTGTAGTTCTCCAAGTTTCAGCTCCATACAGTAGAACTGCCTTGACGTTGGTATTGAAGATTCTCACTTTGATATTGGTTGAAAGTTGTTTTGAGTTCCATATGTTCTTTAACTGTAGGAATGCTGTCCTTGCTTTGCCAATCCTTGCCTTTACGTCTGCATCTGAACCTCCTTGTTCATCGATGATGCTTCCCAGGTATGTGAATTATTTTTTCTGGTAAGCGTTTTTTTAGCGAGTTAGTTTTCTACGGGATGGGGACGCTAACCCTATGCCCAACCCTCCTCCTTTACCCGGGCTTGGGACCGGCAGTAACCCTATAAGAGCTACAGGCGGAGTTAAATTTAATTGAATAGTTTCACATTATTTGGACGTCGAGTTAATATGAGATATTAAAGTAGAAGAATGTTTTATTTATAAAATTTTAGCCAATGAATTTTTAAGAAAAAATTCAACGTTTCACCTGGCAATGTGGTTTAAGCTTTGCCAAGGAAAATATAATCAAACAACAAAATTATCGAATATAAATAAGTACATGGTTCTCTGGTTTACTGTATACTTGAATAGGTCATCCAATCAAAGTGAACAATGATTAAAGTATGTATTTACATTAGTGTGTAAGAGATACGTGGTGTGAAACGAAAAGTGTTAAGATAACAAACTATGTGTATGCGTAAGAAATTTCATTCAACTATATATTGTCTTCGGTTTGTGTATATTAAGAAAAACATCATACACTCGATTGAATCAGGTCATACAGTTGATTTCAATGGCGCAAGAATCATTCAAAAAAGATTTAATTCTTACAAAGAACGACTAACAGCCTAAACCCTACATATATGGGCTAATTCAAACAGTATTAATAGGACAGATGGAATACAACTAACTGTCCCATGGCAACTAATAATTAATAATTAAACCTGAACTCCTTATTCCATTTGATCTGTCTACATCATATTAACAAATCAACGGTTTCAAATCAGTTAGCTTATCTGAATATGTTAAACAATTGAATGGAACATTAAAATAACATAATATTTCAATTACAAATACATTTCTCTTTGAATTCAGTCTTTTATTTTGTTTACTTATCTTATTTATTTATCTTCATTTAATGCATGCTGTGACATTTTTACTTCATTTCATATATAAAATGAGATGTTTTTCCTTAATATACACAGACCGAAGATTTAGATGGTGGTTGGAGGTAGTCAACAGGAAACCCTGGACCCGGGTTTCGTGCTACTTGGCACTCGTCAGATCTGCACTAATAAGGACTAGACAAGCAAGACATTGATCACCACCCAGTGATCAATCAATTGTAACAGACCGAAGACAATATATATAGTTGAATGAAATTTCTTCTCAAATCAATTATGTATACACACAGTTTGTTATCTTAACACTTTTCCTTTCACACCACATATCTCTTACACACTAATATAAATACATACTTTAAACATTGTTCACTTTGATTGGATGACCTATTCAAGTAAACAGTAAACCAGAGAACCATGTACCTATTTATATTCGATAATTTTGTTGTTTGATTATATTTTCCTTGGTAAAGCTTAGACCAGATTGCCAGGTGAAACGTTGAATTTTTTCTTAAAAATTCATTGGCTGAAATTTTACAAATGTATATTCTTTATATTAACAATGATTCATTTGAATATAAAAGTATAGTTTCCTAGCAGTGATCATATATCAGTTAATATGTAAATAAGTAATATTGTGATAGTCAGAAAAATATCCAAAAAATTATCCTGTTAATTCTAATATTATCCTTGAACGTGAAATGGTGTCATCTTCCTATTGGTCAATACTTATCGTAGTCCTAACTGCATAAATATGCATTTGTCTGTAAATTCTTATTCTTCTCCTGACCCCATAAACAATTTTCATCTACGGTTCATGTTCTGATATATTGGAGATTGGGTAACAATATTGGGGTCGTACTGGGATATCTGAATTTGGTCAGTCGGAAGAAATTAGAGTAGCCACCCACGATCCACAATATATGTAAATAAGTAATATTGTGAAACTGAAATCTAATCATTCTAAAATGAAAAGATATTGATAATGATCAAGGTTTGATCTTTTCTATTTAGTGATAACAGTATATTATTACGCTGGATATAAAGTAATGTAGTGCTGTGAACAGAGAACCAAAAAAGCAATGACAAACTATGAAAGTTTTTTCTCGGAACGTTATTTCATTTAATTCAAAGAATGTAAAACACTGGTATTTATTCTTTGTCCCTAGTATATTCTACAAGCCATAAGGTTTCGTTTGATATATGATACATTGCCATGCGTTTATCCGTTCCAGTGCTATTGTAATTTAAACGTATTATTTTGTACCCTATCTTTTACTTTAATCCCCAGTTTTGAACATAAATGTATTTTCCTAATTGTTTGTACGTTTTGGTCATGTTGGTCATCTATATTATTCATGTATCTTTTTTTCACTAATTTGATTCGGAATCGTTGCTGCTACATTGATGTGGTGGTCGGGCTTGCCCATTGTAATGAACTAACCGACCTATACTGGTTGAAACAATCGTTCCTCAAATTCCTACTATACCAGAGAGGTTGCTTGAAGAGCGATGAGACTAAAAGCAGCAAACTCAAGGTCCGAAGGCTAAGTTGTACTGCTGACTGTACAGAGGTGTGACGGCAGTATCGTGTTTCCTACAAACAACCAGCATAACAGCGGTACTGCCTTCCCACAAGGAAGGGTAGGGTTAGAAAAGGTCGACCCTAAAAATGCACACCTCGCCTTATCCCATGGATATCCGTCTCCGGCGTTAAGGTCCCAATAAGTACGGAGCTAACACGAAAATTACTCACAAAATGCTCATTTATGACTACGTTGTAACTGACTGACTGATTCGTAACCGAATAGAAACCGGGAATATATCGAATAGTGCTCCGGTTGACTCATCTTTTTTCTCGCGCGCGCATGTGAAACAATCAGGTGATAGAATAATTCTCGTCTCTTTACTCAATTCAGTTAGTCTCACTTCGAACTCACGCTGTCCTAGCCTCAATGTTGAATTAGTCAGCCTATCATGTGAAGACCTTTATCTAAATTGAGACAATTTATTTTTTGATATATTAGTGGGTAGACAGATCAAGGATGTAACACATAGATTCGGATATGACCATTTATTTAAATATTACCATCTTCAAACATCTATCATAGATACGTCTAAATGTACAATTTCAATGATCTTCACATTTATTATTAACATATTATTATAGAAGACAGAGGAAGATACAAATACACCTAGCTAGATCTTTAATAATCTAATTATTCTTTTTACTTAATAAACAACAGATATTATGCTTAAGATGATGATTTGTTTGTTTGTTTGTTTGTTACCTTATAAAACTTTAGTCTATTTCTAATAGTGAAAAATCACCTATTTTGGAAGAACGAATTGAACTATTGAATAATCATTTTACACTTAGCGTTTATCGAAATATATGTCGATCATTATTTGAAAATCATAAATTATTATTTTCTTTAATCATGTGTTATTCACTTATGAAAAATAAGTAAGTTTCTTTATTAATATGAAATCATAATGATCATCATTATTATTATTTCAAGACTATTGAATAAATGATACTTTTAATATGCAAAGATTGATAGTGGCTAGCAGTGAAATCCAGTTTGACACGCATTTCATTCTATTAATGACTCGTCAGTTGGATGTATCTACATCTCAGAGTTGATGTTCACTCTGGGACTCGAACTCAGTACCGTTCGCTTCAAATGCTATCACTTCATCCACTTAGCTACTGAATCCTGATAGCCAATAGATTGTGCAATAGGGTGAAGTTTAAATTCACTTGGTATTGTTTGTTTGAATCTTTGACTGATCAATTGTAGTTCTAAACATCAATGGAAGCATTCAAATAAACAATACAAAGTGAATATATTTATTATTTTACAATTTGACTACGTATAAGTAGGTCACTAATTATAAGAAAATAAGGTTATATAGAATAAATCATAATGGATAAAATCAGAATAGACTTCTGATTAGTTTAGTGCAGAGTCAATCTTTATTATGTTATATTGAAACTGATTGAAGCATAAATAGATCATAGAACTTATTGATTACTGAATAGTGATCAATCTGATATGTCTGATTGTTTAGTGGCATTAGAATTCTATCGACCAATTCATAATTCTTAAGAAATATCGGTATTACAGCAATTTATTCGCTGTCTGGATAGATCAATAGTAACTCATATGGCTGTGAAACTTGGTAATTTAGGTTCGAATCCTACAGCAAGCAACAGTTTCATCAAGATCGTGATGAAATCTAGATAAGACAGGTTCTCTTGTCTAATACCTTCAACAACGTGTTCCTGACTCTGACCTATGTCTTTGCACCTGATAAATGTGGAAGTGTCGTATAAGGACTAACGAGACAGGCCTTCAGTTTCTGTTTATATTCTCATTTCCAGTTAGATGTCCTTTTGTTGTTGAAATTTTAATCAGATTCCTCTTTATTACGTGGTTACGTAAAGTGTAAACACTTCAAATGAATCGCAGTTACACTACTTGTTTCTGCACAAAGGTGTTTGTTTAAAAACTTTAAAATTCAAAATTAAATCTACGACTGATGGTTATTAGTAACAGTATAGGATTCGATAAAACATTTCTCTAAGTTTCAATCAACTTGTGATTGCAATACCCTTCTCAAATTGTGTTTTGTTAACGTTATAGATTCACCATTGTGCAATATTTTTTATATATATTACCCGAATACCACTTCGTAAATGATTGATACGACCGATTATTCCTTACAGCACTGTAACTTAGTTACATCTCACTGATAAACCCAAAATAATACAATAATTGCTTCTTGGGTTGTACTCTCAGTTACTATTCATGTTCATAATCAACTTGTTCATGTGAAGAATATTGAAGCATCCGTCCAAGAAGTACTAACAGTGACTGGTTAATTCAGTCTTAACAAACATCAACGGCAAAAGATGAATTACTGAATTCGATTTTTTTTAGAATGAGACATTGTGAAGATAGACACAGACTTAATTCTTACGAATAAACATTGTGAACCAGCAACCACTGTACGCTGCTTCATCCTAGTATAGTATTCCATAGCAGAGCAAAGCCGCGAAGCCAGCAAGCTTAAAACGTATGACCTTCAAGAACCTTACTAATAAGCACTATCCAAATTATAATCAATTTAACTGCCATTACTACTTATTTACTTTAATTAATCACTTGATTTAATATAAAAAAATTTCAAATTAGAGGGAAAGTAAATGAAACAGTTTGGCGTTTTCTACTAACCGGTGGTGTTGCACTTGATAATCCTTATCCAAATCCATGTCCTGATTGGTTATCAGATAAATGTTGGTCAGAAATTGTACGTACTACAGAATTACCAGGATTAGAAGGATTTATGCATAGTAAGTAGTACAATTATATCAAATATTATATAAATATATAATTTTTCATATGTTAATATTGTGACAAACGTGAACACAAGAATTAAGAATATACGGCAGCTGGATTATTTCATTCAGAAAACAGAACATTTTCCTATATACATCAAAGTTAGATCTCAAAACAACTGTCAGCCAACAATAAAGTCAGAATCTTCAATACGAACGTCAAGATAGTCCTATTATACGGAGCTGAAACTTGGAGAACTACCACAACCATCATTAAAAAGGTAAAAGTCTTTATAAACAAATGTCTACGCAAGATAGTGAGTGTCCGTTATCCGGACACCATCAGCAACAACCTACTGTGGGACAGAACAAACCAACTTCCATCTGAAAAGGAAATTGGGAAAAAACGTTGGAAGTGGATAGGATACATATTGAGGAAAACATCATACTACATCACAAAACAAGCGCTTACCTGGGATTCTGAAGGGAAACGGAAACGAGGGAGACCAAAGAACACTTTGAACCGAGAATTGTTTGCAAATATGAAAAGAATGGACAGCAACTGGAAAGGATTGTCCAGGATAGAGTTGGATCGAGAATGCAGGTAGATTGCCTATACTCCTCCACGGCGGATAACAAACGTAAATAAGTATATATATATCACAGTAAGCACTGAACGCATCGGTTATACCTGAATTGAAAAAAACATCTTAACGGTGTATATTTGTATTCTCATATGGTTTCCAATCTAAATTATTTACTGCTAACACTTTACTATTGAACTAATAGACCAGAATTCAATGGTTCAAAATCATGACTAAAGGGAATTTTAAATAAAACGATCTCTCTACCATATAGCAACGCTCAGATTACAGTGTTTCATAATGTTTAACCCTTGTGTATGGTACTTTGTTTTAATATAATTAGTTGTGTCAACTATATGTAGCAAATACAGAGGTATTTCCGACATGCTCTTTAATTACTATGAATTAAGGCCATTCCTTTTTTACTTTTGCCCAAAATCGCAAGCTATAGTTTCGTTTCTACATCTATTATAGGTACACGAAGAGTATTTCAACATATTTATTCTCTACTTATTTGAATAAGTTTTTGATTGCGTAAACAGCACTTAACATTATACATTAATACCTAATTAATAAAACCATTTGTTTCAAGATACTTGGTTATATTGTCCACAATCTTTTATCAACCATGTACAAACAGATATATGCAATGAACAATATTTATTATCACGAAGAAAAAAACCGAAAAAAAACACTGCTGTGAAGGAGCATCCTCTTTCTTTTAGTATAGCGATTGCTGTTATCTAGTATCTTGCTGAAGTTCTAACTATAGTTCTAGACTCGGTACATCAACAGTTTGAATTTCATTTGGAAAAGAACTTGATACCATCCTCAAGGTCTAGATCAATTTCATGGCTTAGATTTAATTACTACCCGTAAATCAATTCACCTGCTTCAACTAACCAACTACAAGGTCACAGATATCACAAAATTTCTCAATGGTAATTTCATCTAGTGGGTTAGTAATCTCAACAAATCTATATAGCACAAGCGACATAGAATCAGTTAAACGTCACAAGTACTCTTAGCTTACCATTAATAGTTATTGAACACTAAAAATGTTTCATATGAATCGGATATTTATTTACATATATTCACTGCATTTTTAAAGGTGTACAATCTGCTTCAAATGAATGGAAAGCTATGTATGATGATTTAACACCTCATAGATTTCCTATTCCTGGAGAATTTTCAAAATTAGATGGTCTTGAAAAATTGGTTTTACTACGATGTATACGTCCAGATAAAGTGATTCCTGGAGTTCAAGTAAGTTTTGACTGTTTGTAATAATATTAACATTAATAGTGAATCAAACTTTCTTACAAATCATTTATATTTTCAAAAGTAGATTAAATTTATTATATATGCAAAAACACTACTACTTAGTAAAATCCCGCGAGCGGGATCGTGAATGTGTACTGCTGAGGAGTTCCATAATAGGATGAAACGGCCGTCCAGTACTTCCAGATTTCCAACTGTGATCTAACATCAATTGGTTCATGATCTTCATCAAAAACTTAATAATCTCCACAACCCCTATACTGGTAAAACAGAGTTGATTTCATGCCATGATTAAATGACTTGAATGTATGAAAGTAACTTGGTTATTTGTTATACAGATTACTTCAAGCTTTAAAAGAAATACTTTTGGCTGAAATGATATAAGATATATTGAATAGTATTTCAAGTGAATACATTATGAATTCCTATTTAAAACTATTTCTATGATTATAGGAAAATTAGTAACTAGATCCTGAAGAAAAGGTTAACTGAACTATTTTTCATTGGCATCGTGTACATCATATATTATTACTGGTAGAAGTATTTCGATCAGTTCTAAATGTAACTGTAAACCTAATTAATTTAACATTTTAGTGTATTCTAATTTCCATGATTTATGAAACTGTAGGGTTATTCAAATGTCAAACAAAGAATTAGTTCTATAGTTCATTGCTAGCCAACATCCATCTCTGCTTATAATGCTTGTGACTCAATCCACACACGATGCATATACGCCAAAAGAAACTTATCAGTTGAAGTCTTAAACGTCAAAAGAAAGATTCAAATAATCAATAGAAAGTAAACTAAGCTTTACCTTATTGTGCAAGGTACTGACTATCAGGACTCAGTAGCTAAATGGATAATACAATGGCGTTTATAGCAGACGGTACTGAGTTCGTGTCTCGGAGTGAGATCATCAAATCTGTAATGAAGGTACATCCAGCTTAAGAGTCTCACATAAGTGCAAATAAAGAAGAACAATTTAGAAGATGAAGTTATAAATTTGATTAGAAACCCTAAAATATATAAAACGAAATCCTACATAGATGAAAATGCTTCAAGTTTCAGAATGTGCATCTTTGTTACTATTAAGTTACAAATATATTTCTCTAAAGATTTCAAATCTCAAATCAAGCAGAAACAAATCTCGATTGTTTTTTATTGGATAATGAAGCCTATTGCAGTTAATGTTTTTTTAAGAGTTATGAAAAGCTTCTTATTAGCTCCTGTTGTGATGTGTGCTACTGATGTCGACAGATATCAGTAGTATGTATCATCAATCGAAAGTGAAATACCTGGCAGCAGAAGGTTAAGAAGATCGAGGAAAAGAGAGCGAGAACAGAAAATGAATACTGTGTAAACGAAGAAACAGTGAAGTCTGAGACAGTTGATTGGCAGTTTGTAAATTAAAACGTTACTGTATGGTTTTTCAGACTTTACTAAGAGATTCTATAACTTTGTGTTGAAATACATTTCGTTTCCCTCACTTGTTTTCTCGTTCCGTACACTGTCAACTGTTTTAAATGCCATTCATAACATTCTCCTGGTGAAAACTTTTTTATTCTAGGAATTTTCATCATTTAAATAATTCAGTCCAATCATTATTATATTACTTAATTTATTGTATAAACAGCTATGCAAAAATGATATAGGCGTTGGAATAATGATTTAGTTAACAAACTGTTATTAACCATGCCAAATATTATCATTCATTATCCCTGGACTTGATGTTTCTGTGCTCATTACAGAAAATAAAATCTTTTTTTTAAATTTTAGCTTCAGCGATTGAGAAACCCTCTCCTTCTTTCCAAAATCCGTGCCTGACCAAGACTTACATCATTTATACGTTGTTTAAAATCTTTCCTCCTAAAGTAACCAGTGAATTTTGTACAATTCTATTCAGCGAATATAAAGCTAAACAAAATAGCAAGAAAAAGGTTTCTTTTTGAAAGCTCTTATATCCAAATGAGAGAGATAATCAAATTGAAATATAAACTTTAGTCAAAAACTGTTACTGAGTTCAATGCCATCAATGTCATTAATAACAAGAATTGTAAAAAACAAAACGAAAGCTATTCATTTCGAAGTTATTTTTTTATCACAGTTCGATTAAAATTGAATAAACATTAAAAACCCAAAGTACATTGAGCAATTTTTGTCAACCAAACTTGTGACTCCTCAGTTGCATATGTGCACCACTCTGAAAGCTTCACATTTCTTAACATCTATGGATAAAATTGCTTCACAGAGGCAACGGATAAGATTATACCCTGTAATTAGTGAAGCACATAATTGTATAGATGATGACAATGGTAGACGGTGTCGCAACTTCGTGGATTAGTCGAAGTTAGAGATTAACTCCATTGAATGCTGGCTCAGTGGTCTAGAGGTTAAGCACTCACACGCGAGACTGACAGGTCCTGGGTTCGAGTCTCGTGAGGTAGGATTGTGGGTGCGCAATGCTTAGGCGTCTTATACTAGGACGAAACGACTGTCCGGTGCTTCCAGGTTTTCCATGGTGTTTTAGCTTCAATTGACTCATGAATTCAACTACTAAATTAAATAATTTTATGTTCATATTTGTGATAGTTCTGTAAAAAGAACACTGTTGAATCTAATTAGTTTCTGATGTTAAAGTTTATAATACTTTACACCTTAAACTTTCATAATAAGTGAATTATTGAAAGTATTATCGTTTTTTCTTCTCAAAAAATAAATAGGATTTTATTGTACAAAATCTTGGTCAACAATTTATTGAACCACCAACATTTGATTTACCCAGTTCATTCGCTGATTCCAATTGTTGTTCACCATTAATATTTATATTATCACCTGGAGCTGATCCAATGAATGCTTTAATTAAATTCGGTATTGATATAGGTTATACCAGGGATCGTATACAAACAATATCACTTGGTCAAGGTCAAGGACCAATAGCAGCGAATATGATTTATCAAGCTATTAAAAATGGTACATGGGTTGTATTACAAAATTGTCATTTAGCTGTTAGTTGGATGAAATCATTAGAGAAAATATGTGAAGAAACAATTATACCAAATAATGTAAATGATAAATTTCGTTTATGGTTAACTAGTTATCCATCACCTGATTTTCCTGTTACAATATTAGAAAATGGTAAGTGTAACTTTGTTTGAATAATGACCATCAAGGTTATTAGTGAGAAAGTTAGATTTTTCGCAGTGAATCTTAAGTGAAATCAAAATATGTGAATGCTTGTAATTACAACATAGAAATTTTGCATTTGATGTTTATCACTTATTAAATCTAATTTAATAACTCATTACTGTAAATAAACGGATATAATATTGAGAAAAAAATGAGTGAGATCATGAACCAATTGATGCTAGACCACCAGTGAAGATCTGGAAATGCTGGATGGCCGCTTCGTCCTATTGTTGGACTCCTCAACAGTGCGCATCTACTATCCCGCTCGCGGGATTCCAATGCACGGCCTTCAGTCTCGCGCGCAAACGCTTGACCTACTGGACCACTGAGCCGGCATCCAGCAATGTTAATGTATAACATCAACCGATCCACGAAATACCGCGACCATCTTCCATTGTACTGAGGTAGATACCTGTCTCTATCCGAAACGGATTAGCTGCACTGGTCACGACTTCTCACTAGAACTCCGAGAATTCCCTCATGAAGCCAGTCATCAGTGAGCACATGGTAATTATCTGTATAGGGTTGTTGAGATTATTAAGTTATTGATTGAGATCATCAACCGATTGATGTTAGACCACCATTGAAAACATCAATCGGTTCATGATCTCAATCAGTAACGTAATAATCTCCACAACCCTATACTAAAGGAAAATAACCGATTACTTAAATGCCATTTTTTTCAAGTGAAATGACGAAATTCGTCTACGAAATAGTATGTAAAAAGAAAATGAAATGATTAAGTTATTTGAAACAGTTGATTATATAACATAAGTTTCAAGGGTCACTCAAGACCCAAATATGAAACCTAATTCTTGTCTTTCATTGCAATTATATTATCGTCAAAAATTGTCATTGACACTAGAGTATATATGATTGACCGTAGAAACTATAGCCTTTCATACAGTCGTTTATAGTTGAAGAGATTAGTTAATGAAAATTAATCATAAAAAAATAATTCAACGTTAGATCATGTGATATAAAGATTAACCAGTTTATATTTGATGGAGTTTTTTCCTCTGAGCTGGATGGTTCGGCTCTTCTATTACACTTTAGACTATGGAATTATACACCTTTATGAAAATAAGTTTTTTTCCCCGGTTACTAATTGAATCTGAATGGTTTATGTATATTCAGACTATTTGATTACAGTCAGTAGTGGGATACATCCAGTGATTTGATTGAAATACTATATACTCATACGTTTGCCTTCATTTTGAATAGATATTGTTGTTTCGTTCTTCCTGTTCAATTTGCAATGTTTGTATGACCACTGATTTTTGTTTACGAAACAAGTAATCAGTCTTCTAGACCTGCTTAATCAGAGTACAGAACATATCTATAAGTAAAACAATACCAAGTGAATTTAAACCTCACCCCATTGTACAAGCAGGTGGCTATCAGTACTCAGTAGCTAAGTAGATAACTCGATAGCATTTGAAGCGAATGGTACTGAGCTTGAGTCCCAGAGTGAACATAAACTCTGAGATGTAGATACATCCAACTGACGAGTCCCAAATAGGACGAAACGCGTGTCAAACTGGATTTCACTGCTAGCCACTATCCATCTTTGCATAAACAGCTTATAACTTAAGGCAATATCAACGCAATCCGCACAGTATGCACATATACCAACAAGAGACTGATCAATTGCAGTCCTAAATAACAATCAGAAGATACAAGTAAAAAGTAATAAAATTAATTATCTTGTTGAATTATCAAGATTTTGTAAAAAAAAAAGGAATAATTATACACTATCATTTGTATTCACTATTTTTCTTTTCACATATATCATAGGTGTTAAAATGACAAATGAACCACCAAAAGGTTTGCGATCAAATTTATTACGTTCTTATTTAAATGATCCTATATCAGATCCAATATTCTATGATGGTTGTACAAAAGTAAGTGAACAACAGATATTTATAAAAACAAAATGAATAAAATATAACATCTACTCAGTACTCCCATTCTTTCTTATCCCCTGAATATAACATGGTGACCTTGTAGTTAAGCTTTAAGATTTCAGTAAATGGATCAAAGGTTTAAACTTTACTCCATCTAATTTGTTATGAATAACCAGGTTGTTATAACCCAGTGATGATTAAATTACAGGTAACTCCCGAGGACAATTAATGAACTTATATTCTATAAATATTCTTATTGTAAAACTATTGAATAATTAGATTATGTATATTTATATTCCTCTTATTATAAGCATTGTTTTGACTTATAATTTATTATTGTACGATTTATGGTTCTTAAGCTATGCTCAGTCTATTAATTACTGTCCCCCTCGTTCACTGCCACTTTTTGGCGTTATTGTGTACACATGTTATTTTCTATTTTATGGTACGTTGTGGTCTGTCTAATTGATATATAAACCGAGTATGTCTGAAATAAACGATCCAATTCAATCCGATTCGATTCATATTACGGAAGCTGGTATTGTGTTCTGGACTCAAGTGGAGGGGATAGGAGGACATAGGACCAATAAGGACGCTAAACTGCTCATACCGGTTGAACGTCATTGGTTTGGCATAGTGCGAAATCGTATAAGTCGTATTCTGATTGGTGGATAAGTCGCGTGATAGAAAAGCCAGACATCCAAAGTATTAATGTCAAGTCGTCACAAAATAAAATGTGATAAAATACTGGTAAACTAAACTTACAACAAAATTATCCTCACTGTTAACAATTAAAAGGTGAAGTAATAACTATCAACTATTACTAAAAACTTTTGACCACTGAATATCCAATCGGAGGAATGTTTGACTATAAATATCCCAGAAAACATTTCAGGTATTCCTTAGTTTTCTTGTATATAGGCCGTCAGCCACATTTACTTCATGAATGAGCTCAATGCCTTTGTGAAATTATTGTATAGCACTTTGTAGATCTACCTTATCTTAAAATAATCTCGATTATTGAATAAATCTTAATATTTGGATAGACAATTATAACAAAAAAAACATTCTTCATCACTTTGTTCATAATAGATATTGTGACATGGCTCAGAATCGACCACAATGGTGTAGATGTATACACTCTCTATCTTCCCTTAAACTATGAGATTAAAATCGCTTCATATCTTCCCTTCTACGAATTAGTTCTTTCTTCCTGTACTATGTCCTTATATGCAATCTTTCTTTTATATATTACCATCATTGAATTAACTACTTCTATGAATCCGGTGTTCATCTTGCTGTACTAATGAAGTATGACAACTTGGACTGATGCATATATATATATATATATATATATATATATATATATATATATATATATATATATATATATATATATATATATATATATATATATCAATTTAAATATAATCACTAAATCATAAAACAGTTTGTTTCTTCAATAAACAGATCCTTTTCAACAAGTTTATTTACAAAAGATTTACAATTCTATTTATATTCAGAAGGGGTTTGTGGAGATTTTAGAAATTTTCACAGATTGAAATCATGAGTCACTTGAAGCTAGACCACCATTGAAAACCTGGAAGCACTGGACGGCCGTTTCATCCTAGTATGGGACTCTTCAGCGGTGCGCATTCACGATCCTGCACCACGTGGGGATCGAACCCAGGAACTACCATATACTATTGTCTCCACAAACCCCTTCTGATAATAATCATCTGCTCACTAGTGAGTGACTTCAAGGGATACTCCTGGAGTTCTAGTGGGAAGCCGTTACCAGTGGAGTTCAACCAGGTCTGTTGTGAGATATCAGCCCACTGAAGACAATGGTGTACGGTGGCGCAACTTCGTGGATTGGTTGAAGTTAGACATTAACACTATTGGATGCCGGCTCAGTGATCTAATGGTTAAGTGCTCGCACGCGAAGCCAGTAGGTCCTGGGTTCGAATCTCGCGGGGGGCGGGATCGTGGATGCGCACCGCTGAAGAGTCCCATACTAGGATGAAACGGCCGTCCAGTGCTTCCAGGTTTTCAATGGTGGTCTAGCTTCAACTGACTCATGATTTCAATCTGTGAAAAATTCTAATTATATATGATAAATTATCGATCAATGAATAGTTATATCAAAATGGGGATTCGTGGTTATTATAGTAATTTTAACAGTCGATCTAAGGTAGACCACGATTGAAAACCTGAAAGCATTAAATAACCGTTCCGATCTACTATGTCTAACTTCAATCGATCCATGATCTTATGCAACCCTTCAACCGGCTCAGTGATCTAGAGGTTAAGAGTTCGTGTGTGAGACATATGGTCCTGGATTCGAATCCTACGTGAGGGACCGTAGATGCGCACTGCTGAGAAGTCCCAAACTAGAATGATACGGTTGTTTAGTGCTCTCAGGTTTTCAATGGTGGTTTAACTTAGATTGACTCATGAATCCAATTGTTAGGATAATTATATGTCAGTTAAAATTTGATTAACTATTATTAATGTGTAAGAAATAGTTAAAGGAGAAAATATACGAAATATGAGAAACGGTGAGTATTGTCACATTGAAATAAAAATGTGAGAATGATGGCCAAGATATTTTATTTGAAACAATCTTTAATAAATGAACATAATTATTGTTGTGACTTTATGCCCCGCTTTTTATCATGTAACTTATTCGCCAATCAAAATACGACTTATTTACTCTTTTACTGTAATAAACCAATGACGTTCGACCGGTCTGATCAGTCTAGCGTCCTTATTAGTCCTTTACTCACCTGGATCGTCCAGTTGAGTCCAGAACACCAATACCAGCTTCCACTATGCGGATCATTTACTCCAGACATACTTGGTTTATATATCAGTTAAACAGACCGCGTCGCACCATAAAAATAGGAAAAAACAGTCAGTTAGTGTGTTGTTACATGTATGAGGGCTGATATCACCTCACGGCTGCCCACATTGTGGAAGGGTATTTCTTAAGGAACCCGAAAAGGAAGTTGGATTGGTGTTGTTCTTAAAGACCTGGGAACGTGACGGCAGAGCAACTGCTTGGGGCCGGTGGCGCGCGGCTTTCTGTGAGAGGTTTTTAACGTGTTAGCTCCGTTCTTCAAAGGGCCTTATCACTGTAGACAGAAATCCGTGAGGTAAGGTGAGGTGTGACATTTTTAGGGTCGACCTTTTCGAACCCCTTCTCTCCTTGTGAGAAGGTAGCATCGCTGCAGATGCTGGTTGTCCGAGGGAAACACCTTACTGCTGTCACACCCCTCTACAATCAGCAGTACAACTTTACCCTCAAACCTTGAGCTGCTGCTTTTAATCTTACCGTTCTCTAATCACCCTGCCTGGCATGGTAGAATCTGCAGGAACGTATGTTCCAGGCAATATAGCTCGGTTGGGTCATCACCATAGGCAAGCCTGACCACCACGTCAAGGTAGCAGCTACGGTTGGGATAGGAAATAACGTTTATACAAGATGCAGCCAAAAAATGGCTGTGAACGTGAGAGACTATAATCAATAAACTGAACATAACTCAAGAACAATAAATGGTATAATAATAATCTACAGGTCAGAATGAAGCTTATAATAAAAGGAATATAGATATTTAGAATCTGGTTACTGAATAGTTATACAATAAGAATATATATATATGTATAATATTAGTCCATTATTAGTTCTCGGAAGTTACTCGTAATTTAATCTTCGTTAGGATATAACAATAATAATAGAAAATTAGAATTATCTTATAAATATAATAAAATAAAGAAGAGAGATAATAGTTAAGTACACAAAATAATACTGAAAATAGATCTAAGAAATTGTTTTTATACACATAACTCAAGTTTTCAATTATGAATAGTTGAAACTCTTGCAGTGTAAGGCGAGTGAAGACGTACATCTCTTGGTATGTTTGTTGGGGATGTTAGATCCCCAGAACTCACTTGGTAAATGTTTTATTTCGTAATTCCAATTTAAAATTTTGAATTTCTTTTTTTTTGAGCCAAAAAGCGCTTATTTTTACCTTCATGTCGTATTTCTCATTTGGGAGGATCTTAAACAGTAATGACTCGTTTTATCTTTTAGTATGCTATTTATATACGCTTCCCAAGGACATTTTTATGCTGTATACATAAGCTTGATTTGTGCTTCTTGTTGTTGTCCGTACTTCTTGCTGCTTATGGAATACATTTCCATTTTCCGAAATTGGGATTCTCTTTCTACTTAGCTGGGTTGGAACGCATCGGAATAGCTAGTTTATCTGTTATTGTGTCACAGTCTTCGTTCTGTTCTCGGATTAAATGAACTCGTCATCAGTTGCGAATATTCTTTATCAATACTTTGTTTAATTATCGAATGTTCTAAGGATATTTCAATAAAAGTTTTACTTTCTTCTTCTTATTTGTTTTAGAATCCTATATGGCATAAGATGTTATTTGGATTATGCTTTTTCCATGCACTGGTTCAAGAAAGACGTAACTTTGGTCCACTTGGTTGGAATGTTCCTTATGAATTCAATGAATCCGATCTACGTATCAGTGTACGACAAATGAAGGTAAGACTAAAGTGTAGATCATATTAGCACACTTTTCATGTCCCTTTTTAAAAGATGATTTTCGTCACGGACTAATATACGTTGAACAAAATTATTAAAAATGTTGTATTGTTACATTTCGAACAGAAAAATGTGTTAATATAGAATGGATGTAATGTGGTTAGCACAGAAATTCAGGACATGCCTTTGATTTTATTTGAGGGTGGGTGTACATGCATCCAATAGTTGTTCACTTTAGTACTCGAACGCAGAACCATTCGTTTCAAACACCACCGTGTTATCCACTTAAGTACGGAGTTCACATAACCACTCACCTTTGCAACGGGTATGGGTTTTAGTTCAATTTAAAATGATTTACATTATTGCCTTGTTAATATTTTGACTGAGATTTGATCAGTCTTGGTTAGCAAATGTGTATTCTGTACTGATTGTTTCGATATAATCATTATGGCGCAAATTAATATATAACTGATGGAATGTGTCTAGCAGTAGAAAAATGCATGTCCTATTACATGTTAAGAGTACACTGTATAGCTACAGGTAATCAGTATAAATCCGTTTTCTATAAGAAATAGTTTAACAATAATGTGCATGATGGTGATATCCGTAATGAAATTACTTCGAGAATGGAGATATGGTGTTGTTTTTTTAAGCATCAAAAGTTGTGATATATAAGCGTAAGACTCCAATGTCAATAATTTCCAACCATCTAACATCAAAGTAAGTGTACCTAAATATAACTTAATGAATTTAATGATCACATTTAAACTTTGAAAGATAAAGTTCAAAAGACCATATTGACTTGACAAAATAATATTTGTACATTTCAAAAATCATTTACGCCATTTTCCTTCATATTTTTTTAAAAATTCAAATACCTTGAGGAGCATCAGTTACCTCGACTTTGAATACATCTCATTCTAAAATTTAGATTCATTTAAGCTTCTTGTACTTTACCTCGAATCATGTTACATGCAAACACAATCTACATTTAATAGTTGGTCACTAAAACTATTGCGTACACAACCACTACCACTAAGGTCTTGACAAACACGAAATTTGTCACTATTCAATGATCATTTAATATATATAAATATATATTGGTTGTTTAAAATCAAGTTGACAGTTTTGCTTTAATTTTATCTAATCAATTCATAGTCATAAAAATTTATATTTAAATTAATTCTTAATTTCTTAGTCTGCATCATGAAGTGATCTAAGCTAGACAACTTTTGTAAACTGGAATGCACAGGAGAAGGTTTCATCCCAAAAAAGGACTCTTAAATATTTAAAATCCAAAACTCTATTAGTGATCGTATCCAGTATCTTCAGATCTCTCAGAGAGTATTTAACCTTCAAGCCAGTTACTTGACATTGTACAGTTTACATTTCTAACTTCTTAGGTTTCAATGTTTGTCTAGGGTCAGTTCATGTTTTAGACTAGGAAACGCAACAATCTCCACAAACTTCTTGTACCATATTATTGATTTTTTTCTGTTGCTTTATTTTTTTTAAAAACATTTAATAATTTAGATGTTTTTAGATCAATATGATGAAATTCCATTTGAAGCATTGACTTATCTTACTGGTGAATGTAATTATGGTGGACGTGTAACTGATGATAAAGATAGACGATTACTTATTTCATTATTGGGTATATTTTATAATAAAAAAATTATTGAAGAAGAAAATTACAAGTAAGTTATACAATTACTTTTTTCATTATCAGAATGGGTTTTGTGGAGAGTTTATACAAATTTCATAGGTTGAAATCATGAGTGGATTGAAGCTAGACCACCATGGATAAGGTGGAAGCACTGGACGGCCGTTTCGTCTTAGTATGTGACTCCTCAGAAGTGCGCATCCATGATCCCGCACCACTTTTTCATTATAATGGAACTTGATAACTCGTTGATATATTAAACTATTTAAGAAATGCGACTATAAACCAAGTCTTTTTAATTAAATAATTTAATTACTAAACAGAAAGTTATTTAACATGCATTGAAAATAATTGGGGTATAAATGAAGTTTTGGAAGCAATTGACAGTTGTTTTGTGCTATAATAGAATTCCACATTAGTGTACATTTAAGAACCGGCTATAGATTAAACACAAGTATCGCAGCCATAAAATTGGAACAAATTTGAGATATATAAACGTTTATTTGAATCGAACTAACTGTTCATGAATCCCTTATCACAATGTGATATAACCAGTTGTGAATTGTATTTCATAACATTAAGAAGTTGAATCATGAAATGTTATCAGTAATAAGTAGCGTAACCTTAAATTACACTCTAAAAACACTATTTATAATCTATAATTGTTAGAAGTTCTGTGAACGTTTGCTCAACTGAACTGTAGCTTACTACTTAATTGGATCGTACATAAAAAACAAGTAGTGATATATAATTTCAAAATAGAATTAAATATCCGCTAAATAGCTTTAAATTCTAAACCAACTTCTAGTCCTGTGTATAATGTTCAATCAACTGTAGTGCCGAATAATTTAAGAAAAAAAGTAGTTTTTCTTTCGCCAAGATTTTACAAACATCTTCATCCTCCTTAAATTTTTCTTTTGCTGGAATCCTAATTCATTGAACTTGTTCTAGAGACATGATTTATATCAATAAGCCTTATATATCTAAAAGAAATATGTAGAATGATCATTATATACATGTGTATATCTTATTCTTTTGAATATATTATAGATTTTCACCATCTGGTATATATTATTGTCCTGATGATGGTACAGCTCAACATTTTATTGATTATATACGTTCATTGCCATTAAATCCAATGCCAGAAGTTTATGGCCTTCATGATAATGCCGATATCACTAAAGACACTCAAGAAACTTTCCAAGTAATTAATTAATGTTTATTTCATTTTTTTTAAAAATAAATCAATAAGAATTTGTTTGGAAATCCTCATTTGATAATAATATAATCAAGAGGTATTTCTTGGAGTTCTAGTGAAAAGCAGTGACCAGTAGAGTTCACCCGGGTCTGTTGTGAGATAGTAACTCATTGAAGACAATGGTGGATATGTCGCTCATTTTCGTAGATTAGTTGAACTTAGATATTAACACCGTTGGATGCTGGCCTACTCAGTGGTCCAGTGGTTAAGCGCTTGCGCTAAAGACTCATAGGTCCTTGGTTGGAATCTCGCGAGGCGGGATTGTGGATGCACATTGTTAAGGAGTCCCCTATTGAGACGAAACAGCCATTCAATGCTTCCAGATTTTTCATAGTGGTCTAGCTTCAATAGACTCATGATTTCAACTATTAAAATCACTATAATATCCATAAAAAACCCTTCTGATATAATTTAAATAGACAACATCCCGAATGGCAAGAAATACAACTACTCTTTCTAAAAACCGTACGTACTATTGAATAGACAACGCCACGCTTAATAATAATACGTTTTTAACCAATCTAAAGTCATAATTAAAAAAATGATTAGATACTTTACGCTGATTGGTTTAACAGTAGATTCAACCAACCAATAGGATTCTTGAAATATTTCAGAGTAATGAAACGAATTCAAAGTTCTACAGTAGGATTTCAAAATTAATGTAAAATATAGTTTTTTTTCATGAGTAAATTTGAAGAATGTACCTTTATATAGGGTTCTTAATATTTTGAATTCATGAAGACGAGGTTAATGTATGGAAATGATACTGCATAAATACCAAGTACCGTGAAATGTTTACTCACACTGTTACGAATTGTTATTGCAGTGTAAACCGATTAAAACTGTTTTACCTTTGATTAATCTTATGTAAACTCTTAAGCAAATCATGATTTTAGTAATTTGCTGGTTAATTGACACTTGTGACATGCACACTCATTTACATGTTTGTTTTTGTCCCTTGGGAAATTATGCCTGTCAAAGGTTTATAGATTCCAAGTGAGAGCTATTTCTTAACCGACCATCTGAACTTAACATGTGGCAATTTCTGATTAACACATTGTATCATTTACACACAAGGAGATTGTTGTGTTTTGAGAAATAGTGATATTTTTTAGGGACAGAAATTCTATTCGATATCATGAACCATACTACCAGTAGGATCAATAACCCATGTCACAAATATACACAGCAACCAATGAATCACAATCAAGGCCTTAACGATCCACGTTACACCGAGTAGCCAAACAGAAGATGCGGACAAGAAGTATATTTGTTCTATATAGTGCCCAACTCAGTCATAACTTAAAACGCATATACGTGAAATGACTGGCGACACAGAACACCAAATGAGAAATCATACTTTAAGCACAATCATATCACTATTGGTAGAGGGAAGAGCGAAATGTATACAATAATTTGGGAAAAGTAGAATGCATAATAATGGTCAATAGGTTCAGTAAAGTTTACAGTAAAAATAATATAAAAATGGAACTATACACTTATCAATTATCTATACATTAGTAGTATACATATGTATATAGTACTAATTTGAATAATAGCTCTGAAATTTTCAAATTCCCTAATGTTTTTTCTGTTAAAAGAGGAGTCAAACTGTAGATGGAACCATTTAAAAGACTAACTATGATATTATAATGGATTTAAAAAGACGATGAAATAGATTTATTTGCTAAGACTGCTTTTATTTATGGATTGAAGTTAAACATTAACAGTGTTAAATGCCGGTTCAGTGGTCTAGAGGTTGAGCGTTCATGCGTAAGACCAAAGATCCTGGATTCCAATCCCAAATACGAGATCGTGGGTGCTTGTTGTTGAGGAATTCCATACTAGGACGAAACGGCCGTCCAATGCTTCCAACTTTCCAATGATGGTCTAGATTAGATCGACTCATGAATTCAACTATTAGGATTGGTAAACTATGTGTGAACCACGAAAAGTTACATAAATCTTGTCTAATCACTGTGTATGTCAAGTTTTTATTTGATTTTGAAAACAAATTATTGCAATAACTGTAGTGTCTGATATTATATCAAACCCGCAAAGCTGTTCTAGCTTCTGAACAGATCAATTTATTCATCCTTCTCTAGCTATATTTTGACTTTGTTGATTATTTGCATATTAACCCCAACTGCTTTTACATGATCTCATGTGTGTTAATTACTTATCCTATTCATCAAGTGTCTGTAATTTATTTTTGGTCTGACTATAAACATTGAGTTACGCCTTCCCCGACCCACTTCGCTTTCCCGATTTGTTTCTCTGATTGTCAATCTGGATCAACAAATATATGAAATATATGTATCAAAACTCATTCTTGTATTTTACTTATTTAATTCTGTTATTCTTTACCGCGAATTAAGTTGTTAATTACATACGATGGCTGACGACATGTATATTTCGATAACAATCATTCATGCAATCTAACTGGAGTCTGATATAGGTCCACCAAATTAGTGAGCCTGATATGATTCGAACACGCAGCCTTCTGATATACAATCAGATATTGGGCCACTAAATTACTTTATCATTATGCTTATTAACTGTTTAAGGTGATTATAAGTTTATGATCATTTATATATCACTTACTAGGTTCATCAGCTAATGTGAGATAATCAATGACGTATTTGATCTTCAAGCTGGTAGGCGGGGAGATTTATTCTTTTAAGTGATACTCAGATTTTGAATTTTACTATCAACTGGATATATTTTTAATAAATCACAACCATCGTCAGTTTACTAGTTTACTTATTTACGCTTGTTACTCCTCATAGAGGAGCATAGGCCCTCCCACTAGTTTACACTACCATAATTTCAACTTGTATTATATTGGAAAACTGTTATTACTTTTGATCACATAATTAAATGTGTTTACCTACATTTTCTCTTCTCCACTTTCATTATATAAAGTTATTTTCTGGAATTTTATTAACATTACCAAGACAAAAAGATACAGATGGTAAATCACCAGAATCAATTGTACAAGAATTAGCTGCAGATATTTTATTGAAACTTCCACCAGATTTTGATTTGAATGAAGTGAGTTTGTTGCTTATTTGTATTTAATAGTGGCTAGCAGTAGAATCCAGATTTTATAGTATATCCTATATGGGACTTGTCAGCTATATTTATTTGCATCTGTGTTGATATTCACACTGGGACTTGAACTCATTGCCTTCCGCCTCAAATATCATCAATATGAGTACTAGAGTATAGGTACAACTGACTGACGAGTCCCGAATAGTATGAAACGCGAGTTCTCAATTTTATTACTAACCACTATCCGACACTTTAAAATGCTTGTGAATTGAAATCAGTATTAAAGCAATCCATTTACGATGCACAATTACCAAAAAGAACAGATTAATTGCACCCGAAAACAGCAAAAACGGGAAGATCTAAATGACTTTTAGAAATTAATTAAAATCCTAATTGTATAGTAGTTTCCTTTAAATATGAGGAAAAATAAACTGAACAAGAAAAGAGAATTAAAAATTCTGTTGGCTAAATAACAGATCTAATACTTCATTGAGATTTATAAAACATTCATTTCATTGGATAGCATATTTGTCATGTCCTTATTTTAAACATAATCCCCACACTTTCTGATGAACCATTATTCAGAATGAACTATTGCGTATAATTGTGATTCTCTTTGACTGAACTACATTAATAAGGTCTCTCTAGTCACAGATAGATATGATTTTACTTTAGCAATTAATTTCTGTGAAGCGTGATGTTGATCAGAAGCTAAGTATGGATTGTTCTTGATAAATCGGTGACTAAACAACTTTTCATTTACCTGATGATCATATACTATATTGATTTAAGCGGCTTTTGTAGACTGGCATTAAATGTTAAAACCGATTTCTAGTAAAAACGGAAGTCATCTGTTGTAAAATTTTGGAAGTAAGACAGTTATAAGTCAATTGCATTCCATTATACTCATACCATGTTTAGAAATAATGTGAGACAGTTATCCACCGAAGACAATGGAAAATTGTCGTGCAATATCGTGGATTCTTTAAAATTAAACACTAGTACCACTGGATGCCCAGCTCAGTGATCTAGATGTTGAGAGTTCTTACGCGGGGCCGAGGGTCCTCGGTTTGAGTCTCGCAAGCGGTGTTGTGGGTGAGCGCTGATGAGAAGTTCCGTACTAAGACGAGATGGCCATCCAGGTATCCAACGCTAATCTAACATTGATCGATTCATGATCTCAACCAAAACTTAGCAATCTTCACAACTCTATACTGGTAATATACTTGTTGTGATATACGAATGTCCTGAGTTCGATCATGTGTGATATTGAGAGGTGATCACTGCTAAGGAATCACAAATAGTTTTTCACTGATGCTTGATTCTCAGTGTTTTTTCAGATGGCTATACTTTTTACAAAAACGTTTCCTCTAAATAATCAAATTTAGCTATTAAATTAGGATGAAATCCCGATATCGAAAAACTATGTTATTCTGCAAAACAACTAAAGCCCTATGAACTGTTAAACTTTGAATGTTGGGATTTTCAAACGCCATTGACGCCAAAAATGTAAGACTCGAAGATGAAATTTTTCTTTCAAATATGTAAAAGAGTTACTACATGTGCTTTCAATCAAAAAACAGCACACATCTGTGTCAAAAGAGAATATAGAGCCTCAAGGAAGTACATGACACACTGTTTCGAAATTAGACAAGTGAACAAAATGAGTAACGGACTACGAATAATTAGAAATTGGTTTGTTATGACAAACAAACACAATGCTTGAACAATAAAAATTATCAAACATACCCAAAATACTTGATATTATTAAGTAGTGTGATTACAAAGATTACGTAAGGAGGAAATGAAGCTTCAATGTGGAATACACATTTAACTATCTATATGTACCTGGATTAACAGTTTTGCGGATATCGCTTTGATTTTTGAGTGATATTTTCCATGGATTGGTCTTACTTGGCGTGCTAATAGGTATCAGAGGATATTTAATTTATCTTAGTCTGAGATTCGTTTCTAATGTGTCCCCATCAAGGGTTGGAACCATAATCACCAGACCTGTTGGTCAAAGTGCTGGTCGAATTCACACTCATAGATTCTAATTAGGTTGGAAGGCCTGTAAGTCGTAAACACTATCCATTGAGGAGTTGCATATGCATGCTGAAGCGGAGTTTCACTCAAAAATGAAATAGATATCTAGTACTCTCTAGTATTTAATGGAACCTGAATAGATATCACTCCACGGTGAATGTCGCTTACAAATACATGTAATAAACATAAATACCTAGCGAAATAGTTTTTCTTCATCAGTTACACATTTTCACTTCTTTTATGTGCATATTTTTGTTAACAGGTAATTAATCGTTATCCTGTCAAGTATGAAGAATCGATGAATACCGTACTTAGACAAGAATTGATACGATTTAATCGCTTAACTAGCGTTGTACGTACAACATTAATAGACTTACAAAAAGCTATCAAAGGATTAGTTGTTATGTCAGCTGACTTAGAAGATGTATTTAATTCAATATTAATTGGAAAATTACCAAGTGTTTGGGCAGCGAAGTCATATCCATCACTTAAACCTTTAGGAAGTTATATACAAGATTTACTATATAGGTAATCAGTTTGTTTATTTATCTTTAAATAATAAAAATGGGATAATCAGTAATTTGATAAGAAAGAGAGTTTCAATAGTTGAAATCATGAGTCATTTGAAGTTAGACCACCATGGAAAACCTGGAAGCATTGGATGGCCGTTTCGTCTTAGTATAGTACTCCGCAGCAGTACACTGAGGTGGTGGTCTAGCTTCAGTTGATTCATGATTTCAACTTTTGAAAGAAAGAGAGTATTAAAAACTAACGGTATTTGAACTTTTGAGCTAATATACCCTCTCTTATCAACAATTAGAATAGATTGGTTAACAAAATGTTTCAGTGATTTAGTTAACCCATAAACAAGGTTCCTAAAATCAATATAATTGAGTTCATTATGTTATCATTATGAACAAAGATTTCAAATTGAGATTGGTGTTGTAAAAAGAAGAGATATTCAAGGAATTAAGCATTATTTATCCTTTTCTTTTTTCACTTATTATTCAGGTTGGCATCTGTTTTAAACTACTTCTAATGAGCATAATCTTAAGTCCAGGTATTGAGGGAATATCCTATTTCAAAGACGCATATTGAAGTTCTTGAGGGTTGGATTTTACTTTTTATGAATTGCTGAAATAGTTATCTACCGGAGAATATTGTTTTCGAGGCAGATTAATTGGAAATAAAACTATGAAGCAAATCATGTTGGCTCTAATATATGTCAGTATTTTCTTTCAATAATAATATTAGATGTAGAAGAGGTTAACGGCTACCGCCAAACTCAAGGCAGGGGATAGAGAGGAGTTATTGAATAGTAAACTAATAGGAACCAATCTGCCGGCTCAAGGTCAGTAGTGATGAATGGGCGTGTAATGGGACGAGTCGAATACAGTGATTTAGAGAATAAATAAATGACCAAATTAAAAGTAGAATTCAGATTAATGACTTGACACATGATTTCTTTCAACAATCCTCAGGAGAGATAGTTTTTATTGTTATATTATTTTTGTAGTTTAATATGAGAATCTTTCGTGGATTGTTCAGTATGATTAAGTAAACTGTTGACAACCTTTTTCACTAAAATGATCACTAAGTAACTGCTTATTTTTAGACTCATGTAAAATTTATCTCTAACTCATTGATCTTTTAATCACTTTACTGTTACGTTCTTGATCTGCCTACCTACGTTTGATGCTGAGGATAACTTGTCGAATCTAGATTAAGACCTTGACGTGATAGACTGACCGGCTTAACCTTGAGACTGGTACGCGTGAATTCGAATTGGGGTAGAGGGAAGAAAACTATTCTATCACCTGATCGGTTGACAAACACACGAGTAAGAGAAGACAAGTCAACTGTAACATTACTCGATTTATTTTCAATTCCGATTTGGACCCCGATTTCCCGACTTTCAGATTAGTGTAAAAAGGTACGTGAATAAATAGATGACCAACCTGACCATATCGTACAATAATTAGGAAAAATACAATTATGTCCAAAGCTGGAGATTAGCGTAGAAAAATCGAGTACAAAATAATACGTTTAAATTACAATAGCTTTGGAACAAAAAGGGCTATAACAATGAATCATACATCAAACGAAAGCTTATGATCTGTAGAATAGACTAGGAAAATAATAATAAATGTTTATATTTTACAAGCTTTGCATAAAATGAAATAACGTTCCGAAAAAAATAGCTTCCATAGTTTGTCAAGGCTTCTTCTTTCTCTATTCATATCATTTACATTACACAGGTAACGTGTTTCTTTTTGTTTAAAACGTTGATAAAAAAAAATTATATTTTAAACTTCTTCAGTAAAAATCTAAAATTAATCTTGCAGAGATGGGCAAGATATTTTAAGAAAGTCCATCTGAACTATTAAAAAAATAGACAGATTATTCAAATAATCCACAAAATCTCAGAATCATTAGACAAAATACATTTGAAACTAGTTAAAACTTTGAGATGGTGGAGAAGATTTGTAGCTCAGGTGGATGATTTTGGTGGAGTTTTGTTCTCTGAGCTGGATGGTTTGGTCGAGAACAGAGAACAAAACTCCACCAAAAACTAGTTAAAACTAAACATTGATAATGTCAGAAATAAATGTGGAATTATTTCTAAAATAAAACTAGTGTACTATAGACATTTCACATTCATGGTTATCAATAAAGTTTATCTTTGTCATACATTAACCATTAACAATCATAATTCGACTAACAAGATAATTTACTACTACTATCTTTTAAGTTTTTGGATTATATTTTAAATAGTTGAATTCATGAGTTAATTAAAGCTAGACTACTATGGAAACCTGGAAACACTGGATAACCGTTTTGTCCTAGTATAGAACAGCTTATCAGTGTGCACACGTTTGCATGCGAGACCGATAGCTCCTAGGTTCGAATCCCACAAGCAAGATCGTGGATGGCTATCAATAAAGTGCTGATATGGGACAGAAGGTCGTGAGTTCGAATTATGCACTGCTAAAGAGTCTCATACTAGAATGAAAAGGCCGTCCCATGCTTCCAGGTTTTCCATAGTAGTCTAGCTTTAATTAACTTATGAATTCACCTATTAAAATTATTAGATTCTACACAAAAGCCGTTTCTGATAATTGTTATGACTTTAAGTCCGGCTAGTATCACGTGACATAATCGCAGATCAGATTACAACTCATACAATCTCAGCACTGTGCCAAACCAATGACGTTTGACCAGTATGGGCAGACTAGCGTCCTTATTGGTCCTTTTTCATCCTAGCCTTGCCAGTTGAGTCCAGAACGCCGACAACAAGTTCCACTATGCTCATCATTTATTTCAGACATACTTGGTTTATATACCAGCCAAACAGATCAAATCACCGATTAAAATAATAAATAGCATTTGTACAAGATCAAGCCAAAATGTGGCTGTGAACGTCCGAGACTGTAATCAATAAACTGGACACAACTTAACAACTGTAAATCGTATATTAGTAATCTATAGATCAAAATGAAGCTTATAATAAGATGAACATAAATATACACAATGTAATTACTGAAGAGTTATACCATAACAATATATATGTAATATTAGTCCTCACAATTGATTGATCACTGGGTTGTGATCAATGTGATGTGTATCAAGTCCATATTTAGTGCAGATCGAATGCTATCGACCATGTTGCAATGTGGCCACCAGTCTAGGTGACTCGACACTGAGTGCACTATATTACTGAGATTAGATAAAGGTTAGTCGCGTCCCGGATAGCTCAGGGGTAAGGTCTCTGACTGTGAAGCTGGGTGACAGGAGATCGAATCCACCAGTTCCCTCAGGATTACAGGTACACCTTGTTGACGAGTGCCAAGTAGCACGCAATCCAGATCCAGAATTTCCTGTCAAATACCTCCACTCACCATCTAAATCTCAATAATATTAGTCCATGTTCTCTATGATAATAATAATATTTTTTTTAAATTTATACTTTATTATAAATAATATAGATTGAAATTTTTTACTGATTGGTTAACTTACGATACACCATCGGTATATTGGATATCGGGTTTTTATTTTACACAATCATTTTTAACTGGTATATTACAAAATTATGCAAGAAAATATACAATACCAATAGATACAGTTGGTTTTACATTTGATGTTACATCAAATTATTTAAATATAATTAATATATTAGAGAATATATCAACCATACCAAAACAATCATTCAATGAAAATAAACATAAATCATTAATTATGAATAATAATAATAATAATAATAATAATGATGTTAAATTACAAAGATCAAATGAACAATTGAATAATTTAATTAAACCAAATGATGGTGCTTATATAACAGGATTATATTTAGATGGTGCACGTTGGGATTTAATCAATAATTGTTTAAATGAATCAAAATCAAAAATATTATTTGATATAATGCCAGTTGTAAGTAAAATAATTAATTTTATTTGTATAAATGTTTGTTTTATTATTATTATTGTGTTGTGAGCTACTTATATTGACATAAGTAGTATATAACATGCGCTATAAGGACGTAATGTCTGGCAGCAGAAAATAGAGAAGATCAAGAAAAGAAGGGCAAAAACACAATGGAATTTGTAAGAAATTGCATGAACAATGAAATGGGAGACAATAGATTAGTGTTTGCAACGGGAACAGTACAGTTTGATATGATGCATTGATAATTTGCAAATTGACGATTGACTTTATGGTTCTCGTTCACTACATTATTATTATTATTATTATTATTATTATTATTATTATTATTATTACTATTACTATTATTATTATTATTATTATTATTATTATTATTATTATTATTATTATTATTATTATTATTATTATTATTATTATTATTATTATTATTATTATTATTATTATTATTATTATTATTATATTATTATTATATTATATTATTATTATATTATTATTATTATTATTATTATTATTATTATTATTAATATTATTATTAATATTATTCTTAATAATAATAATATTATTATTATTATTATTATTATTATTATTATTATTATTATTATTATTATTATTATTATTATTATTATTATTATTATTATTATTATTATTATTATTATTATTATTATTATTATTATTATTATTATTATTATTATTATTATTATTATTATTATTATTATTATTATTATTATTATTATTATTATTATTATTATTATTATTATTATTATTATTATTATTATTATTGAGATCATGAACCAAGTGATATTGAAGTTTATAAAAGTGATCTAACATCAATCGTTTCATAATCTAAAAATCAATTCATCTTTGTTTATAATAAGCGTTAGATTTATCGAAGCGTCTAGGTCATTCGATTGGGATATTCACGAAATTGAAGTTTCCAAAACAACGATTTGTCTAAAATAGCGGTTCTTTATTGAGAATAATAAACAAAACTTAGTTACAAACTTCAACTTATGAGGTCTCTGGGGCGTTTAAACGCGTTTTTCAAGTATGAAATGAAAAGGCTTCCTGTTACAGTAAAACAAAGAATGATTACGAAATACGATAGTACAAAGGACAGATAATAGCTGTGTCTAAATTTGATAACAGTTTATGAGCAACCGAAACTCGAACCAAGAGCAAAACAATATGGAAACCGTTGCGTTTAAACAAATTCACAGCGATTAAGATACAGTAATTATAGTGATAAATACAATAATAAGTACAATAAACGTTATAAGTATATGTGTACATTTCAAAATATTACAGTACAACTTGCGTTACAACATGAGTGTGAAAATTGTTGGGAATACAACTGCTTACTGAATATAAATAAGTAGTATAAAACAATATAAAGAGGAGTGGAAAGGGAGCGAGTAGGAACAATGTTAGACAAACTTAACAGTAAATAAATAGGATTTTTTAAAAATATAAAAAAACTAGCTTTAATTGACTCATGAATTCATCTTTTAAAATTACTACAATCTCCACAAACCCTCATTCTGATAATAATCATCATGTGCTCACTAGTAACTGGTTTCAAGGTGGATTTCCTGGAGCTCTAATGAGAAGCCGTCACCAATGGAATCCAATCCGTGTTGGATAGAGACAGGTATCTACCTCAAACAATTGGATAAATGGTTGCGCAAGATTATGGATCGATTGAAGTTTGACATTAACGCTGTTGGATGTCGGCTCATTGGTCTTGAGATTAGGCATTCACGTGCGAGACCGAAAGTTCTGGGTTCGAGTGTTGTATGTAGGGTCATGAATGCGCACTGTTGATGAGTCCCATACTAAGTAGGAACGACCGTCCGATGCTTCCATGTTTTCAGTGATGATTTAGCTTAAATCGACTCATGAATTCAACTATTAAAATTGCTACAATCTCCATTCCTTTCTGATGTAATTATATAAAAAATAATTACAGTGTTTAAGATTATACTTTTCGTACAGCGGTAAAAATGTGAGAATAAATTTTTAATAGTATATAAGAGAAAAAGGTACGTTTCATGATAGTCTAAACGCTAAATAAAAAAGTAAGAAATTAACAAAAAGAAACTTGTATTCATTTATTGAAATGCGAAATTCGTTAAAACTAAGGAATAAAATAAGATGATATTAATTACTTCTCAACGATCGATTAATGTTAACATCTTATCACAACAGATTATTGGTAACTTCACTGGATGTTACATGGGTACGAACTTTATAGAGAATATCAGTTCATATCAAAATAGTAGATACATTGTGTTGATAAGCGGCATTTAATAAGCAACGTACAATTGTGGCTTAGTTTCAAGTGCTTAAACTCATCTTCATCGACTGAGATGGTTGAGCCACGTGTTACGTATGCCTGAACACCGATTACCACGACGTGCAATGCTATCCGGTATTGGAAATGGTTGGAAGAAAGTTAGGGGCGGCCAAACCAAAACGTGGCATCAGTGCTTGAAGTCACTAACTTCTAGTCTGAGCCATGTTGGTAGATGCAGACTACTTGGTTGGGGTCCGCGTGACTATCGTAACCAATGGTTGGAGACTCTTGGTGACATGGCTCAGAATCGATCACAATGGCGTCGGTGTATACACTCCCTGTCTTCCCTTAAACTATGAGATTAAAATCGCTTCATATCATTCTTTCTACGAACCAATTCTTTCTTCTTGTACTATATCTCTATATGCAATCTTTCTCTTATATATTACCATCTTTTACCTAACCACTGTTATGAATCCGGTGTTCATCTTGTTGTGCTGATGCGGTATGGCAACCTGGACCGATGCACACATGTGCGTATTCACTATAAATATAAAAATAGAAAGAATTTATGATTTCAATACATAATTATTAACTAATACATCGTTGATCTGAATTGACAGGCTATACATTTATTCTAATTTGAATAGCCGAATAGAATTACTACGCCTGTAGTGAACAAAAACACGAGTGGGGACAATCGAATGTATTTGACACGAAATTACAGAGCATCTCAATAAAATCTGAGAATCATATAATAAATAGTTAATTTGCAAAATATTAATCCATCATCTCAAATTTAGCTATTCCTTTGTAAATATCAGTCCATTGTCTCAGATTTCATTGTTCATGCATTTTCATACCAATTGCGTTCCGTTCCCGTTCTTTCCTTATTGATCTTCTGCTGAAATACATTCTATGCCCAACCATCATTACATACTACTTATGTGTATATAAGTGATCTACACCCCCCCCCCATTAAAACAAAACTATGTCTCAAATTCAAACTATATGAATTGACAAATGATTACAGTTACACATTACATTGTTTCCCAAGCTAAGATTATATACATACATGTAAGCATTATATATATATATATATATATATATATATATATATATATATATATATTATATTCGCAAACAAACTGTAATGTAGTTAAGTAATACAAATTTTATGAGTCTTTATGATTATTCTAAAACTTACTTGTAAAACTTCTGGGCGCCAACGAAAAATAACAGATAGGCCAAATTTATTATTATAAATTAATGAATCAGAACATAACACTTTTGTTGGTGTAATTGGTTGAGATTGTGTTGTAGATTTATTATGGTTAGAACGATTTACACGTGATTGTGCAAGTGTTACAGCTAATTTTAATAAAGCACGTAATGTAGCTAATTCATTACGTTCTAAACAAAATAAACAATGATATTGTAAAATTAAATAACCAATTGGATGTGCTAAATAACCTGATGGTACAGTTATATTGACACATTGAGTAGCATCTATGAAAAAAATGGAAAGCAATAATAATAATAATAATAATAATAATAATAATAATAATAATAATAATAATAATAATAATAATAATAATTAACGATTCATTAAACAGTAAATTATAAAAATATTTACGATGATAACTACTGAAGAAATGAAATGAATGGCAAAAGTCATTTAATAGATGAGAACGTTAGGTAATACACAATACAGTGAATGATGTTGTATAATGAACAACCATAATTTTAATCTGATCAGCATAAGAAAATAGGATTACCTAGATTACTGAAGGGTCTAAGTTTGAACAAGTGGGTGTAGGTATGCACCTCTGATGGGAAAAAAACAACAATTGTTCAATGATCTTTCAATTTCATTCATCAACTTTAACTGACATTAATTCATGATGGGAATCATCTTCATTGAATCATGTAATTGCTTGTATACAATATAAATCTTGGCTTATCTCATGTGATATTTTACCTAATGATTGATTTACTAACTTCATCGAAATCACGAACCGATCAAGGTTAGACTATCATTAAAAGCCGGAAAGCACTGAATAGTCTTTTCGTCCTGGTAAGTAACTTGTCAATTGTGGTCGAACTTAGATCGGTTTATGATTTTAATGAAATTCAACAATCGTCACTAGTAGCTAGCTTCAAGAGGAAATTTCTGCAGTCCTGATGAAAAACAGTGAGTAATGGGGTTCAAACATGTCGGCTGTGAGGCAGTTACCCACCGAAGAAAAAAGAACACGGTTGCGTAATGTAGTGGATTGACTGAAATTAGAGATTAACACCACTGGATGCCATCTAAGTGGTCTACAGGTTAGGTGCTCGCGCCAGAGCGAAGGTCCTGCGTTCTATTCTCTGTGGCGGGGGATCGTGAATGCACACTGCAGAAGGATACTAGAGACGAAACAGTCGTTTAATGCTTCCTGGTTTTCAATGATGATCTAACTTAGTTCGACTCATGATTCCAACGAAAATCAATAACCTCTACAACCCCATACCGGGATTTACTGACTATCAGAATGTTTATAATGTCAGATAAATTACCACTGAACAACTTAATGCACATGTATACGCAACAAAAATGAGATCGAGATGAGAAAATCATCAATTAATTAAAAATCACTTATCTTAAATTGACTTGTACTTTCTTAATTACCGTATATTTATCATTACAAATGAGAAATTGCTTTTGTCAGTAACATAGAACCTGGCACATATGTGTATCGGTTCATGTTGATACAATACATTAGAACAGAGAGATATCAGAGTACCGTAATTAGTAACAGTATTAGTGGTAGTAGAAAAGATTAAGCATAAAAGATATGAACGGAAAAGGAAACAGACAACATTGAAATAAAAAGGATCGTGAAACACTCAAGAAACTTAGATTCTGAAGTAAAACGATTAATGAATGCACCTGTCCCATTGTAAATAATTCTAGTCCTTGTCACTCAAAATCTCTAATCACTTTGGTTACAACAACCACGCAAATCTCGAATGGAAAATCATCACACATCTTATTTGACACAAAAAAACATTTCGTATCATTTAAAGACCAATAAAAGAACAATTCAGCAAATTCATTGTCAGTTGGATGAGAAATGAGAATCGCATCGAACATAAGAGGGATGAATCTTCTTTTTTTGTTTGGAAAAAAGCGTTCACTTTAAATGATGGGGGGTTCAACTATTCTGAGCTAATAATGAATTTTGTCTTGTTTTAGACAAGTTTTTCGTTTGTAATATTTTAGTCTGATTGTGTTGCTCATTTCGGTTATTATTTCTCACTACAGTAATATCATTATTAGATTGACTGATCATATAGAATATTGTGATTGAGGTAGGCCAATTTCAGACAATCGGCTACAATAATCAATCAGTTCCAGGTAAAACGAAACGTGTATCCTCGATTCCACTGCTAGCAACACACTATCTATTTTATGTAAACTAATCCATATTACCACTGAATGATATTTAACACCAAAAAACAATTCATTTTTGTATTGGTTGTTGAATCATACAATTGATGTTTAGACTGCAATTGACTAATCTCTTATTGGCATATGTGCAACCTGTGCGGATTGCCTCGATATTGCCTTCAGTATAAACATTGTAAGCTGAGATGATGGTGGCTAGCAGTGGAATCCAGGATGCGCATCTGTACAAGCTAGTGGCTATATGAACTCAGTAACTAAGTGGACAATGTGATGGCGTTAGAAGCGAACAGTACTGGGTCCGAGTCGCGGAGTGAACATCAACTCCGGGACGCAGATAGATCAAGCCGACGAGTCCCAAATAAGACGAAAAGCGCATCCTGGATTCCATCTCACCTTCAAAAAATAATTTCAATGTGATATAGCACGTATCCTTCCTTGATGAATGACAATGAGAATTATACATGATATTACTTAACACCTAATTATTGGTACTCGAAATATATATAGAGGGAAACTTGTTTAGCAAGTATATGTATGTATGTGTATTTATATACTTTGCTTCATGTCATACATTTCGTGTGAATTCATAATGCTGAATTCAAGCTGGAGTTTTTAACTTGCCGTCATGCAAAAGTTAAAACTCCATATAAAAATTATTGGTTTATTATTGTTCTTCATACTATAATATTTATTAAATACTGGATAAAGATTCGTGTACACTTGAATTTCAAACACAATTTAAATATGAAAATTAGAGATGTGGTGTATGCTACTTATGCTTGCAGATACAAGTAGTATTTAACATCAATCGGAAGCGGAATGTCTGCGAGCAGAAGGTTGAGAAGATAGAATTGAAGAGAAAAGAGAAGGTAGCTGAAAGCAATCAAGATAACAGCAGTAATGAAGGAACAGTGAAGCTTGTAAGAGACAATTCAAAGATGTGCAAATAATGTATTTGATGCATAACTTTCACGTTTTACTAAACCACTGTGTAATTGCGCATTATACAATAAATTGATCTTCCCCACTCGACTTCTTCGTTCACTACAGTGAAAATATTCAAGTGCATAAAACAAAATAGATGGAATACCTGCTTCCAACCTGTAACTTAGTGACTGAATGTTGAATATCTTAAGCATAGCGAGTTAGTTAGACTAAAATATTTCAGACTTGTTCATAAATTTAAAAGTAAAAAAATAATGAAAGAAAGAAACATAATGAACTAATTTATAAGTTTTATTTACCTTTAATACGTTTTTGCCAAACCAATGGTGGTGATGTTGTTGGCAATGATGATGGTGATGATGATGACGATGATGGATTAAATGATTCTTTTGATTCATGAGATGTTGGTCGTTGATTTGTATTATTATTATTATTATTATTAGATGGTGTTAAACCACCACCACCGCCACCACTACTACTATTACTACTGCCAGTAGTATTTTCCAAACTAGTAGTAGGCCATAAATTATTGCTTAATGTTAAAATCTCTTCAGCCACTTGTGCTCTCCATGTTAATACTTGTAGTTGTGCAACAGCTGGTAAAATATAACTAATTAGTGCTTTTGATGGACAATTCAATGTAGGATCATCAATATCGGTAGTACTATTACGTTTACTCATAGAACTTTCTTTAGTTTTTAATTGTAAACAAGAATACGGGATTAAATCGTCGCCTAAGCCAAGTACTAATAAATGAACAAGTAAGTGTACTTCAGGTATATCCTGTAGATTTTTTGAAATAAAAAATACGATGAAATAGAAAGGAAACTTGGTTTTACTTTAAATATGAATAATTGTAATACATTCAAGGTTTGATATGTTGGGGAGACCCGGAAAATTCCTCGAAATATACCAAAAGAGATTCTGAAAACGCAGAGAAACATCTTATCTAATCAGTATTCAATAAAGGTTTTACCAGAACCATTTAGGAAGCCAAGTCACAAGTCACGTTTCTGATTGGATGATTACCTATACTGCTACTATCTTTATTAACGTTCTAGAATTTTCCAGAAGCCCAAGGTTATCAGAAATGTTATAAATACCCCAGATTTTCTGTATATAAATTAACCTTGGAGTAAAGTGTTCTTTCCATATTTCGCGCCTTTTTTGTGTTCAAGTTGCCGTGTAGATTAGCCTAGGGGTTACTAGAAGAGCTTAGAAAACTGAATTTAGTGTTCAATTAGAAGATTTATCAGATAAACAGGAAAAACTTGAAATTTATGCATAGAATTTCCTGTTTACATCATTTAGCATTACATAAGTAGATCTATAAGAGTATAAATAAAATGAATCATTCACAGATAAGTGAATGAAACAAATCTATATAATACGAAAATATTCAACTTTTAAAGATCTATTATATAATTTCTTAAATCACTAATACTTAATGTCTTGTAGATATCAATACCTATTACAACGGATCCTACATTCGACTACAGAGTGAAAATCAATTATCCATAATTTTATAGATCAATCGAATAGGCGTATTTGAAACAAAGCATTCCTATAACTTTTATGTAACACTACCAACTACCAATTATTTATTCTCTGAAGAAGTGGCTTACACTAAATCACGAAACGTCAGAAAATCCAATTTTCTACTCATTTGGATATTACAAATATATTATTTTTATTTACTACCAACTATAATCTGAGCTATCTCTGTTTCCTTTCAATATTGTTATCATTTATGTGTATTTAATTAATTATTTATTTATTCACGAAGTACTTTTAAAAGACTGAAAGCAGTCTGTTTTTGACATTATTTAGTCATGAATAGATGAAAATAGTTGAAAAATTTGGGTATAGTTGGATGAGTACTAAGGGGTGCAATGATACGGTGAGATCAGTTTTTGTGTAGTGAAACTCATCGAGATTAATCGAAGTTGTTTCTGGCAAAATAGTGACGACGATCTTATTGTAAAGGTCTAGTAAACAATGCTTCATTAGTGTTAGTTCTATACTGCATATTCATGAAATCTAAGCTATACGAGCTAGTGACTTCAATGTTTCGTAAAATTAGGTGTATTCTATGGTAACATCGTGTAACAAATTTGAAGTTCACTTATGCCAAATCAATCATATTGATAACTGTTAGTCAACTAAGAAAATTGCCTTAGTTTGAACAATGGCTTCAATCGTTTAAACACATCTCATACATGATGGAACAATTTGTGTATTTCGTATTATTTACTATTACTGGTTTGAAGAGGTTATCAATTTTCTGTAACATAAGAGAAAAGATATCAAGAACTCGCTTAACCTACGCGACTTACCCTAACTTTCAAACAAATGCATTATACTGATCTTTCCACTTATTATGTCATTTATACATGGGATCTTGCCATGTATGCACGATAGTATGTCTGTGTCCATATGCTGGCTAGTTTGTGTCATGCTTATAAATGTTGACTCATGTTTTAATCACATTGAGAAAGGACATCTGCCTTATTTGCTTTTTTCGCTTCATTTGTCTGTCGAATTGAATGTATGAAATACAAACATCCAAAACTCTTGTATTCGACATATTATCCGCGTTGTTATGAAGGGGATTTGCCGAAAGAACATATGAGATGTAAGTAGAATCCTTATTTCGTCTAAATGCACCATTGAAAGTTCGATCAATTTGGAGTAAGAACATAGGCACTCCTATAGCAGCGAGCTCCGGTTTGTCAGAGCTAAAAACCTATTGTGCAACCAATAATTTATGCTCCATTTATTGGTACAAAATAAGATACCGATGAGAGGCCTATCAGCCAATCGGAAAACACTACCTGGTTATAAAACATTTAACAGTGAAAAGCAATAATATAGCAGTGCAATAATACCTATAATTTGAATAGTCAACACCCATATGTCGAATTATTCTTTTTATTAGAAGGAAAAGGTTAAGTTTACATATTAAGAGTCGAGTCATTGTTATGAGTTAGAGGTTACCACCCCACAAAGCTTTTGCTACCAAATGACATCAGTGATAATGCAAAAGGTGAGCTCAATTTTTGAGTTTGATTTAGAAATTAAAACTAAGGGTTTTGAATCAAACGGACATCAATGATCATCCAATACTTTGTCACCCTTCTATTTACAGGCTTAAGAAACTTAGGGTTGAGATTTAAAGTAAGTTTCAAGATGTTTTATTTACATGTACAAGCAATGAGAAGACGATGAAGAGATCTATTCATAGAAAAGACAGAATCACATATTGAAATCAATTTGAATTAAGAAAAGAAATTATACCTAAAACTTCTTGATTTTTAATTGCTTCCTCATTTAAAACAGTTTGCAAAATAAGCCAAGTTTAAACGATATATAAATCTCTCAACAAAGCATCTTGGCAAACTGAAAAAAGTCTATTTATTCTGCAATGGGTAGTAGTTTAATGGCCTGTTATTTTGACGTCAATTAGATATGATGATGATGATGTTAAAGATGGGTTCATCACTTTAGTAGCCCTATATCTGATTTCATTTAGATCAGACAAATGATTGTCGTATCTAATTGACGTCAAAATGATAGACTACTGACATGTCCAGAATAGAAGGAAACGTGTCTGAGAGCTCAACGATAACCACATTCTATCTATTCCTTAAGAAAAAATGTAGGCCTATATATATATATATATATATCAACCAACTAACTTACCCGAGGTAATTTGTCTTCATAAAGTCCATTAAGTACGTAACGAATTAATGATGTACAGATGGTGTAAACAACCCATGGATCTCGACAAGCCATATGCATATCTCTGTATACAAACATGAAAAATTAAACAAATTAATTCATTTAAATATAAGTCTATCTTAATAAATCCAATACTTTTTGTTATAATGGAAAAACAAATATTTATGACCTTAAATCACATTTTATATAATCCAACTGAATTTACCAACACACAACACAGAATAGTCGGTAAGTGAAAAGAATTCAGTATTGTACAGTTTGTTTACCAATCCTACATGAAGCACCTGAATCCGCAAGTTGTTTTTAACATACGTCATAAAGTGTTCTCTTGGGCCAATTTTCCAGGTAAGAAATGTGCCTATTAATATTTTGAATGACAGGTGATTATACTCAACTGAAAATAATCTGCAGTACTTTTTTCTTCACAGCTGCCGATTAGATGAATTTGACATGTTGTCTTCTTGATGTTGTTGGTTTTGACAGGACCTACAAAACTAATAACGAAAATTTGTTTTCATATCAGCCGGGACTTTTAGTTGATACATATGAAATCAGTTGTTGTCTAAGAAACACAAATGGTCTAATGCATTCCAAGTGGCTGTAAAACTTCCTGAACAAAATAATATTATCTTCGTTGAGGCAAGACATAAAATCTTGAAGTTCAACAAACTTACAAGAAAAACACCCGTGCTTAGATCCACCTTCAATGTGATGCTTAGGACTGGATAATGGATGGAAGCATGAGTATAAAAATACATATCAAGATGTCACAAGACAATTATTGGTCGGGAGCCCTAAATACGTCGTCTTCAAGACAAACTGACACTTTTTGTATGTAAGTTATTGAAACGTCACCTTTCACAGATGTGATAACACCAGTCAACATGTTCATGACTGTTGACGCTACAGGCATTTACAGGATCCTACGGAAATCCCGTCAATTGTTTTTGAAGCTTTTATACCGTCATGCCAGAGATCCAACAGACAAGTGATACCGACTATCGAACGAACGTGGATTTGGATGAAACGCTAAGTCATGAAGATGTTGTTTTAATAAACACTCAAATCAATTCTCATCAAGCTATAGTCAATATGCTACACGTACATAATTTGAGAATAACAATCCTACTGTGATAGTAATATTTTTTTATGTTTCATCAAACCTCAATATCATCTAATAAACATTGTACACGGATGCAAAGATGGCTAGCAATGGAATCCAGTTTGACGCGCGTTTCGACCTATTTAGGACTCCTCAGCTGGGTGTACCTGCATCCCAGAGTTGATGTCCACTCAGGGACTCGAACCCAGTAAGAGACCCGATAAAAGACTGATTATTCGCAGTCCTAAACATCAATCGGAATTGTACATGTACGTCTAAATAACACATTTTTCAGCTTATCCAGCCGGAAAATATAAACTTCCGTACAGTATGATGTCGATTCATACATTTGATCTCATTCGCATTTAGCAGTCTAATCAGTCAAAAAAGTTAATGTCAAACCTAAGCCTGTTTATTAACATTTAATAATAAATGTATTTTAATTATCTGTCGATGATTGTTATTGAAACGTTTAGTTATTTCGGCTTCAATATTGAAATATTCACATATTGAGAATATGTGCATAGAATTTGTTAGTACCCTCCCTATAATATGTTTAAAACCTAAATGAAATCATTTGCAAAATGATTTATGATGTGATTGATAGAAAATTATGAAGTACATGACATGTCACTGATAAGTTGATTATTATTATTATTTAAACACAAACATTGGTATAAGGAGGCATCAAATATATATGCGCCACACAAATCATTCGCTTTGAGTGAGGGTTGGAATACTGCTTGGGCACCCAACTCGAAATAAAATCGAAAAATTAAGATAATGATTTCGTCTAGCTGTATACTTACAAGCAATTTCCTATTGACATCACTTAGAAAATAAGCTAAACCGTATATTTTCTAAACACAATAACTGATTCACACTATATTACTTACACAGATAAGTTTTCTAATCATAATTATATACTGGTCAAGTATATAAATTAGACAATGTATAATTGAAAACAATTTTTGTTAATGAATTAGCGAAATTACGCAACTTTTAATTTACTATAGACTACTATACTTAAGAATACAATATTGTGTTTATTGTCAATACCTTTGCTTAGTGAAATAAAACACTTCAGGTTCAGTAATCAGTATTATAATTACAAATAATTATCAGTTTTTCTTCAGTTTACTTTTAATGATATACATAGTCATTCTCTTGTTATGATAACTGACGACTTCAGTTCCATTTCTATGTGATCGAAAAGAAATTTAATTCCACTTTTTATCTCTCAATATCTTTTCAAAACTAGGAGTATAGTATGGAGGTCGAACAGAATTGATGCCGTTCTTTCGGAAGTGAAAAAAAAATTCAAATGTAAAAATGCAAATTTTGACATCCAATTAAAACTCTTTATGCTACCTTGATTTTAACTAATCAGATTAGAAAGAAGAACAATTTCTAACCGATTAACAAATTATTACAGACAATAAAATATTTGTTCCTTAACACATAAGTACATACACTCGGAAACAAGTTAACCAATCACTTATTTTGTTAAATTACACCACGAAAAATTTCATTACTAGGGTTCATGTATCACAATAATATCGGCTAGGGAATCACATACTTAATAGACTGTAGGCTAAGTGCATGTTTGTGCACGCTCAGTGACAAACCATATTTCAGTTTATCAGTATGGAGATTTGTAGAGATTATAATATTTTCACAGTTGCATTCATGAGTCGATTTAAGGTAAACCATCACCGAAAACCTGAAAGCATCGGAAGGTCGTTCCTACTTAGTATGGGACTCATCAACAGTGCGCATCCATTGACCATACATACAACACTCGAACCCAGGACATTCGGTCTCGTACGTGAATGCCTAATCTCAAGACCAATGAGCCGACATCCAACAGCGTTAATGTCTAACTTCAATCGATCCATAATCTTGCGCAACCATTTATCCAATTGTTTGAGGTAGATACCTGTCTCTATCCGACACGGATTGGATTCCATTGGTCACGGCTTCTCATTAGAGCTCCAGGAAATCCACCTTGAAACCAGTTACTAGTGAGCACATGATGATTATTATCAGAATGAGGGTTTGCGGAGATTGTAGTGATTTTAATAGTTGAATTCACGAGTGGTGGTCTAGCCTAGAATGACTAATGAATTCAAGTATTAAAATATTTCACTTTTTGATGGAGTTTAGTTCTCTGAACTGGATGGTTTTGTCGTAGAGCTTTCATTGTTATTCTGAACATCATCAGTGCAAACTTCACCTGAGCTACGAATCTCCACTATTTCGAAATATTTAACTTTCACTACTGCACATCACCATATCATATTAATCATCTTTCGAATTATATTCGCTATATTTTGTAGATTATGATTAAACCTAAATTACTAACATTTCAACCTTTTTAGTTTATTATCTAATTCGTTTTTTATTATACTATGCTGATGTAAAGTATGTCTGGAATATATTATTCATATAACGGAGGCTGATAATTGCGTTTTGGACTGAAGCGGTTGAGTTAAGAGAGAAGCTACTACCTCAAAAGAACCAATAAGAACTCTAGGCTGCTCGTACAGGTTTATGTGTCACTGGTCTGATCGTATAAGTCGGTGTCTCTAGTCGGCGATATTATCTCGCGATATATTAACAGGCCACTAGCCATAACGGTTAATAAATGTACAAAAATACTGCAGTAAACAAAAATTTCGATGTACTTTTTAACAAATAATTCAATCATAATGTAGAACCTGGGATATACATGCATAAGCATAAATTATCACACCCCATAATAGAACAGCCAGCTGAAATTATTCCCTCAGTAGGGGAAGTGATGACAATGTAGATAGTAGTGGAAAGAATTACGCATTAACAATATGATTCGAAATGAATGAGCATATATAGACCACTGGATCTCAGAAGCATCTCATCCCATCTGGCTCTGAACATAATGAAGAGCGGAGTCAGCTTAAGCGCAAGCTGACAAGGAGTCTACGCAATGATCGTGAACAGTGGTGGGTAGCGAAAGTAAGAAAGATGAAAAAGGCAGCGGCAGTAGGTAATAGCAGACAATTGTTCAGACTTGTTAAGGAAACCGGTATTAGGAAACCGGCTGTTAGCGAAACACTCTCAGCGAAAGATGGACATATTATACACTCTCAATCCAGGAGATTGGATCGATGGGCAGAACACTTCAGGGATCAGTTCAACTGGCCTTCAAACACACTTCGGTTTCCCACGATCTCTAGTCAACCTGAGTGGCAAGTTAATGTAGGTCCTCCGACTCTTTACAAAGTTGAAAAAGCTATAGGAAATCTGAAGTGAGGGAGAGCAGCAGACCCTGACAAGTTCACTCCTGAGATTTTTAAGGATGGTGGTCCAGTATTAGCAGTGAGATTAACTGAGGTCTTAGGTAGAATTTGGGAACTGGACGTGATTCCATCTGACTGGTCGCAATCACTGATTGTGCCAGCCTATAAGAAAGGACAAAAGTCCTCTTGTGACAATCACAGAGGAATCAGTTTGACTAATATAATGTCTAAAATATTAGCTTCAATAATACTTCGACGTCTAACTAAAGCTCGTGAAGAGCAAACTAGAGAAAACCAGGCTGGTTTTCGACCTGGACGTGGTTGTATAGACCAGATATTCACACTACGTCAGGTTCTAGAACACAGACACACGTTCAGACGCCCCACAATGGTAGTATTTCTCGACCTTAAAGCAGCATTCGACTCTATTGACAGTAAGGTTCTATGGTAGTGTTTATTACTAAAAGGAGTACCAAAGAAGTACATTAACCTTGTAAAAACTCTGTACTCAAACACAACTGGTCGAGTGAGAGCTTACGGAGAACTGTCATCAGAATTGATTACCTCAAGTGGTGTTTGTCAGGGCTGTCCACTCTCTCTATTCTTGTTTAACTTTGTCACTGACGTACTTTTAGAGATAACAATTTCCTCATCTAAATTTCCAGGGGTTGAACTTCTACAAGGAGAATCTCTTGTTGAGTTGCAATATGCCGATGACATAGTTTTATTTGGTAAAGACGCTGACAAAATGAAGAGTCTTCTGACCACTCTAAGCAACAATGCAGGCATGTTCGGGATGAGATTCTCTCCCTCGAAATGCAAAATGTTGCTTCAGGATCGGGTTCCATCGACACCCGATCTAATGATAGGGAGTGAAGTGGTTGAGCGTGTCGACCGCTTCACTTATCTTGGAAGTCTCATCAGCCCTTGTGGTCTGGTGTGTGACGAAATCTCAGCACGGATACATAAGGCTCGACTAGCTTTTGCCAACTTGCGTCATTTATGGTGTAGGCGGGATATCCGTCTATCAACCAAAGGATGAGTTTACTGTGCAGCAGTTCGTTCCGTCCTATTTTATGGCAGTGAAACACGGCCGGTAAGAGTAAAGGATATTCGTAGGTTACTAGTATTCGATCATAGGTGTCTTCAAAACATTGCTCGTATATCCTGGGACCATCGAGTAAGTAACGCAGTTGTTAGGAAACGGATACCAGGTAACGATAGCAAATCGATTGATGAAGTAGCAAAACTTCATCAGTTGAGATGGCTGGGACACGTGTTACGTATGCCCAACCACGGACTGCCTCGACGTGCGATGTCCAATGATATGTGAGTAGGTTGGAAGAAAGCTAGGGGCGGCCAGACCAAAACATGGCACAAGTCCATGAAGTCACTGACAAGTGGTCTGAGTCATGTTGGTAGGTGTAGACTACCTGGTTGGGGACCGCGAGATGATAGCAACCGGTGGTTAGAGACCTTGAATGACATGGCTCAAAATCGTTTGCAGTAGCGCAGGTACATCCACTCTTCTTGTTCTCCCAAATTCTAATCTTCTGAATGCTTCATGTCCTTTTTTTCTCTTTCCAAATTTATTTCACTGGATTATACTCTTTAAATAACATCTTCAAACCCTAATCTTTCCGATTACTGCTTATACTCTTACCACCTTTACCACTACGGGATTTGAATCGACAACTGCATCTCTGTGCTAATGTGGTATGGCAACTCGAACTGATATACGTACGTACGAAGTTCTACGTTGTTACTGACTGACTGATATAGACCAAAACGTATACGTAGGGATTTTAAAAGCAGAGCTGATGGGATTTCTTCATATAATTTCTTTTTTTGTTCATTGACGATGTTACTGGTTTTTTTCAATAGCTATGCTGGCAGTAGCTTCTTCGCAAATGTCATTCGATTACTGATGACTATTAAAAAATTAGTCATAGAATTCAGCTTGGAAAAAAACAATTATATCAAAAACATTCTCTAGATAACCGTCAACATCTACTCTTTAAATTAAATTCCACCTACTTTTCTAAAAAGTTTACATCAGCTGTCTTTTCTACATCCTCTAAATCGCACTGTTTTTCTGTACTTGAAGGAGATTGTTTCCGATTGGTTTTACCACTTTTAGAATTTTTACCGCGAGAACTAGAATATCCACGTTTAGACATTTCTCCACTGATATTCTCATTAGATTCTCCATATGATTCATGACATTCATCAGCTGTTTCTTTAGCCCAACGACGACGTTGTAATTGTAAATGATAGGCTAATTCACTAGCATGCCTTTGATCAATTCGACGATTGCGAACACATGCATCTAAGCACCAAACAAAACGATGAATTCTATCAGGAACACACAGTCGATCAATTTTTGCTTCGTTTAAACTCATCAATAAATCAAAACGTAGTGTGCATAAAGTGGCTGAAGCAACTGAAGGTTGATTAGGCATAAAAGCTAATGGGATATATGGAATAGGTTGATTAGCTAAAGGTTGTGTTATATCTGAAGATTTTTCTTTACTTGATAAACGTTGTCTACTTCGTTTAGCTGGTGGTGGCTGTTCATCTATTTCCTCAGATGAATTATTATTTCCAATTGTCGATTTGATTTGTTGTTCCATGAGTGAATAAGCCGCTTTTTCACATTTTATACATTGATCACGAAGTATGCTTATAGTCTATAGTGAAGAAGAATTAATAAATAAACAATAAACGTCATCACTACTATTGTGGTATATGCTATTTATATCGACAGGCATGAGTAGCATGTGACAACAATCAGAAGTGGAATGTCTGGCAGCAAAGGGTTGAGAAGATCGAATTGAAGAGAACAGAAATGTAAGCAGAGAGTAATTGTAATAGCAACAGAAACGAAGGAATGATGAATTTTGTAAGAGACAATAGATAGAAGATGTGCAAATGAAGTATTTAATGTATGGTTATCATATGTTATGAGGACATTTTGTAACTTGTACTAAACAACAAATCGGATATCCCTACCAAGTCTTCGTTCACAACACTACCACTACAATACTAAAAATAACTAAACATAACACTGATGAAACAATACACTGTTAATACATTATTATTATTATTATTATTATTATTATTATTATTATTATTAACTCAGTCAGTAAGTCAGTCAAACACAACACAGAACCATGAACATGCGTACATCGGTTCAATTTGCCACAGCCCATTATTTGCATAGTGAGATAAATTTATCAAGGTAAATTGCAGAATAATCAATGTAATAGCAATAGTAATGGTAATAGAGAAGAAATTTCTTATTACCAGGTAAAGATTCATACATTTGACTTTGAGGAGTAATAACACAATCCCATTGTTCAAATCAAAATCGAGGAAGACTGGTTTAAACTTACAACTTAATGGCTAAACGTTGAACATATTAGCTACTGAACCGATGTTAGTAAAATTCTTTATTTAAATATAATTATAAAGTTAGAAACATATTTTGAATTTACTGGTCGATTTGTTTGAATACAATTATTCGAAAACTAATTATATTCTCACTGATAATTTTACTAACAAGTATGTAAGAAAGTTAAACCTGGATGAAAAGTTCCGATATTATAAATGAAACAACAACAAAAAACAGTCATTTGATGAATAATAAATCGTCACTGTGTAAATAGTATTGCATTGTATATTTTATACCGATCAGAAAACTGGTAGCTAGATCCCAAAAAAATGGTAGCGTAGGAATTTATATATTCTTAGAAGAATTTAAGCGAATATTTATACTGCAAATGTAGGAAAATATATTATTTAGTAGACTAATTCTTATCATATTCATGAACTAAGAGAAAATAATGTTTCAGTACAAGTGATTGATAATGATGAGGCAAGAACTAAGTCTAACGACTGATTATTCACTTCACTGAAGAGTGAATGACTCTTAGCAGACATATCCTCTGATCGTTTATTCGTTGTGTTTTGTGCGTAGATATGTTATTTTGTTGGAAAAGTCTATTTTACCGGAAAACTGTCTCGTCTCGCGAGCAACTCGATCAATTGACCCATTCATATCATTGCATATTACAATTGATCAGTAATCCAACGATTAATTTAACAATACATAAATCTCCGTTCATTAAGTAAAAAAACCTTAATCCAAGTATCGACTGATCGGTTTAATCTAGAAATTTAAGAGAAAGACGCTAACTGAAACAACAGTGTATATCATCTTCACAAGAGGTAGAGTTTTCGTAACGAAGTATTTTAGTACATACGTCTTACGATATTATTGTTACTATAACTGATAGTATTATTAATATTAATTTATATTAGGCTCATTTAAGAATACTAGAACACCAGATAGGATATTCAGTTACTTTATCATACAAGACTTGTCCTTCTCCAATCATTTCAACAATTCGTACAATTGAAGGATCACGTCTACGACGACGAGGTGGCCAATAAAGAATTGGGACAAGATCAGCTGTTGTCGATGCAGTAGACGTGATAGACATTGAAAGGGCATCTAAAATAGCGGAAGACCATGTAGATTGAAATGTTGCTATAACTTTGTCTAATTCCTCTTGAAATCTGATTTTTTGACAAACAAGAAAATATAATTAGCGTAAACAAACACTATTTAGTATATTTAACTAAAAATTTAACGTATACGTTAGCTCACTTACAGAGGTATCATAAATATCACAGGAAGTAATATTTTCAACTATACTAGAACTCAGAACGTGCTTCACCATGAGACTTCCTATTTTCATTTTTGAAATACGTGTACATAAAAAAACTCGCCAAGATCACACAATTCGAAGAAGATTCTAGTTTGAAGCAAACGCATATATAATTTTACGAAACCATAAAACTGCTATTTATTTATACTACATAAGCATTCATAAAAATAAATTTCAGATTACCATAGATAGAGTCAATTTGTATGAATCTATAAAATTAGAGTTTTCTTTAGAGTGAAATTTGATTGGAAAGGCGTACTGACATACCTAGGGAAAATTATTCTTCATCCATGAGAAGTGAGTCCACCTTATAAAATGTGATATTCGCGATTTGAGCCAGTAAAGATAAAAAATCTCAACGAATAAGATTTATATAACTTGGAATCGATGGAGGAAGTACCCCTGTTTTTCACCAGAGCACAAGGTTATGTAGCGATAATCGTCAGTTTTTAGAGACTATATTTGAGGCAAATAATGAGCTGGAACGTTAAATTATCCATTTTTCTGTGACCACATCAGTCGTAAAACCAAACTCATACTATTTGTTAGATTAAAATCAGTTTTGCAACATGCATAAAGTCATTCAGCTAATTTGAACTATCACTGACTGACAGAAATATTGAAATTATTTATTTATTTATTTTTATTTATTTTAACACATAGATATTGGTACAAGGAGGCACCAAATAGATATGCGCCACATAAATCATTCGAGTTGCGTGAGGGCTGTGATACTGCCCGGGTGCCCAAACTGAAGAAGGTAGATTTCTTAGGGGACCACACCCCGAGCCTTCGACCTGAAGGTCTGATCCACAAGGCAGTGGGGCATCGTGTGGAGATGTAGTCCCATGGTAGCCGGTGACTGACGATTGGTTCATACGCCATTTGTCCCCGCAGGATACTGGAGCCCATGTGCACCATTGGTTTGGAATGAGGGTTTTCCAACTCCCCTAGGTGGACTCTCCATGTCCACCAACCCGGTTAACGCGCCGGACATTCGCGTTTCGTCCTCTCAATTTCGTAAACAACAACCCCGCCACGAGAAGGCAATGAGTGGGACTTCTCCGGCAGAGGCTATATGCGCGTGGCCATGTGAGAGCATTTCGAGAGGGAAAGTGAACTCTCCCCACTCTCCGCCGTACCAGGGCCGAGATAGAAATATTAAAATAATATCACATTGGTCCACCAAAACTATTAAATCTCATGGGTTGGTGAACTGTAAAGGTTTACATCATCATTTCAACTGTAGTCAATAATGGAATATGTAATGACACTTCTGTGAATACTAATAACTGCGAAACCACATCATGCAATACTGTATAATCAAGCACTCCAAACGATAGTGAATAAAAATCAGAATATGCAATGTTATCAAATTTAAAACCATAAGATAGTATTTATTGTTGTTTTTCATCACAGGACCGGTTAGTTTAATAGTTAATAAACCAATTTATAGTAAATGATTTGGTGACAAAACGTTATTTACTAATAAGAAACGCTAGGCATAATTTACATATACTTATTGGTTGTTAAATATGACGCATGGTAATACCCATATAATTACGATCAAACGTTCGAATTTTCCTGTCGAAGAGATTCATTCACCTATTTTAAGTAACTCATGGAAGAATGCTTCTATCGAGATAATGGACGTAAGATGAAACGCTAACAAATACCGATTAAAATTTATTCCTGAATATCAACAAAGGGATAATTCAAACGCATATTAATAGTAATGCAAACACCATAGTTATTAAGTTGGTGGCTACCTTGACTCAGTAGATCTATGAATAACATACTGATATTTGATACAAGAGGCACAAGACTGAAAATCACGAATGCAGATATATCTAGCTAACGAGTTTTAAATAGAACGATACGCATAACCTGGATTCTGCTACTAGTCACAGTGTCTAATTTGAATAACAAGATAATACTGCGTGGTCTTTACTATCAAGTGAATTATATTAGTCACTACTAGGCAGCAAATAAGTGTTTAAAACACTCAGCATTCATTCCGTAAATCATAAACTCTAACTCCGCTCTACCTACCTCAGTTCGGACGATCATATAGTGCATACGATTTCGCATATGAACAGTGCGGATTAAAGCTGAGTACATAAATCTGAGCCAGACGAATGGCTTAGATTAAATCAAATTATGCACAACAGTATCTATGACCAGATATATGATGTTATCTAGGAACAGGCCCCACTGTAAGGCATGTTTTATGTATGGTGTCACTTATTAGCATGAAGTATCTGTAAAAGTGAAGAGAATTATAAGCCTTCATTTTTATCATTCCAGTCGACGATTTCATCTAACAATCTAGCCTATATAACTGTCCTCATGAAGAATAAGACTGTGTATTAATTGATTACCAGATAGCTTGTATGTTTATAACAATAAAAATTTACCACATACTTGTGAGGATGGGCAACCCAAATATGACGTAAGACCGGTAAAGGAGCATCATCATATAAATATTTGTTGTCAACAATTAGGTTGACATGCCTTTCTTTAATCGAATTCATTTTACCAAGAACCTTTAAATCAAAAGGAAGATAAGCAGTGATCACATAAAACACTACTATCTTAACAAAAAAACTACTATTAGTACCGATTATAACAGAAGCGTCGATCGATACGATATAGCCGTACATATAAATCAAGGAACATTAATAATAAGACAGTATTAGTAAGTTTGGTACTCAGAAACTTGATTGACAATGATAATACGAACGCGATAAAGATTATAAAATAGTATTTCACTATTCTATTATTCACATCCCTTGTAGGTGGACTACACACATTTAGCAATCGATTTTACCTGGATCTTTTAGTTCAATAGTCATTTAGATTGTATGTATAAGTACATTATTCACCCGAACCAGTTTAATAACCTGATGAAGTGAGTTGAGAATATTCAATAACAGCAATAAAACAGACGATCTGAACGTCATAATTTGTTTGTACTGCTATTTTTTGATTAAAAAAGGTCTGCATTAACGACAAATCCCTAAAGGCAGTAGTTACAATGAATAGTGATTACAGACGGAAATATCAAGGATGAGTACCAATTTACATAACCATATATCTAACAATGGTATATATCGGATGATTAAAATAATAATTACTTGAATGTTGAAGCTGTCTCATTGTCTCCAAAGTGATTTCGTCAAATCCTATCACGTAATCTACTTGGTTTGGTATAATGAATGACCCTAATCAAGTGAGGTTGTGACTTGTACCTGGAGTCAAGACAAGTGTTTTTCTAGACTCAAGGAAAACTGTTTGCATCCTTAAAGAAATTCATAAACTTCCTTAAGACTAAACTTGAAGTATTTGGGGCTTCATATAACTATACCTTTTGATCTATTTGGACGACACATTAACTAGTAAATCCCGATGAACACAAGACTTATGCTCAGACCTATTTACTGGTTACATAAAAGCATATTATAAAAGTCCCCAAAGACATAAAAATAATGCATACCTGCATGATTAATGAACGCATATATGGATGATGGATATACACTATTCCCGTCTTGATAAGCTTCTGCCAGAGCTTTTGGCATTTTTTCTGGTCACAATCATCAGGTTTCGAGTCAACTCTAGCCTTAATAGCATCCATAAGGCGATCGTTTATGCTCTGAACAAAGATAAGTAACAATAAAGATTATATACCCATAAAATATTATGTCTTGGAACTCCGTGTATATCCAGAAGCTTCAGTGCTTGACTGAAATTAGGAACAAGTTGTTCCCAATATTTGTCTTGGAAAGCTTCGATATCATCTTTCGTAATTTTCGACTTAGTAAATAGGTCTTCAATTGTCTTTTTCATGACTGGAAACACAAAAGGCTTTGAGGGCTAAAATTGTCAGCAATACGTTACCAAAAATACCAAGGCTTACATTTTCCTTTGTTTCCATTGTTAGATTAGTTGACCCTAAACATACAGAAACTGAAAAAGTACATACAGTAAAGTATATAGTATAGTTCACTCTTAAGAATTAACAGAACAAATAAGGCGCAGAGGGTTATAAGGCAAGTTTTAGATTGAGGATTCTCACGAGCATCAGCGACAAATTATACGAATTAAATATTTGCCTGATCGAAAATGAACTTTTGATAATGATGAAAATAGTTCTGTCACAACGTAAAGTCAGTCGAAACCAAGGAAAACTGTGTTACTGTGAGAGGGAAATATAATGAAATGAACTAATCACTATATTTTAGCTTGCTGAGTTTATTCTGATTACACCGCACCGAAACGTGGAAGTATTAAATTTGATTCAGAAAACAACAGTCTGTATTATTTAGGTTTCGAAAAAGAGATAGTTATCTCATAGGTTGTCACTTTCTAAATACTTCTCTAATACCACACTAGCAGAGTTGGAAATTTTATCTCTGCTCTGGTCAATTATAGAAGATAGTCTAGTACACTTTCAAATGATGATGTACTCGAAATAATTGTATACTTCCAAGTGTAACAAATCATCAGATCAGACGAAACGTGACAACTAAATCTAGGTTCATGCACCAGGTAACAAATTAAAATTTGAAGTAGATCAATGTAGGCGAATCATGGAAGGCAATCCCAGAATTTACAACATTATTCGCAAAATGTAAGATTTATAATTACATTTTGCTAGTGGATGTCATTTAACTGGCACATCAAAAGCCTTTCTTTAATTTTGTTTGTGACATGTCGTTTTTCAGAATTTCACTGAGAAAGCTGACAAAGTGTAAGTATACACTTTGAGCTGAGAATGTTTTCTCCAACTAACTACAAGCTTAAAGTGTTCGCAATACTTAAATGTCGAGTAACAAACTATGTGAAATGCTGTATACAGAAAACTGTGATGAGTCTACACAGAAAAAACATGCAATATATTGTATTCTTCATAGATTTGACATGTAAACAAAATACTAGGTCTCGCCATAATGACGTTAGCAGTCATACAGATAATTAGTGATGAATGCATTATATAACATTTTCATGAAACCTGTGAACCTATTAGATACACTTATTACTATTATTTTGATCATGAATGTGAAGCAACAATATCGTTTATTTGTAGTTATAGTGCACTTGTAATGACTTCGTCTCACATCCGCATGAAGTTCTGTAACGTTTAACACCATCAGTTAGATTATACTTGTATACAAGCTAACATTTTGATGAAACCCACTTACAAGTTCACATTAAATAGACCCCACGCGTTTGCGCTACGAAACGGCTACTGATCGAGTTAACACTAGGTGAAAAATATAATACATTATATATTTGTTGATCAACAAAAAACCTTCACAAAGAATAAATGCATGATTTAATGTTGTACCATGGATTCATTACATGAAACATGAATGCAGAAAGTCAAAAACAGTCGTTCTCGATTCATAAGCTATTATCCCATATCGCTTACGTTTCAAGAAATGAACAGGCACAACTTACATTAAAAGGCAGTGTGGCGATACGAGACGATTTTAGTGGGAATTGAGATACAATGTTCATTATCTCAAATTTCTGTTCAATGTTGTTGCCACTGCCTTACCCATCTGTAAAAAAACATTTTACGTACATATTTCCCTTGGATTTAAGAGTTAATAGGTTAAAATGGGTTAAAAAACACGACTTTATACAACAGATCACGTTGTCTCAATGAGTGGGCATCAACAGGCTGTAATAACCGTATTGCATACATCCTAGAGAGCGCTATTTATAAAACGACAGTGGTTTTTTCCCCCTTAGTAAATTTTATCGTTTTGATAATTTATTACATATCAAGACCACTGCTTACACTTTAATTGAGTTCATTTCAGTTGAATTATCCTCTAAGAGTATCGTTTTGGTTTCCAAGGAATTTTACCATCAATACTTTCAAGTACTTCGTTTTCTATTGCATTTTTTGCACATTTGGTTCTAACAATCTAAAGTTTTCTACTTTTTTGTCGCAAATCACTTCTGTCTCTGAGTGTTATTTTATCTAGTTTCAGATTTACAACCTCATTGGTTGGACAGTGCTAGAAAAGCAATTGCCTACAACCCGGGCTGCTGATGCCCTGTTGAAAGTGGCATTTAGTGCGACGAGTGCACAGGACGATACCGCGACAATTGCGCTAATTTAACGTTCAGTGAAAATGGTTGCGTGTGGTTTTGTCAGAAGTGCTGCTCGGAAGCAAACAGGCCATTTCAATAGTAAATGTTGCTAAAAAGCGTATTACCAAACGACGTCGGAACATATCGGACAGTACTCGCCCTATCGAAACACAACTGATGTGAAGCCATCTCAAATAAGCTCGGTAACAGCTAACTTACATCTATCAAAATAGAAAAGACCGACTTCAAAGAGGTCTGTCCTAAATAAAAACTCAAGAAAGGAAGTTTCTCCAACACCGTCCTCTTAATAGTAACCGGTAGGAAACGCATTAAAGCCCCAATCGCAAGACTAGATCTATTTCCAGCAAAAAAACAACCTTACTGCCCAAGTCGTTGATAACCTTCGGAAATTCGACAGATTATTTAACATTTTTCTATTAATTTGAACACAAATATTGGTACAAGAGGGCACCAAATATACATTCGCCACGCATGACAGTGATAATTGAAAGAGAAAAAAGAAGGTAAGGAGTGTAAAAGAAAAAAAGAAGAACAATAACGACCAGATTAGTGTAAGGTAATGAAATAATAATGGTAGAAATGGGAAGGTACACCCAACAGAAATCTTTCAGTTAAGGAAGATAGAATCACTTTTATGAAGGTAGTAAAAGAAGGTTACAGCAGGATAGCCACTGGCTTCTATTCTGAGGCATATCTGATAACGCCTCTAGCCACTGTGTTGCACCATCTCTCGGACCCCAGCCAGGGAGTCGTGAAGGACCAACATAAGCCAGCCCTTTGAAGCTTTCTTTCATACCACGACACCATGTCATACAGTGACAACAATGATCAAAAACAGGATCGTCTGACATCCTCAACTCGGAGAGACCAGGTTTCACGAGCATAGGGCAGAACTACTCTCACTGACGCGTTGTAGATCCGACCTTTTACAGCCAGACTGACATTACGAAGGCGCCAAAAATGGCCTAGATTGGCAGAGGCCGCTCTGGCTTTCACTATACGTGAATCGATCTCATCACTGACATCCCCACCAGCACTTATGCAGCTACCCAGATACACGAACTTCTCGACTACTTCTATCTGCTCACCATTCAGGGTGAGTAAAGGCAGCTCTGATGTCAAGAAACACTACGATTGTTGGCCTTTGATAAGTATGATGGTGTTCTAACATTTGGCGGAGGGTGAAGATATGATCAATACATCGTTGACTAGAACGAAACCCAGCCTGCTCCTCGCGAGTCAATCTTTCTCGGGTTTCGAACAACCTACGAAGTATGACGGAGGCCAATAGCTTGGACGCAATCGGAAGTAGACTTAACCCTCGATAGTTTTTACAGGAACTATTATTATTCACAAACATAAGCGTTGTGAAGAAACCACTTCGAGTTTCTTCAAAAATGCAATAATACACAAGTTTCAATAATGTTAGCATTACATTTGCCATATTTGAAAAAAAGAGTAATAATAGCAGAGTATTAATAATAAATCAAGTTCTGTGTAATTGAGAAGAATATTGAATTGAGCTTGAAGACGAAAAGGAACAAAAATAAAATAGAAAATAATTAAGAAAAAATGAATTTTTCTTGTAGTAAGATATGACGCTAGAATTTTTTGTGCAGTCATAGTTCGGACTGATGCTATGAAAGTCTCAATTAAGTGAAAAGGATAATGAAACATCAATGTGTATGAGTCATATATGCATTGTAAAGATGGAACGAGTCTGCAAAGTTAATGTGAATGTAACACAACCTACTGTCTTAATTAAAAACTTCGTAATCTTAAGGGTAATATTTATTTAGATGGAAAAAAGAGAAAGAAAAGAAATGAACACCTAGTGAAAGGGTAAAACCCTGATAATAATAATAATATCTACCTCTAAAGTAAACCAATAATTTAAAAATAAAATAATATGAAAACATATCTTTAGTGCACTCGGATAAACAAGTGCAATTTTATGTGATAGTATACTGAGTGAAACCTGATATTAGTATAAACATTTAATGATAATGCTATGAAAGTCACAATTAACTGCAAAGGATAATAAAATACAAATTTCTGTTATATATATATATATATATATATATATATATATATATGGCGAAGATAAAATAAGTTTGAGAAGTTTTTAGTTACAGACTTTGAATGTTTGGGAATAATATATGTTTAGAAAGATAAGAGGAGATGAAAAGAATATCTAATGTGTCGGGGGACCAATAATGATATTAATAATAGTGATAAATTTGAACACGAACATAAGCAGACTTCATATATTAAGATGAATAGGGAAAAAGTAAAACAGACGTAAAAAGTTTCAAAGGTTATATTTTGCTTTGCAGTCAATTAGATGGATGACGGATCTTGTTTATATAAATCATTAATTAATACACTGATATTCAATAGGTGACACGAACCACTTTCGGAAAGAAAATCATCAAGGAGACTTCTGAACCGGGTTGCAGTTTTACTGCAACGGAGGTTCACTGGCAGTTTGTTCCACATGGTTGAGTAGCGAATAACGAAAAAATTATGGCTTAAGTTTGTACGGGTTCCTGGAGTCGCAAGAATATTTTTCTTTTTGCGTAGATTGTAGGATGATATCATCGAGTATGAAGGGATGGATAATGAAAAGTAGGAAATACCGTTAATAAACCGGTAGATAAATACAAGGTTTTAATTTGACATGTCTGATCCAGAGAGGTTCTAGTTTGTGTTCTTGACATCTTTGGAGATAGCCTTGTAGTGTGGCGTCGATTCGCGCTTGACTATGGTCACCCCTACAGGAAGACTATGTACTAGTTAACAGGTTAAATCCCCTGTAGACCGAATATCATAGGGCAGTGGATGGCTGCAGTCGAAATGTATTTGTTGGAGATCTCGTGCGAAGGGGTACAAGTGAGACTGTGGAGATAGGCCTGACAAGCTTATTTCGTAAATAGTTTTCAATGTTATTTGTATTTATTTTGTCAACCCTTCACTGTATGTATATTTAACATTAAATGACTGTGACTGTTGTTTTAGTAAAATGACCTTGAACACTTTCGTTGTGCAACCAGATAGCGTGGCATACTCTTGCTGGCTAACAAATACACTAATACTGACACATTCCTCGTTCTATCTTCGTTTGTGATTGAGTTAACTGATGTCTAAATCAAATAATATCTACATTTATAGACTGTAATTGGAATATATCACATCCTACGTTGGATTATATCACTGGAGAGTCCATCAACTAGATTGGAATTACCAAGCATTTATAATTGTGGTTTCTTAGTACCAGACCAAAGCCGAACACGCATCAATTTGGTGAACTTAAGTAAAGTCCCAACATTCTATTGTATTTGTATTAATCAACTTATATATATTAACATTTCTATTGATCCTTATTAACTTTGTTGATACTTTTTGCGTTTATATATCGTCTGGTCCACCACAGGACTACTGAGCGAACGAAAGCTCGCGCAAGGTCACAAGCAACCGAAGAATGTACGAATTTTGGAACAGTTAAACAAACAAGTACGGTAAAACAATCCCTGGTACAATTGGTTATAACATTAATTTTTTCCATTGCACCAATCGCGTTCTCTTGATAAAAGCAGGTCACTACAGTCTTTGTTGTCGGAATACATCTAAACAGCTTTAATGAACCTTCTTTGAACACCTTCAGTTTTAATCAAGTCATTATGCATGCAATTACTGTAAACTGAAATACCATATTCAAGAATGGGTAAGATGCGTTTTCTGTATAATAATAATCACGACTCGATATTATTGAAGTTTATCATTATCAATCCAATGAGCTTTCTAGCTTTGGATACTTTAGATGCAATGTGTTCAGAAAAGTTCAGACTGTTGATATATCTTAAACCCAAGCCACGAACAGTATCAAGAGGTTTCAGTGTATGTTTATGTATAGCCAGATTTAAGTTAAGACAGCGACCAATGGGAATAAATCCACTTTTGTCAATATTAAGTGGCATATTCCACGAAATAGTCTATTCGTACAACTTGTTTATTTCCTCTTGGATTACCGCTGAAATATAGCTTTATTTCGTGGGAGAAGAGAATGAATAAACTACTTTCAGGTCATCAGCAAAAAAGAAAGGCTTACCACAGTGAAAGAGAGAACACATGTCATCGATAAAAAGGTGAAAGAGTAATGGACCAATGACACTTCCTTGTATAACCCCACTGGTTACATTTGTAGTGGCATTGAGCCTTAACTACACAATCCTCAAAGCTGAATACGAGATTACTCAAAAAATAGATATTCAATATTTAACGCGGAGAAATACCTAACGATGGAGAAGGCGCGAACAAGGAATTGAATGAATTAGAGTTGATCGGATGGCGTGGCTCGGCCATGCAGGCGTGGTCCCTCTGAATAATACCTTATATCTTCTATTCGTATTAAATATATTGTTCCTTCTCTAGCCTAACCTTGTTCTACATCATGTATTGGTAATGGATACGATACAGTGAGT